CGTAGGGTCTTGGGAAGGGGCGCCGAGGTGACAGCGGGCTGGGGAAGCTTGGAGGGATCTCCCGCCAACACAGCCACGTTCCCACAAAACTTCCGCGTCAAGCATGGAGGCGCTGAGCCCCTCAGGCACAGAAAGGGGCCACTTCTTCCAAGGAGAGGGCGCCCGCAGGCACAGCCTTGTGCCCGGCCAGGCACGCGACACTCGGGCTTTAGGCCCGTGGGCACCGGGCCTGTGCACACTTGCACCGGCAGGGAAAGCCGCGTTGCTCGCTGAGGCTGCGCCCAGGGGGCTGGCCAGGTTGGGAATCCCTCTTCCTCTTCCCTGTGCAGGGGCTGGGGGTCCTCCCAGATCTGCCCACCTCCTGCCTGGGCCTAGCTTGGCCTGGGGCGGGGGTCAGACGGAGGGGCGGTGGAGGGTGGGTCTGTCAATCAACCAGCCGCGCTGCAGGTCCCAGGTCTGGGCGGGGCAGGGGCCTAGGAGGCGGGGTTGACAGATGGCTGCGGGACACTGGCCCAGGCCTTGGGACTGCACCCCCTGCCCCTGGGCCCAGCCTCAATGAGGACTTTGGACCCATGGAGTGGACTGGACAGAGGCAGGATGGGAGTGGACAATGGGGCCCCAGGCCCTGGCCCTCCTAAGCAGGGGATGCTCAGGTAAGGCCTAGTCAGGTGATGGAGGTTTTGAGAAAAAGAAAACCTCCCCTCCCCCTCCTTTAGGTCGCCCTCCCTAACCTGGGTGACTGTCCACCCTAGACCTCCTCATGGGAAGCCTCAGAGGATTTGGAGCAAAGGCTGGGGTGTGTTTCAGGAGGACCAGAGCACAACAGTGTCTCCCTTGATGAAGGGGGTGTGGCCAGATCCTCCCAGAGCAGGGGTTCACACCTGGACACATACACAGCACTTTACTACCCAGCGTGCCCACATCCCAACCTGTGCCTCCCTGCCTCCCTGCTTCAGGTGACCAGAAGTCAGCGGCTTCCCAGAAGCCCCGGAGCCGGGGCATCCTCCACTCACTCTTCTGCTGTGTCTGCCGGGATGATGGGGAGGCCCTGCCGGCCCATAGCGGGGCACCCCTGCTCGTGGAGGAGAATGGCGCCATCCCTAAGGTACGTGGTCGGGATGACTACAGGGGTACCTGGGCTCAGCTGGAAGGGGGCTTAAAGGAAGGGGTGCCAGGTGGAGACACACCTGCAGTCACTGAAAGTTTCAAAGAAGGGGGGACCTGGACACCAAGCCCTACAGGCCCCCCACTGGGCCCCTCCCAGCTTGCTCTGCCTGCTGCCAACCAAGAGAAGATCCGCTGGAAGATGGAAGCTTTGCCAAGGGGCTTAGAGAGCCAGTGGCCATTCCTCCCGGGAGCTGCCGGGGCCCATGTTGGGAAGTGGGTGGGATGTCCCACTGTCTCCTGTTTCTCAGGTGGAGGGCCAGGGTAGGGAAGGCTGTGTAGGAGGTGCCCCCACCCAGCCCGGCCCCTCCCACCAGCAGACCCCAGTTCAGTACCTGCTCCCTGAGGCCAAGGCCCAGGACTCGGACAAGATCTGCGTGGTCATCGACCTGGACGAGACCTTGGTGCACAGCTCCTTCAAGGTGGGCCCTGCCCAGCAGCCCTCATCCCTGGCCAGGGAGGGAGGGCTCGGCTGGGCCCCCAGCCCTGGGGTTCCCCACCCCAGCTCCAGCAGCTCTTTTCCCCCACAGCCAGTGAACAACGCTGACTTCATCATCCCAGTGGAGATTGATGGGGTGGTCCACCAGGTGAGGGGCCGGGGAGGAGGTGATGGGCTTGGCATCTCCCTCCAGACCCCAAGCGCTGCCCACTGAACTGGAGAGAGCCCCACATGGGACTTTGATAGATGTGGAATGTCTGAGGCCCAGAGTGGGTAGGAGACTTGCCCAAGATCACATAGAACCTCAGGGACTGGGCCCAACTCCAGGCCTCCTGAGAGTGGGTTCCTCTTCTCAGTCCTGTATGTATGTGCCCCCTTGCCCACCCCTGCCCGGGACCCAGTTCAAGTAATTCAGGATAGGTTGTGTGCTGTCCAGCCTGTTCTCCATTACTTGGCTCGGGGGCCGGTGCGCTGCAGCCTTGGGGTGAGGGGGCTGGCTACCCCTAGGCTCCTGAATTTGGGGGAAGGGACTTAGGATTAATGACTCCCCACGAGGCAGGACCTGCAGCTGGTGGGAGCCAAAGCTTCTTTTCGTCCTCCTCTGGGAGGCTGGGTGGGTGGAGCAGCTGGCTGTGGGAACCCACAGGCCCAGGGCCAGCCCTCCTGGGCTACTCTGCCTCCTCCACAATTCCCTCCCGGCCCAAGGCTAACCTCCCCCAGCTGGGCCAGCCGCCCTCACAGACCCACCCCCTAGGTCTATGTGCTGAAGCGGCCCCACGTCGACGAGTTCCTGCAGCGAATGGGCGAGCTCTTCGAGTGTGTGCTGTTCACTGCCAGCCTAGCCAAGGTGAGTTCCCACCAGGGACCTGGGGCCACCATGCACTCCCATCTGCTGCCTCAGGTGGCCACGTGCCGCTGGACACAGCCCCAGGCCACTCCTGGCCCTAGGATAACCTACCTCCTACCCTCCAGTATGCAGACCCAGTAGCTGATCTGCTGGACAAATGGGGGGCCTTCCGAGCCCGGCTGTTTCGAGAGTCCTGCGTCTTCCACCGGGGGAACTACGTGAAGGACCTGAGCCGGCTGGGACGAGACCTTCGGCGGGTGCTCATCCTGGACAACTCGCCTGCCTCCTATGTCTTCCATCCGGACAATGCTGTGAGTACAGGGCTGAGACCCAAGGACAGGAGCCCATTCAGTCTGTCTTGGCCTGCCCAGTCCCAAGCCTGGTAGTCTCCAGGACCAGTGGGAGGGGGATGCTCCCATTCCTGTTTCCTGCACCTGGTTACCTGTGCCTGTCTTCCCATGTCCCCAGGTACCAGTGGCCTCGTGGTTTGACAACATGAGTGACACCGAACTCCATGACCTCCTCCCCTTCTTTGAGCAACTCAGCCGCGTGGATGATGTCTACTCAGTGCTCAGGCAGCCGAGGCCCGGGAGCTAGTGAGGTGCCACGGGGCCTGGACCTGCCCCTGACTGAAGCCCACACTTCCTCCCACGGAGACTCTGGGCACCTGCCCGAGAGCTCTTAAGAAAACCCACGAGCTGTGCCCATTGGTGGCCCTGGGGAAGCAGGTGTCTTCCCCAGCAGCCCTGCCAGGCTGTACCGAGGACTGTAAACCCCTGGTTCCCTGTGTCAGTGCCTTCGAACCTCCTCCCCACTTTTCAGGGGACCTGGGGGCCCTGCCTGCTGCTCCCCTTTTCTGTCCCCTCTCTTCATGCTGCCATGTTTCTCTGCTGCCAAATTGGGCTCCTTAGCCCCAGTTCTGCTTTTGGGGTGGGGGCAAGATTTCTGTCATCCCATACCTTGGAGCCCCAGCCTGGGAACAGTGGACACCAAGTGCCTTTCATAGAGCCCCATCTTGCCCACTCAGCTTTCCCAGGGGCGTGGCTACCATCATCAGCTCCTGCCTGGACTGGCCTGCAGGTTGCTGAGGTCTAGGCTGGTCCGGGGGAACCAGTCTCTTCTCACCCCCACGCCTCCCTTGGAACTGACAGAGCCCCCACCAGTTCCTGTCTAGGCAGGGGAGGGCCTGGAGGGAAGAACCTCTTACCCCTTGTGAAGGGAGCAAGGGTCTTTCCTTCAGGACCCCACAGTCCAGCTTCTCCAAGGCTGATGGCTGCTCCTTATGTCACCCAAGCTGTGACCCCTTCCTTCTGCCTTAATTACCCCAAGGCCCTGGAGCTTGGCTCCCTGTTTCTGAGTATCGGGACATAGGCAGGACCCCCTTGTGGTGCCATATAAATATGTATATGTGTATATAGATTTTTAAGGGATGGAGAGAGGGAAGGGTGGGCATAGAGACACCCTCCCTTGCCCCTTTCCTGGGCCCAGAAATTGGGGGGAGGGAGGGAAAGGATTTTTACATTTTTTAAACTGCTATTTTCTGAATGGAACAAGCTGGGCCAAGGGGCCCCAGGCCCTGTTCCCTGTCCTTCACAGCCCTTTTGCTCCGTTCGTTCAAAATACACTTATTGAGCACCTTGTGTGCCCAGCAATATGCTAGGCCACCAGCTAAGTGGGGGGTCTCCACCCCTAACTGGTGCCTTCTCCACCCACCCCAGACTTCACCAGTGCCTTTGGGGTATCTGCAGGAGATGGAAACTTCTTGTGAGGTTTGGGGGGGTCTCCAGGAAGCTGGGCCAAGCTGTCCCTGTCCCCTGTGCCAACCCACCCACTGCAGCTTCCTCCCTTGCCCCCTGCTGGCTGGGGGAAGCTCCCAGAATGTCTGCCTTCCAACTCTAACTTGTTTCTGAAACTCTTCCCCACACTTGCTGAGTCAGGAGGTCAAGGCCTTGGGCTCTCCCCGGGGTCGAACGGTTAAGTGGACCCACAAACCAGTGCCAAGGGAGTTGGTGGGGGGAGGGAGGATATGGTTGACCTGAAAAGGGTGACCTTCGCATTTAGTGCCTTCTTGGTGACCCAGAGCCTCACAGTGTAACAAGAACTAAAGAGAAAGCCAGACCCCCCCTATCCTGCTTCTGTGGTTTTTGGGGGAGTTTGAAGTGGGCATGAGTGATCAGATAATAGTCACACTGAGACTGCAGTGTGACCCTGCCTCAGCAAGTGGCTAGGAGTGGTGCGAAGGAGGAAGGGGCTCCGGCTCTCAGGGCTTCCGGGGTGAATCGGGATTTGGGTTGGATCTACATCGAGGCTGGGCTACCGAAGCCTCAGTCACTTAATTTGCAAAATGGAGACAGGTCTTGCAGACTTGATTAAATTCCCGGACATTAATGACTAGAGACTCTGGCTACACAGCAAAACTAAACCACTCCCTGCAGCGGCTGCCTGTGGAATGCGCGGGGCGGGGTGGGGCGGGGCCTGCCTGCGGTGGGCGGGGCGCCCCAGGCGGGGTCTGAGCAGGCGCTGCTCCCCGGCCGGGCTGACGTGGTCGGGCTCGCGGGGTCGCTGGCCTTCCGCCGCTGTGCTGGCCGTTCGGGGGGTCCGCAGTCTACGGCCTCCGGCCGGTGGAAAAGACTGGGTGTGGCCGCCGCCCTCTCCCTCCCGAGCCACCGCCCCGCTTCCCGTCCCCGCCCTTGCCAGGGCACTTCCTTCGCGGAGCCTGGGTGACCGCGGCCCCGGCAGGAAGTGCGCTCCCGGCCGCTCGCCCGCCTCCTGCGGTAGCCGCTAGAGGCCTCCCGGTCCTGATGGACTCCCGGTTTCCCTGGGGCCTGGCCCTCTCCGGCCAACCCCGTGTGACTGCACCGGCCCTCCCAAGTGTTGCTCCCTTTTCTCCCAGCTCCACCTCCCTAGTCCTGCCTCCTCCTTGTCCCAGGTAGGGTGATCTAATCCCCGAGCCTGCCTCCTTGTGCTCCAGATGTTGATCGCCCTCTAAATCTCTGTGCGGGGCATCTGCTACTTTTAACTCCATAGAAAGGAGCCGGGAAGCACCTACCTGGAAGGAGAAGCCTGCAGTCCCCCTGGCGTCAGCTTTGGTCTGGGCTGGACCCAGACAGCCCTTGGCAAGATGAATACCAGCCCCAGGCCTTGGCAGTCTTTAGACTGCTCTTTTTCCTGCTCTTTATGCAAAGGCTAGTCGCCCCAGATTTGCATTTCAGAGGTGAGAGGAACTGGACACCCAGCTTTAGTGAGACCACAATCAGGCTTCCTCATCCTCACCACCTACATACGCTTGGCCCATGCAGAGTTCAACTCAACCACGTGTATGGGTGCATCCCTGTGCCGGGCACGGTGCCAGGAGCAGACCGGCCTTGTTGCTGCTTTCAAGGAACTCACACACCAGTGTAATAAAGGGCAAGGTGGAGGTACTCCTCTGTGTAGAGGAGATAATCTTAAGTATCAGTGTCATTTCTCTAGGATGAGTTATTAACTGTACTTCTGGAATGTCCTTTAAATTTATTTATTTATTTATTTATTTTGTAGTTGTTTACCCAGAGTCCTCTAAGTGTCCTCTGGAGTTAAAACCCTGGGGGAGGGGGCAGAGCACAGTAGTGCACACCTGTAATCCCAGCAACTTGGGAGGCTGAGGCAGGAGGATCATAAGTTCAAAGCCAGACTTAATAACTTAGTGAGGCCATGTCTCTAAATAAGATACAAAAAAGGACTGGGGATGTGGCTCAGTGGTTAAGTGTCCCTGGGTTCAATACCCAGTACCAAACAAAACAAAAAACCTGGAAGGGCCATTCTGAACACATTTCCATAATTGAAGCAGGCTTAATTAATTTTAAAAAAGGTAGGAGGGAGAAAATGAAGATTTTGCAGCAATAGGAAGCACAAATATGAATGCCACCTATAACTTAACCAAAGAAATAAGGTAGGAGGGCTTCAATAGCAGTCACAAAGGTATACATCTTGGCCTGTCTTTGATGGCTTCTGTTAAAATTTCAAATAGTAAGGCCAGGGGTGTAGCTCAATGGTAGAGCACCTGCCCAGCATGGGTGAGGCCCTAGCCCTAGAAACCTTTTTCCAGTTGTATTTATTTATACCAGGGATTGAACCCAGGGGCACATAGCCACTGAGCCACACCCCCAGCCCTTTTAATTTATTTATGTATTTATTTTATTTTCAAAATTTTTTTTTAGTTGTTGATAGACCTTTATTTTATTTATTTATACGCGGTGCTGAGAATCGAACCCAGTGCCTCACACATGCCAGGTAAGTGCGCTACCGCTGAGCCCCAGCCCCAGCCCTGTTTATTTTTTGAGACAGGTTCTTGATAAGTTGCTTAGGACCTCACTAAGTTGCTGAGGCCGACTTTGAACTTGCCACCCTCCTGCCTCAGCTTCCCGAGCCACTGGTCTATAGGCGTGCGCCACCATCCCTGGCTTTTCCAATAATATTTAATCAGAAAGTCTCGTGAATTGCTTCTCTGGTCTACTGCCTCATGCCAAGCTGCGGTTCCCTGAATGAGGCAATGCTCCCGGTCCCCAGGGAAGAAAAGAACAGGAGTGAGATACCCACTCCCAGGAATGACTCCATCAACTCCTGTGGACTGAGGTCTGAAGGACACGCTCTGGTGGACAGAGTGTTGCAGCAGGGAGCCTGCAGACAAGGAAAGGGCGCTGAGGAGCAGCGGTGCCCTGCAGGAGCTGCGACTGCCTCACCCTTGAATAGTCAGCAAATGAGGGGACTTCAGGGAATTTCTGAGTATAGAACGCCCCTTAGCATAATTAAAATTTAAACAAAGATCCCCTGCTTTCTGTGCCAATTTGTCACATCAGACTGACAAGGGTGGTCCGGTTCCCTAATATTGGTGACAATTTAAACTCAAGAAGGACAGACATGGTCTGGGGCTGCAGCTCAGCAGTAAAGTGCTCACCTAGCACGTGCGAGTCCCTGGGTTCGATCCTCAGCACCACATAAAAAATAAAATAAAGATATTGTGTCCAACTACAACTAATTTTTTTTTTAAAGGACAGACGTCTAATGAAATGACATGCTGAATAAAACAAATGACAGTTCCAAATTAAGTGGCTTTTTGGAATATACAGAAAAGCAGGATAAAAAAAAATAAGCTAAAGGAACATATGAAAACATAGCCAAAAATGAGTAAATCACGCGAGAACAGCGCTAGTCAGGAACCAAACACGGAGCATCTGATAGGGAACAGATAGATGTGAACGGTGGGAACCGGAGGGGTTATGGGAAGAGTTTTATAAACTGGGCCCACCATGCTGACCCTCACATGCTTTTTATTTTTTTAATGGGTGAGACCCTAGCCCCGAAAACCTTCCATAGTAATTTACGTGAAGCAGTGCCTGGCTTAAGTTGACAGGGTGTGTCACATTCCTCAGCAAACTATTCTCTGCAGGAGAAATGCAGGCCCAAAATGCCCATAAAGAACACACACAGGCTGGGGCTGGGGCTGGGGCTGAGTGGTAGAGCGGTTGCATGTGGGAGGCTCTGGGTTCAATTCTCAACACTGCATATAAATAAAAATAAAGCTCCATTGATAACTAAAAAAAAAATTTAAAAACTCTAAACAAAATTTAAAAACACACATGACTCTGAAAGGGGAGGGGGATTTTGTGACCCTTACACAGATCAGATCCCAGAACTCAGGGACATAAGGGTAATTGCCCTCTAACCATAAAATCTATAAGAACAGGTTCTGATTAGATCTGATCAGCTTGGGCCAATCGACCTGGAGTTGTCATATGTAATGGGGACTTGAAAGTCTGATATCATCCTGCTGACAGTCAAAAGTCAAGAGGTGGACCTAGGCAGGGCTCTCTGGAAATTTCCCTGGACCTCCCCTCTGTCCATAAAACTAGAGGGCAGGAGAGGCACACTGTTCCTCTCCTCTCTGAGAGGACCCACTCTCTTCTCTTCCTTGATAGTGTCCCCCATTCCCCTTCCATATCTTTTCTAATAAACCCTTGCCTATTATTCTGAGCAACACATCTGAAATCTTTCTGGCATGACTGCAAGCATCAGGGTGAAGGGGCCTTTGAACTGCCTCAGATTCATGGCAGGTCTTATGCCCTGTAAGATCCATGGAAGAAATTGTCCAAATGGGCCGGGCATGGTGGTGCATGCCTGTAATCCCAGCAGCTCAGGGCGCTGAGGCAGGAGGATTGTGAGTTCAAGGCTAGCTTCAGCAACTTGGCGAGGCCCTCAACAACTCAGTGAGACCCTGTCTCTAATAAAATATAAAAAGGGCTGGGGATGTGGTTCAGTGGTTGAGCACCCCTGTACCAGGGGACCATTCCCTCCAAAATGACAAGGGCCCAGAATATCATCAGGTTGTCAACAATGTAGCAAGACTTATTGCTGAGCAGAGCCTCCAACAGATAATGCCATTTCAGAGCAAATACTTGCAAAGTAGAGTCACAGCAAGATGTGTCTCCGATAGCAATCTGAAGGCTCTGGTATCTATAGTCCTAGAAGGTGTATATCTCAGCTTCCACATGTCAAATTTAGAAGGAAAAGTTCTGGTCTGCAACTACCTTATTTGCATATGGGTACACTGTTGTCCAGATGGCTATCAGCTAGCTGCTTGGCTCCTTCACAGCTTGTTACAGGGAAAGGTCAAAATGGAGTTAGCGCTGTCAAAACATAGTCACATCTGGGCTGGGGCTGGGGCTCAGGGGTAGAGCACTTGCCTGCCATGTGTGAGACAATGGGTTCGATTCTCAGCACCACATATAAATAAATAAAATAAAGGAATTTCAACAACTAAAATAAATAAAAATATAATCAGAGTTACTGTGTCCAACTACAATTACAAAATAAATATTAAAAAATAGTCACAAATACATTAAAATTTAGGCTCACAAGAATCATTTGTTTTTTACAATTTGCTAATTTTTATTAAGGATTTTTGTGTCTAAGTTTTTAAATTTGTTCTTTTTAGATATACAGGACAGTAGAGTATATTTTGACATATCACACGTACATGGAGTCTAACTTCCATTCTTTTGGTTGAACATGATGTGGAGTTACACTGGTCGTGTATTCATATATGAGCATAGGAAAGTCATGTCCGATTCATTCTGCTGTCTTTCCTGTTCCCATCCCCACTTCCCTTCATTTCCCATTGTCTAATCCAATGAACTTCTATTCTCCCCACCCTCCTTATTGTGGATTAACATCCTCATATCAGAGAGAACATTCAGCCTTTGGTTTTTTGGTTTGGGGGGATTGGCTTATTTCACTTAGACTCACAAGAATTTTAACATGGCAAAACACACATCACTCCTACTACAGAGAAAGAAACGCGAACAGATAAATGGTCTGTACACTGCTGTGAGAGAGCACAGGAGATGGAAGAGCTCTGGGGATGCCTAGCCCCACTGGGGAGGCCCTCTGGAGATTGGAAAACAGCTCCTTGCTGGAGGAATACTCAAGGATCTGGAAAAGGAATAGTTGGGAAGATGGGTTGAGGCCCCATGTGCTGGAGCACACCTGTAAATCCAGTGACTCGGGAGGCTGAGGCAGGAGGATTGCAAGTTTGAGGCCAGCCTCAGCAACTTAACAAGATCCTGTCTGAAAAATTTAAAAGAGCTTAGGATGCAGGTGAGTACTAGAGCACCCCTGGTTCAATCCCCAGAATTGAAGAAGGAGAAAAGGAAAAGGAAGAGGCAGGAGAAGGAGAAGGAGGTGACTTGAGTGAAAAGTATGTGCTGGGAGAATTTCAAGCAAAGCCCCACGGGCTGACCAAACCCAGACTGTGGGAAGCATAAAAGGTACGGAATGGCACACGAGCGGGGGTGGGGGGGACGGCCCTGCGGAAAGCAGGAGGGGGCAAATAATGCCCATCTCTAACTAGAGAAGGAAGCGGCCTTTTTCCTTGCAGGCAGTGGGCATCGTGGAGGAATCCCGAGGAACAGCGGGCAGGAGAGAGACGCGTGCAAACCTGGCGACTGCACATCGGAAGCTAAATCACGGGTACAGGGACCCGGTGCCCCAGCGGGAGCACACCGCCACAGTCCTGAAGACAAGGGCAAAGGCCTGGCCTGGGGCTGCTGAGTGGAGAAAGAAGGGAGGAGGCCTGAGAGAGAGGAGAGAAGCAGACAGGCAGGGAGTGGCTGGTTGGCTTCCTGCGGCCGGGGGTGGGGTGGGGGGGGGGAAGGGGGAGGAAGGTGACCTGAAGTCTGGCGCAAGATACAGTGCTGGCAGGAGTGTCCCTGGTGCAACCTGGTTGCAAAGTGATCTGACCTTCTATCACAAATATTTAAAAAATACAGACACCTACCGGGTGTGTGGTGCACGCCTGTAATCCCAGCAGCTCTAAAGGCTGAGGCTCCAGAGGATCACAGGTTCAAAGCCAGGCTAAGTAATTTCGTGAGGCCCTGTCTCAAAATTAAAAAAAAAAAACAAAAAAACTGAGGATGGGGCTCAGTGGCTTAGCGCCCCCCACCTTCAATCCCTGGTACCAAAACAAACAGACAAACAAACAAACAAAAAACCCAGACACCTTTTAAGCAATTCTGCTTTTAGGAATTTACCCTGGAGGCGAAACGTACAACACACACAACCTGCTGTGTAGGAGCTCCCACTGCATTAATGTCTGTACAGCAAAACACTTAGATTACTAAGTGTTCACCAGAAGGGACTGATTAAATAAATCTTGTCATATCTATACCAGAAAATGCTATGTAGTTACGAAAAACAATGAGATGGAACTCTATAAACTTGGAGAATGAGCTCCAAGATCCACTGATAAATGAAAGAAAGCATGATTCAAGTTGCCAGGTACAGTGTCCACACCTGTCACCCCGGAGGCTGAGGCAGAAGGATCACAAGTTTAAGAACAACCCGGGCAACATATGGAGGCCCTTTTTCTTCTTCTTTTTTGGGTACCAGGGATTGAACTCAGGGGCACTCAGCCACCTGAGCCACATCCCCAGTCCTTTTTTGTATTTTATTTAGAGACAGGGTCTCACTGAGTTGCTTAGCACTTTGCCTTTGCTGAGGCTGGCTTTGAACTCGCATGATCCTCCTGCCTCAGCCTCTTGAGCCATTGGGATTACAGGTCTGTGCCACCCCTCCCCTGGGATTAATCCCTGTACAAAAAAAAAAAAAAATTCTGTGCTACTAGTTCCAAACTGTCAACCAGACAATTTTGTTGTTGGTGGTGGTGTTCTAATTTTTTTTTTTTTACTTTATGTATTTATTTGTTTTTGGAAATGAGGATTTTACTATATTGCCCAGGCTGGCTTTGAACCCCAGGGCTCAAGCCATCCTCCCTACGGATGCACATCACTGTGCCAGTTTCAAGGCAAGTTCTAATTGCAAAGAGGAAAATGCGACTTAGAATATCTGGAAGTCACCACTATGACCAAGAAATCATTGCTCATGCTGGGATAACGGGACATTATGTGCCCCCTGTTGTAATGCAATGTCATTACCTTTGGCCATGCCACTGAAAGACTGGTCCAAAGAAAAAGCAGGTCAGCATCCCCGGGGGAGCTTGTTAGCAATACAGAATCTCAGATCCCAACCCAGACCTATTAAATTACAATCTCTGCTAGGTGATTCTTTTTTTTTTTTTTCCTTTTCTTTTGGTACTGGGGATTGAATCCAGAAACATGTCAAAATTTCTTTTTAAATTTAAAATTAAAAATAAGTAAATAAAATTAAAAATACTGGAGACACGCCAGTCAAAGGGAATACTTCATCTTGAATTTTTTTTTTTTTTTTTTTTTTGTACAAGTGCTTGAACCCAGGGTTGCTTTACCTCTGGGCCACATCCCCAGCACAGGATCTTGATGAGTTGCTTAGGGCCTTGATAAATTGCTAAGGCTGGTTTTGAATTTTCAATCCTCCTACCTTAGCCTCTTGAGCTACGGCGTGTGCCACCACGCCTAGCCTAAAACAATTCTTTTTCTTTTTGGTACCAGGGATTGAACCCAGAGGCACTTAACCCTGAGCCATATCCTCAGCCCTATTTTGTATTTTATTTAGAGACAGGGTCTCACTGAATTGTTTAGTGCCTTGCCATTGCTGAGGCTGGCTTTGAACTTGCAATCCTCCTGACTCAGTTTCCTGAGTTACTGGATTGACAGGCGTGTGCTACCAAACCCAGTTTCCATTTTATTTACAAGAAAGGTTGTTATGTTATTTTAAAACCTAAATAGCATGCGCAGAGTGTTTACTTCTCTGACCAGATGTGCACACCCCTGCACTCACAGACCTGTGCACATGCGTATGCTTTCAGGCTCTAGAACTATTGGAAAGCTGGGTCAGGAAGAGGGGCTGCTTTACCCAGCTGACTTCGTCTCACCCTTCTGAGAACCAGGGTTCAGGGGAGGCAGAATTTCTGCAGGTTGGGGGCAGTTACCCACGTTGCTGACTCTGTTACTGATGATTGAACCCAGGGGCATTGTACCTTTGAGTCACATCCCCAGCCCTTCTTATTTTTTATTTTAAACAGGGTTTCACTAAACTGCGAGACTGATCTCAAATTTGTAATCCTCCTGCCTTACCCTCCCCAATCACTGGGATTCCAGGTGTAGACCACTGCACCAGCTCAAAGCAAGTTTCTGAGCCAAATCCACACCAGGGAGGACCATACTCCTTTTCCTTCCCATCCTAAATGAGATGGACCTTTAGGGATCCATCCAGGGTGGGAAATGGAAACCTTGGTCCTGGAAGAGCAGAGTCCAAAGGCATGGTTTATGGCACCTCATAAAACTCCAGGCGGAGCCTGTGCCCGAGTGGGGAGGACAGGAAGAACACTGGCACCCACTGAAAGGTGAGTCAAAGATCTCTAGGGGTCCAGGGTCCCCATCTGACCTGGAGGGGCCCCAAGTGCGAACTCCCAGTCCTGTGTCCCTGGGTCTCCTGGGAGTCCTGCACCTTCTCCCCATACGCCATCCTCCAGGACAGGAGGGAGGACAGCTAAGCCCTCCTCTTAGTGGGCAGGAGGAAGGGTCTAGGGGCTCATGCCCTTCCTGGTGGGTGCTGTCCACCTGCACCCAGGGCCTGAGCCCTGGGCAGAAGTGCACCCCATTCTTGGTGCTCACTCATATCACCTGGGCTGTCAGGCTGTCTCTGGGCTCCGGGTTCCCAGGGACTTGTCGGGCACCTGCCACCCCACCCCCCCACCCATTCTCTCTCTGGGGCCCTATCTTCCCTTATATGGTGAAGGCAGTTCCTAGAGGAGGGGAGGTGAGGACAAAGGTCGTTCTCCTGCAGCCAGCTTGCCACAACTCCCCGAGATCTCGCAGGTGGCAGCTGCCTCCTCCAGACAGGTAAGACAACCCAGTGGCACACGCGGGGACCACAGGTGGTGGGAGCGGGCAGGGTCCTTGCAGCTTCCTGGCAGCCTGGAGCCTCTCGTGCCTTGGGGAGGGAACTCTGAGATTCTGGAAAGAGCAAGGAGCTCAGCGTGTCCGCCCTGGGCCTCCAAGGAGAGACTTTTGCAGCACCTTTTCTGGGACTAGCCCCCACCCCATGTTGGGTGTCAACCATCCTGGATTGCCCAGGGCTGAGGAGGATCCTGGGGCTCCGAATGTCTAGATTTTAAACCTGGTGAGTCCTGGACAGAATGGGATTAGTTGTCACCCTGGTTTCCCTCTTTCTCTTTACCCCTCAGCTCCTCTCTGCCCTTTTCTACCTCATCTGAAGTGGCTTCCTTCTTTCTGTATCGCTGTTCCCCTAACACTTCTGGGACCTCCAGGTCCTCGCCTCCTGGATCCCAGAGTGTGAGCAACATCCATCAGGAACTGAACGCTGAGTGGGCAAAGAGTGGCAGGGAGGGTGGGGACTGGAGGCTGGGGGACCTTAGGCCCCAGTCACATCTGGACACCTCTTCTCTGCCAGGACCTGCCCTCTGTCCCCCCCAGGTGTTGTGGCCCCTGAGTCCAGCTCAGAGTCACACCTGGCCACCCTCTTCCCAGGACCATCTACTCAGGCATCCTCCTATCACATATCCTTGGGGTTGGAGGGGTTGGGGGTATCCATGCCCTATGCCCTCTTGGCCCTGGGGAGGCCGGAGAGTTCCCTTGTTGAAGGAAAGGACCTCACCCTACTGCTTCACAACATCCCTGTTCAGTTCAGAGCTGCATGACTGGGAACCACGAGCCACAGCAACACCCCCAAGGTCCTCAAATCTGCTCCATGAGAATGACAGGGCAGCTGATAAGAAAGGAAAGATGGTGGAGAGCAGGACCCTGACTCCCTCCAGGGCCCTGAGAAGGTTCTCTTTGCATTCCACAGTTCAGTCTTTCAGCTTCATGTTTGTTGAGCACCTACTATGAGCTAGGAGCTGGGGCTACAGACGTGAATGTGTCTGGGTTGTGCTCACAGACTTCAGACTTACACACAGGTCTTTTCATCGTTGTGTGGTGCTGGCCCCAGAGAGGCATCAGCCCAGGACACTTTGGAGGATTCTGGAAATGTTTCTGGGAAGAAACTAGACCTAAATTTGTTGGGTCTGGAAGAGTATGTAAGGGTCAGACAAGGGAGGGCAGGTGGGGAGGGCGCTCATCGGAGGGAATGGGAACAGCAAGAGTGGGCAGCAGTGAGAGGCAGCCCGGGGGCTGGGCAGCAAGCAGGCTGGTGTTCTAGAAGGCAGTGACCGCAGACAGAGGCAGGGGTGTGTCAGAGTTTAGGTGGAGAGAAGAGCAGCAGAGGGGAGGAGTCCAGGATGCTGCACTCCTGGACTCCAGGGTGACAGTACTCTTCCCAGGCTAGGGACATAGAAGAGAGGGGACCAAGAGTGAGGGGGAGTCAGTGGGTTGAAGTTCCAGGGGGAGGTAGTGCACATGCAAACCAGGGCCCTTGTCATGGGTGGTGGGGGTTGGGGAGTGAGGGACCCAGCAGTTTAGGGGAGGCAGGAGGGTGTGGAGATCCCACTAGGGGTGTGGGAAGGAGCGACTGCTCTGACAGACATGGGTAGGGAGCAGAGAGCTGTAGATCATGGGGTGGAGTAGGGTCAGTCCCCCAGCCCACCCTTGGCCCTAAGGAGGCTGTCCACTGTTCAGGCTGCTGCAGGCCCCAATCCTGATTTTTTAGGGAGGAAAAGTGAACCCCAAATCCCATCTCTGATGAATAGGAAGTCCCCTCTCATGTCCGCCACTCATTCCTATGGCTGCCTGTTCACTCCTAGAACCAGGGCAGGCCCTGGGTGGACTTCAGAGATCACATATTTAGTTGACTCTCCCCACTCTCCCGAGGATTCATGTTTTACAGCCAGGGAAGACCAGAGTCTGTCTTAGAGAAGTGGGGGTAGAGATTAAGGTGGCGACTGGAATAAAACAGAAAGCCTTCTCTTCCTCTGTGCCCAAATTGGTCCTGCTGAACCAGGAGGCCCGGGGCCCTGGAGACTCCTGGTGTTGAGGAATACCTGATAGAGGAGGCCAGGGCCCACAGGGGCATCTGGCAGGGTCCAGGCCCCAGGGCCTCCTAGGAACACGCAACAGGCAACCTGGCTTGGATCAGCAAGGCAGGGCTGGTCAGGCTGGGCAAGGGCCTTGCCCCCCAACTCCAGAGCACCAGGGAGAGCTGCCACTTCTCAGGGCTCAGAAGAGGGTCTCCAAGTAGTAAAAGGTGAAGCCATTAACCACTTCAAGATGTGACTCAGAGTCAAAGTGCAAGCAGAGATTAGATAGAGAGATCTGAGTGGAGAGCTGAGGCTGTCAGGGTGCTGAGGCCTGATCCTGGGGCCACATGATCTTTCATTCATTATTCACTAGTTCAAGGAGCAGTCAGGCAGGGTGCCTCCTGCCAGGCTGGGGCAGGCGCATGAAGAATGACGTGGCCTTCAATCTGGTGGAGGAGGACTGAGAAACTAAGGATGAGAGTAACCAGGGACAAGTGGATCTCTGTTCCAGCTCATGTCAGGAACCCTGGAGAGTTTTCGAAAGCACCTAGGCCCTACCTCCTATTGGCAGAAAATACAGTACCTGTGGCTGGGTCCCACCCTGGTCTAATTAAATCAAGGTCCTGGGGGATGTGGCTGAACACGGCAGTATCAATATTTTTAAAAAGCCCCAGGTGACTCTGATCAGCAGCTGGAGCCCAGAACACAGCTAAGGTCTAAACAGAAAGTCAACATGGCTAGAGAAAGCTTGGGGACGGTGACTTCTTCCAGCCCAGTGGGTAAAGGCTGGTTCACAGTGTGGAGGGTTTAGTCTGTCGTCGATTCACTCCTTCATGTCTCATTTTCTCCCCCTTTCCCTCCTTTCATCCATCCATTCATCCAGCCATGTCCTGGCACCTTGCTAGTTGCTGGAGAGTTGGAGGAGCAGGAAATTCTTGCATCTATTTTTCTATCTTGGCAAGACACCATTTTTCCCCTTGTGGTGCTGGGGATTGAACCTTGCACATACTAGGCAAGTTCTCTGCCACTGAACTACATCCCCAGGCCTTTCTCTTAATTTAGAAACAGGGTTGCTCAGGCTGGCCTTGAACTTGTGATCCTCCTGTTTCTACCATTTGCCTATTCTGGGTATTTCATGTAAATGTAGTCACACAGTATGTGGTCATTCGTGTCTAGCTTCTTCTTCTTTTTTTTCTTTATTTTAAGAGAGAGAGAGAGAGAGAGAGAGAGAGAGAGAGAGAGAGAGAGAGAATTTTAATATTTATTTTTTAGTATTCGGCGGACACAACATCTTTGTATGTGGTGCTGAGGATCGAACCCGGGCCGCACGCATGCCAGGCGAGCGCGTTACCGCTTGAGCCACATCCCCAGCCCCTCGTTTCTAGCTTCTTTTGCTGGTTACCATAGGTGCATCCATGTTGTAGCATGTATGTAGGTTGTACACCATTCATTTCTAGGGTTGCATAGTGTTCCATATACACACCTTTTGGTTTATCCATTCATCTACTGATGGACATTTGGGTTGCTTCCATCTTTTGCCTATCGTGAACACAGTTACTACAAACTTCAAGTGTAAGTTTCTGTTGGAACTCTTGGATTCTGCTGAGTGCATACCCTGTTAAGCCTTTATTTTTTATTTTTATTTATTTATTTGCAGTACTTGCATGCTAGGCAAGCATTCTACCCCTGGGCCACATCCCCACACCCTTTTTCTTTTATTTTGAGATAGGTTCTCACTAAGTTACCCAGGCTGGCTTTAAATTTTTGATTCTTCAGCCTCAGTCCCCAAGCAGTTGAGATTACAGGCTTGTACCATCAGACCTGGCTGAGCCTTTATTTTCTTCTTTTCCATTTTTTAGAAACTTGGTATGATCTTTTTAAAAAATGAACACAGCTTTGATAAAACATTTCCAAAAAGAGAAATTGTCTAAATAAAGAAGGGTTTTGGTGCCAGGGGTGGGCTCTGTTCAGCAGGTGACAGAGAGGCAGGACAGGCATTTGAGTGAGAGTCAAGTCAGAGCTGGGCCCAGAGTGGGGAGCCAGCTCCACTTCTTTCCCAAGGTCCTGAGCCTGTAGCTCCAGGGAGTGCTGGGAGCCCTGTGGGGCTGGGCTAGCACCTGACACCCAGGGCACCCCCACCCTGGGCCCTGACTCCCACCCACTTTCTCCCCAGGCATCTCCACCATGACAAACCTGAGCGCCCAAGTCAAAGGCTCCCTCAACATCACCACTCCAGGGGTGCAGATATGGAGGATCGAGGTGAGCTCCCGCAGGCTGGGCTTGCTCCTGGTCGCACCCTGTGGGGCTGCCTGGAGCCCCTCTGTCACCTGCTGCCACCTGCTGCCAGCTCCACCCTCACTTGGGGCCTCTTCCTCATCCCCTGTCTGCTGCGCCCCTTCTCCTCCCTTTCCTCCATTTCCTCCTCACCTGCCCTGCAGCCTTCCGCTCCACTTCCGGTCCTCACAGTCTCTGGCTTCCTTTCTCCCTTCTCCTCTCCCCTCCTTTTGTTCCAAGGCCCTGATCTTTCCTGCTGTGGCCCCCTCCTCATGCGTCCTCTGCTCGGCTTCCTGGGCCCCCACCTCCTCCTCCTCTCCCTCTTCCCTGGCCTCAGGGTTCATGGTGCCCGGCCTCCCCTCTGACCCTCTTCTCTCTGCAGGCCATGCAGATGGTGCCCCTGCCGTCCAGCACCTACGGGAGCTTCTTCGATGGTGACTGCTATGTGCTCCTGGCTGTGAGTGGTTTGGGAAGGGGAGGAGGCTGAGCAGGAGCAAAGCCCACCTCCTGTTAGGGAGGAGCCTGGGCAGTGGGCAGGCCTGGCCTGACTTTTCCCCGGCTGGTGTTTCAACGTGTACCCAGGTACCCAGCCCGTGGCAGCTCCTCAGGGACAGAGACACACGTAAAAGGCTCTCCCTGCCCCTGAGCTTCCCGACTCCCAGCTGAGGCCACTTCTGTGGACTCAGTCTTGAGGATCTTCTGGGGGGTAACACCGCAGTCCTCAGCTTTGGCCTTCTGGATTTTCACCACACCCTGGGACCATCCCAACTGCCAGGGCATTTGTATTCTTTCTGTTGACTCATTTTAAAATTTTAAATACATCATTTAACAATTGAACCCAGTCTTTGATGTAAATAGGAAGCAGTGTTGTGTGTCACGAGCAGAAAGTAGCTGTATTTTCATAATAATGTTAAATGTAGCCGTCCTCCTCACCTACAGAATATTCTGAGATTCAACCAACCACATGCAGAATATTTGGAAAAATAATTGCATCTCTACTGAGTATGTGCAGACTTTTTTTCCCTTGTTATTTCATTATTTCCTAAAAAATACAGCATAACAACTATTGCTTTTTTTTTTTTTAGGGGGGGACTGGGCATTGAACTCAGGGGCACTTGACCAATAAGGCCACATCCCCAGTCTTATTTTGTATTTTATTTAGAGATAGGGTCTCACTGAGTTGCTTAGCGCTTCGCCTTTGCTGAGGCTGGCTTTGAACTTGCGATCCTCCTGCCTCAGCTCCTGAGCCACTGGGATTACAGGCATGTGCCACCATGACCGGCTCATGACAACGATTTATAGAGCAGTTACACTTTATTTATTTTGGAGTGCTAGGGATGGAACCCAGGACCCCAATTCTGCTAGGCAAGTGCTCTACCACTGAGCCACATCTTCAGCCCCCGGTTCAGGGATTCTAAGTAATCTAGAGATGATTTAAGATATATGTCATTTTACACAAGGAACCAGAGAATTGGCAGAATTTGGTATCCACAGAGGTCCTAGCTCCCTTATGGACGCTGAGGGACACACCAGTGTACATCCCCTGTGCCAAGCTCACCTGTGGCCCAGGCCCCAAGTACATGGGAGACTATGCAGAGTTGGACGTGGGGCTGTGGGGAGCCCAGGGCCTCGGGTACACTGAGCACCCCATTTCCCCAGATCCACAAGACAGGCAGCAACCTGTCCTATGACATCCACTACTGGATTGGCAAGGACTCCTCTCAGGATGAGCAGGGGGCGGCTGCCATCTACACGACGCAGATGGATGACTTCCTGAAGGGCCGGGCTGTCCAGCACCGTGAGGTCCAGGGCAACGAGAGCGAGGCCTTCCGAGGCTACTTCAAGCAGGGCCTTGTGTAGGGAGGGGAGCGCTGTGTGAGGGAGGGAGACAGGGCCCGGGGCTCAGAGGTGGGGATGGGAGATGGGGGTTGAGCTGAAGAGGCAAGAATACTGAGTCCTGTGGTGACAAGAAGACCCCAGGAGGTGGGAGGTGACCCAGGCCTGGAAGGGAGCCTGAGACTGTGGGGGAAGCCAAGGGACAGCTCACGTGAGCTTCTGCAGACTTTTCCGCCTTTCCACTCCCCCACCCTGTTTCTGCTGCCATTCCTCCTCAGCCCCCTCCCTCTGAGTGTACCTTGGTTGCCCCTGGAGGCTGTTCTGAAATCCATATCTCCACTGAAGTTCTGTCAATCAGCTCCTGTCTGGTGTTCTGGAGAGCTCAGAACCTAAGGAGACCCTCAGGGCATCACCTCAAGTCCCCTCTGCCTCTGGCTGATGGGCAGGTGGCCGCTCCCCTTCTCTAAGCAAGCCAAGCCTCATATCAGGTCGGAGGTTCTGGCCCCCTGGCTTTCCCGTGGGAACATGTGCTCTGCAGCCCAGTGGCTATTGAGCTGTGGAGTGGGCTGGGAGCTGTCCTGAGCCACAGTCCCCTCTCCTTCTTGTCCTGCTCTCCTCTCCCTACACTACAGCAGCAATCCACTCCTTTGGGCATTTGAATAGCACCTCTCCTTCTTCCGCTTTCATCCCCTGTGTTCAGGGCCCCGGCTTTATTATTCACTTGTCCTACCATCCATGTCACCACGACCCTGGCTTTGCAGCCCCTCTGAGGGCAAGGGCTAGTGTAGGATGAGTGGGCATCTGGGGTGCAGACTGGGGTGACCAGGGTTACCTGCAAAAGCACCTCAAAGAACCAACTTCACACTTGCAGGACACTGACAAACTCCTTAGAGTTTGCATCCCAAGTGCCTCAACCCCTTCACTTAGTCCCAGCAGGGTCCTAAATGGCCCTGGTGGCAGCCAGACATCCCAGGACCTGGGAGGAGAGGGCTCGGATCATTTCCTAGCCTACTCCCTTAGGTTGGCTCTCCTCTCCCCAGGATCCGGAAAGGGGGTGTGGCTTCTGGCATGAAGAAGGTGGAGACCAACTCCTATGATGTCCAGCGGCTGCTGCATGTCAAGGGCAAGAGGAACGTGGTGGCCGGAGAGGTAGACAGGCCTGCTGGGCACCGGGCAGGGAATGAGGAGGACTGCTGGGCAGGGAGGCGTGTCAAGAGACCATGCTGATGGATGGGCTGAGTGGGGTCTGTGGCTCCCCCAGGTGGAGATGTCTTGGAATAGTTTCAACCGAGGTGATGTTTTCCTCCTGGACCTTGGAAAGCTTATCATCCAGTGGAATGGGCCAGAGAGTAACCACATGGAGAGACTCAGGGTAAGCCTCTCACCCCACCTGTTCCTGCAGACCCAGCCCAGGCTCTGCCCCCTATGTAAACCTGTAGACCTCTGCCACATCCTTGGTGACCCCAGTGCCCTCAGCCTCTCTCCAATATAGGGAACAGGATGGTGGTGAAGGCAGACCTGGGTTTCCACGTGCATGGGAGAGGCATGTTGGAGTTGGCCTGTGTATACTCATGGTTAATGCCCTTAGGTGGGATGAGTTCCCACAGTGTGGCAAACCTGTGCCAGGCCTTGGGAGTCCAGAGGTGAATGAAATGGGCAGAGCTTCACCTCACTCTGGCCGTCAGCATCAGTGGCAGAGACAGACAGGAAGGGAATAAGCCAAGGGCTTCCTGGAGGAGCATGGTGCTGGGTGCAGGGAGGCTTCTGGGACACAGAGGGGTGGGAAGGCCCTAGAGCAGGAAGGAGGTAGATTAGGGAATCAGAAGCGAAACAGGAGCTTGGAGAACAGGTTAGGGGGGGGAAGGCTGGGGGTTTCCGCTCAGTGCAGCTGGCCATTGAAGGTCATCTGACTTCTGAGTGGAGATGGGGCCAGCAAGAGGCTAAGACCAGCAGAGAGGCCCTGTGGCCCTCCAGGTGTGATGGAGGCAGGCAGAATCTGCTGAATGAGGTGGGGGGCCGAGAGGAGTGAGGCTGACTCCAAGCTCGGTGCTCAGAGAACCCTGGGAATCGGTGGGGTCCCGTTTCCTGGGAAGATCTCAGGGGAGAAGACAGAGGTCTGTTTTCGGCATCTTACCACGTCTTCTGGGAATTTGGGTAAATGAGATAAGAGCAGAGACCAAGGCTGGAGAATGAAGCAGGTGCAGCAGGCCCTGGGACAGGAGAGGTGGCTGGGGAGGGCGAGTGCCACGTGTGTGGTTGTGTGTTCGTGGTGAGTCCACAGGCATGCTTTGGTGCAAAGGGACAGTCCAGTACTCTGCTCTTCAGGGCTCAGCTCTTGCACAAAAGTAAGGTCACAAATTTCAAATGTCAAAACCAAAGTTCCGTCAAGTCTGCCCTGAACACTCTGTTGCTGACTAGGAAACCTGCTTGCCCCCTGCTTCTCACCTGGCTTCCTCGTGCATGCCTTAAATGCCTGGCCTCAGCCCTGGTGGCTGCTGGGGACTGGAGCTTTTCTGGGGGATTTGGGTGGCTGACACTGCTTTGTCTCCTGAGAGCCTTCCTGGGTACCTTCCTGCAGGGCATGAACCTAGCCAAGGAGATCCGAGACCAGGAGCGGGGAGGGCGCAGCTACGTGGGCGTGGTGGACGGGGAGAACGAGTCAGCCACCCCGCAGCTGATGGAGGTGATGAACCATGTGCTGGGCCGGCGCAGGGAGCTGAAGGCAGCTATGCCCGACACGGTGGTGGAGCCGGCACTCAAGGCGGCCCTCAAGTTGTACCAGTGAGTATTTGGCTGAGATCTTCCTGGGTGCTGGGGACTTCCCGAGGGCAGAATGCCCTGGCTGAGGGGCTTGGACCCGTCTGTGTCTTTTTCGTCCCACAGTTTGTCTGACTCAGAGGGAAAACTGGTGGTTAGGGAGGTTGCCACTCGGCCACTCACACAGGACCTGCTAAGCCATGAGGTGAGAGCGCCTGGCACACCTCTCCCCCAAGCAGCACAAACTCCCAGCTCTAGGGCTGGTGCGAGGGAGGCCAGCCCAGCCCAGCCTCTGGCACCAGCACGGTGAGGCTCTCATTGGGTCTTTTTCTTTCTTGTCCTGGGGATTGAATCCGGGAGTACCTTACCACTGAGTGACATCCTATTCCTTTTTATTTTTTGTTTTGCGATGGTGTCGCTAAGTTGCTGTGGCTGGCCTGGGACTTGAGATCCTTCTGCCTCGGCCTCCCGAGGTGCTGGGATTGCAGGAGTGCATGACCCTCCCTGGTTCACTGGCTCTCTGTCTCTCTCCACTGTAGGACTGTTATATCCTGGACCAGGGGGGCCTGAAGATCTACGTGTGGAAAGGGAAAGCAGCCAATGCAGAGGAGAAGAAGGGCGCCATGAACCAGGCCCTGGTAGGGATGGTGTTGGGAAGGAGGGTCAGGGTGACAAGGGAAGAAACAGCTGCAGGGAGGGCAAGAGGGCTTAGATCAGGGCCAGGCAGGGGCCGGCTGACCCAGCTGTGGCAGCTGAGGGGCCATCTGTAGGCACCTTGGGGGCTCTCTGCAGGCCAGGGAGCCAGCCACCAGGCACCCCTGGCACCTCCTCAGGATGTGGGCTGTTACTCCCCTCGCTCCAGCTCGTTTTAGAGAAGGGAGTGGAACTGGTAGCTGACCTTCCTACAAAAGGGGATTGGGTCAGCTTGGGACCAGGGCCCAGTCAGTGTTTGGGATGATGGGAGTGGGTTTGCAATAGGGGGCTGGTCATGAGGCTTAGAATTAAGATGGGGTTGAGCGAGAGGTCAGATTTGGTCTTAGGGTTAGGATCAGAAATATTCTTGGGGTCAGTATTAGATTCAGAGTTGAGGTCAGAGTAAGGCTTGAGGCCACTGTTAGGTTTGAGATGGTGTCAAGTTTGACCTTGAAGTTGGGGTTGGAGTAGGCTTAGGTTTGGGGTCGGCATTGGGCTTGGGGGTTGTGTTCAGGTTTGGGACCTGGGGCAGGTGTGACGGTGGAGCTGGTTGGGGTGAGAGCCAGGCTTTGGCTTGCCTTGGGGTGGGGGCTGGGAAGGCACATAGTGTCTAGATGCCCCCTTCTCTCCTCAGAACTTCATCAAAGCCAAGCAGTACCCACCAAGCACTCAGGTGGAGGTGCAGAATGATGGGGCCGAGTCAGCCGTCTTCCAGCAGCTCTTCCAGAAGTGGACAGTGCCCAATAAGAGCTCAGGCCTGGGCAAAACCTACACCGTGGGCTCCGTGGGTGAGGGCTGAACTGGGGCAGCTTGAGAGGCAGGAGCTGGGATCCAGGAGCTGGGCCAGGGAGCAACTTGGCCTGTCCCCTCACTCGCTCCCTGAAGCACCTCTTCTCTGCACACTTTTGTCCTGACTCCGAACTCCCCTGCACGGGTTGCATGAAGAGCTGTCACAAGAGGGAGTTAAAAATGACCTGCCTTCCATTTGGAATGGGGTTGGGTCTTCTTGGGATCCAAACAGCGTCTCGTCAGACAGTATTTGCTGAGGCAAACTTGGTGCCAGGTCCTGGGGGAGATAAAAGCCTCTGTCACCATGGAGCTCTCTATTGGGATGGGAGATACTTGAAGTCACTGCAAGGGTCAGCAAAATGTGGCTCACTGAAGATGAAGTCTTGCTCTTGTCCCTTTCTTGTCCCTGGTGGCTTTTCTGGGAGGAATTAATGAAGCAGGTGTCTTAAGGGCATGGGGATGTGATTCTGTAGTTTCTGCTATTTTCCACGTGTGTGACCTTGGGTAAGCTACTGAATTTCTCTAGTCTCAGTTTCCTCATCTATAAAATGGGTCTAAGAACTGTAGCCACCACTCAGGACTGTTGTGAGGACGCGGGTGACAGTCCTCTTGGCTGGTAACAGTTGATGTTATGCTTCCCCCCACTCCAGCCAAAGTGGAGCAGGTGAAGTTTGATGCCACGTCCATGCACGTGCAGCCTCAGGTGGCCGCCCAGCAGAAAATGGTGGATGACGGGAGCGGGGAGGTGCAGGTGTGTGAGGGGCGGAGGCCCATGCTGGGTAGGGGAAGGGAGGTGGAGCTTGGCCTGGACCTTACACTGCCTGATACTGGCCCCAGGTGTGGCGCATTGAAGACCTCGAGCTGGTGCCCGTGGATTCCAAGTGGTTAGGCCACTTCTATGGGGGAGACTGCTACCTGCTGCTCTACACTTACCTCATCGGCGAGAAGCAGCACTACCTGCTCTACATCTGGCAGGTAGACCCACCACATCCCACCGGAGCACAGCCCACTCACGCCCCTCCACCATGCCTCACTGTTAGTCTTGGGTCGAGTATCCCTGGTGATGGGGCGCTCACTCCTCCAGAGGCAACCCATCCCCTCTTGGGGCAGCTTTGGCTGTGAGACCCTATGGGGTGCCCCCACTCACAGCCCTTTCCTTCTTGGTTCTCTGAATCTCCCTCCCTGGGGTTTGCGTCCAGATGTGAGGGAGGAGGGAAACGCTTGGGGCTGGGGGTAAGTGGGGTGGTATTTCCTTGAGGAAGGAGGAATCAAGAGAGCAGGGCTGGGCTGGGCTGAGATCTCACTGGGTTTGGGGCTGGAGTGGAATTGGGACATGAGTCAGGTTGGGTTATTGGCTGTGTCCTGGCTGAGGTTTGAGGGGAGACAGTGGGCTGGGGCCAGGTCAGTGCTGGGGAGGGAGTGTTTCTAAGGCTGACTCCACACCACCCCGCCCCGCCTTCCTACTCATCCCCAGGGCAGCCAGGCCAGCCAGGATGAAATCGCAGCCTCAGCCTATCAAGCTGTCATCTTGGACCAGAAGTATAATGATGAGCCGGTCCAGATCCGGGTCCCGATGGGCAAGGAGCCACCCCACCTCATGTCCATCTTCAAGGGACGCATGGTGGTCTACCAGGTGTGGCTGCTGGACTGAGGCGGGTGGGCATCCAAGAGACTGGAAAGGGGACAGGCCGTGTGGGTGGGGCTCAGGGCGAAGTCCATTCCTCAGAGAGCAGGACCATTTGGGGTTCTATCACCTACGAGAACTGCTAATAGAAACAACCACTTGGCAACTTTAGAAATAATACGTAACGAGCCCTTGCCCTGTGTAAGCACAGTCTGATCTCCACGCCCTTGAATCTTCTACATAAAATGTTTTATGGTTTGCCTAAATGAGGCACCTGTCCAAACTTCACTGGTGTCTTCCAATATGTGAAGCAGACATTTCATACAGCCATTTAAACAGTAATCTGTTTATTGAGCATCTTCTAAGTACCCAGTTCTTTGTAATTCACCAAGCCAGGAGAGGTGTGGCAGGCTAATATGGCTTACCATCTTTTTGGAAAAGGACAGTGGTGTGGTGTGTCTGAGCCGTGAACTCACAGCCTGAGCCCTTTGTTGTTAAAATGAGCAAAATAAAAGTTGAGTTCAAAGTGGTGCCAGGAAGGCAGTCCCTGGGACCAGGCATGGAGTTAGTTCATGGTGAGAAGGGGATTTTGAGGAGGTCTTGACATTTGGGGCAGAGCTGAAGAGCTTGGTGGAGGTAAAAGGAGGGTTTGCAAAGCAGGGGACACTGCAAGGTCCAAGGCCCAGGGGAAGGCTCCACAGGGAACAGTGAGAAGCTGGCCAAGCTCAACCCCAGGGTTTGGAGAGCACGTGAGCCTGCAGAAGTGACCAGTGTCTTCAGCTGAGTTTTAGTCTATAAAACGGTGGGGAGCTACTGAAAGATTTTGAGCAAAGAAGTGCTGGAATGAAAGCCATTTTTGGAAGGATCAATCTAGCAATGGTTTATCAGAGGACCTGGAGGGTAGGCAGGCCTCGCCTCACCCTCCTCCTCCCTCTCTGGTTCTCTGTGTCCCTAGATTCCCCCACTGTCTCCCTCACTGAGTTGTTCCTCTCTCCCTGGCTTCTCCCACCCTTATAGGGAGGCACCTCCCGGGCCAACAACTTGGAGCCTGTACCCTCCACGAGGTTGTTCCAGGTCCAGGGAACCACTGCCAACAACACCAAGGCCTTTGAGGTCCCAGCCCGGGCCACCTCCCTCAACTCCAATGATGTCTTCATCCTGAAGACCCCATCCTGTTGCTATCTGTGGTGTGGAAAGGTATGCACGGGGTCTTGTGGCCTCCTATCCCCAAGTGGGCCCTTGGAGTCTCTCAGTCTCAAAGCAGACTGGATGAAGGTAGGACCCCTGGCAACCAGACCCCATTTGCTGGGTCTCCAGCCCCTTGGTAGCCCAATCTCCCAGCTCTGTAGCTCTGGGCCTGACAATCTCCCCACCTCCAACAGTCTCTGATTCTCTGCCTCTGTGTTGGGGTCAGACTTGTTCTGTTTGTCTCTGGATATTCCGTCTGTCCCAGTGTTGTTGGTCTGCATCTATGCCTTGGGGTCGTTCACTACCCTATGCTTCTCCCTTAATCTCTGTAGCAGGGACTCACAGCCTCTTGGAATCCCTCTTCCACCCTCTGAGGTGGGGTGCGGATGCTTTGGTCTCCTATGCTGTTCTTTGGAGTGTCCAGGGAGTCAGACACTGGAGCTCTGGGCAGGGAGAAGTTGGCACTGACACCAGAGAGGTCTCCCCCTCTACCCCCAGCATGGCCTGTCCCCTCTCTTTCCCAGGGCTGCAGTGGGGATGAACGGGAGATGGCCAAGATGGTTGCTGACACCATTTCCCGGACAGAGAAGCAAGTGGTGGTAGAAGGGCAAGAACCAGCTAACTTCTGGATGGCCTTGGGTGGGAAGGCACCCTATGCCAATACCAAGAGGTAACTGTCGAGTCCTCTGCTCCCAGCACCTCCACCCCATCCAGAGACTGCATGGAGTAGACTGAGAACTGTGTACCTGGTGCCCAGGGCTACAAGATGAATAAGGGGCAGCCTGTGGGCTTGAGGCTCTGGGGCACAGAGCTGTGCCCATGTGCCCACCATGGGATACACAGACCCTGATGGAGTGTTTCCCTGGTAACAGGAGTTCATAGCCACAGCTTAAAGAGAGGGCAGAGCTAAGCATTTGTTTGCTCTTCACAAAGAAGGTGTCAGAGCCTAACTCCTTTCCTTAGGTGCTGACAAAAGCCCAGGTTGCTGAGGAACACCAACTGTAAAGCCTCTTTCAAATGGTCTTTCTAAAAAATATCCATGACTACCACCCAGTTCAAAAGCAAAAGAGCATATACTGCAGTAGCAGCAGGAAGGATGGGGGAAGATAGCAGGAAGAACTTCCTACCAGGGCTATGGAAAAGCCAGTGGAATTCATGTCCAGAACAGCAGTGGGGATTTCCTTCTTTGAGCACTCTTCGGATGACAGAAGACTTTTGTCAATCATAAGATGGGACATTTGGTGAGGCGATGGCCTTTCCATGTCGGAGCCCCTCAGAGTCTGTGTCCTCAGGTTTCCTCCCCCCACAACTTTCTCCTGCCAATGCAATCTTCTCTTCTGCAGACTACAGGAGGAAACCCTGGCCATCACCCCCCGGCTCTTTGAATGCTCCAACCAGACTGGGCGCTTCCTGGCCACGGAGATCCCAGACTTCAATCAGGACGACTTGGAGGAAGATGATGTGTTCCTACTGGATGTCTGGGACCAGGTAGGACCAAGGGCCTTAGTCCCCAGGGCCAAGAAGCCCCCATGACTTTAGGGGTCGGTAAGCATCACTGTTTTGGGATCCCCTGTTCTTTCTCCCTGAGAATGGCATTATGAACACCAGGATCAGAAGGGAGGAAGGGGAAGGGCTGTGTCCCGTAGGGCTGCTGGCAGGGGGGAGCCTTTTCTCCCCTGTCTTCTGTTTCCTGGGTCAGTAGGTACATTTGGACACTCAGGCTCAGGATGCTGGAGTCACACGTGTGCAGAACATCCACGTAGGGCCTGTGCAAAATCAAAGCCAGATGGGCCACCCAAGGTCATTTCACTAGGTAGCACAGGGCTGGGGCTCTACTCTTGGACATCTCAGTGACTGAGGCAGAGCCCTGAGGGCTGGGGAGGACAGGAAGGGCTGACTGAGCTGCTGGGATGCTCTGCAGGTCTTCTTCTGGATAGGGAAGCATGCCAACGAGGAGGAGAAGAAGGCGGCGGCCGTCACCGTGCAAGAGTACCTCAAGACCCATCCCAGTGGCCGCGACCTTGAGACCCCCATCATTGTGGTGAAGCAGGGACATGAGCCCCCCACCTTCACAGGCTGGTTCCTGGCGTGGGATCCCTTCAAGTGGAGTGTGAGTGGCCCCTGCCCCACCTGGTCCTCGCAGCCCAGCACATCCTTCTCTAGGAGGCTTCTTCAAGGGACACCCAAGGACGGTAGACGCAACAGGTCTTTCTCCTCCTTTGGGACATGTGACCTGCTTATTTGAAAAAAGGTTAGACAGGGCTTAGAATTAAAAGCAAGACTTAAGTAAGGCCATGAAGCCTCCCTGGTGAGGGAGAGGAAAGGAAGTCTGTCAAAAACCAAGGCTAGGGGGCTGGGGCTACAGCTCAGTTGTTAGAGTCCCACATGCACATATGCCCTAGGTTCAATCCCCAGCACCACCAAAAAAAAAAAAACCCAACCTACCAACCAACAAACAAAAAAACCACCAAGGCTAGGACTTGGGAGGCTGTGGCAAGAGGATGGTGAGTTTAAGGGCAGCCTCAGCAACTTAGTGACATTCTGTCTCAAAAGGAAAAAAAGAAAAGGGATGGGGGTGTAGTTCAGAGGTAGAGCACCCCTGGGTTTACTCCCTAGCTCCACAGGTGGGTGGAAACCAGTGAAGATTTTCCTCCCCAAAGGAGGAAGGCCCAAGTAGAGAGGCCTGGCCTGATGGCTCTGGGTTCGCTTACTTAGCACAACAGGTGAATTTAGGGATGCATAATTTCCTCAAGTTGAGATTTTGTGTATATGTATTTTTTAAACCTGTAGCTGATGGGCCGTTTAGTCTTGAGGACCTCGAGGCAGCGAGTCTCAGTGCCAGGCCTTCTAAGACACACTTCAGTGCCCAACTCAGTGGCCCTGGCAGCCCTTCCCTCACCCTAAGTCTGTGTGGGCTTCTCTCTCAGCCTCATTCATTCAGCATGAGAGTGGGGAGTTTGCGATCTGCCAGGCCTGCGGCCATAGAGGTGTGGTCCCTGGGGAGTCATGGTCCCTGTGTTCCTCTTGCTCCTCTGCGGCAGGGCTTCCCTCCAGTGTCTAGGAGCCCTGAGGTCCCCAGAGCGTGCAGAGTGTGGATGGGTTCTTGGCTGCTTGTGGCTGCTCACATGGGCTCTATGGTGAGGGTGGTCATGTGACTCTCCATCCCCACATTGGGCTGAGCAGGGACAGGTTAGCAGCCTGGCCTGCCTGTCTCTGATCTGTCAGCCCCTTTGTCCCATCCTCACCATTTTTTTTTTTCTTTTGGTACTAGGAATGGAACCCAGGGAGCTTAACCAGTGAGCCACATCCCCAGTCCTTTCTTATTATTCTTTAAAATTTTGAGACAGAGTATCACTGAGTTGCTTAGGGCTTCGCTAAGTTGCTGAGGCTGGCTTTAAACTCACAATCCTTCTGTGTCTGCCTCTCGAGCTGCTGGGTTACAGGCATGTGCCACTAAGTTGACCCATCCTCACCATTTAAGCTCCTTTTCAGGGGCCTCCTCCAGCCCTCTGAGCTTCCTCTTTCCCTTCTCACCACTAGGCCCTAGATCAGCCTTCTTTCAACTCCTGAAGGAAAATGGCCTCTTGTCTCCTCTGCTGAGATCTGTGTCTGAACAGTTGTTTACTTTATATGCAGAATACCAAATCCTATGAGGAACTGAAGGCAGAGCTTGCGAACTCTGGGGACTGGAGCCAGATCACTGCTGTGAGTACGGAGAAGGTGGCTGGGCCCTGAGTTGGATGTTGGCAGTGGGATGCTCCCATGGGTGCTGAGAACTTACCAGACAGAAATGTCAATGTCCTCTTTTCTCCTTCTCCTTCTTCTCATGGAAGTTCTTGCTGTTTAACTGCAGGGCCTCTAGTGTTTTATTTTTCCTTTCCCTAGTGAAATGGTTTTCAATTTTTATCATGCATAGGAGTCTGGGTGATGTTGCGGGGGCAGCATATCAAAATGCAGATTTCAAAGCCCCATTCCTAAATATTCTGATTTGTGGACTTTGGGGTAGCACCCTGGAATTGTATACTTTAGGTAAAGGACCCAGAGGTAGTTTGATGCAATTAGCTCATAGGCTGCAGTTGGGGAAATAATGACATCTCTGGACACCATCATCCCTGGGATCATGTCTCCAGGCAGAATAAGTGCAAGTCTTTCATCTCTAAAGTAGTTAAGAGGAATGTATTTATCTGTAGGCCTGGAATATGGGAATATGAAGTCAAAGCCTTTCCTCTGAGTTCACAGGCCAACAGGGAGTAAAGACAGGGCTAACTCTGCAGAAATATGAAGTGGTTTCACAAGCACAGTGTGGTCATTGACAGATGGCTCTTTCAGGCTGGGAACCCCGTAGCACTCAATAAGTGGACTGACAGTGCAGATTGGAAAGGACAGATAGGCCAAGGCTAAGTAAATTTCTGGATGACAGTTTCTTAACAGATGAGAGTCCAGGGTTGATCTCAAACTCTGGGGGAAAGCCATGGAGAAGTTAGTAAGTCATTGAACCAGAGAGTCATCTAATACCAACTGACTTCTGTCAGATATAGACCATTAAGCTCCCAGCTCCTGGGTCCAGTCTTTATGCCTGTGCATGTGTGTGCGTGTGTGTGTGTCTAGGTGGGGTAGATCATGGAAAATTTCTTGAAGGGGGTGCCCTGAGTCAATGCTGACTTTAGAGAGGAAGGCAGCCTAGGAGGGGGCCACAAGCCAGCTGAAGAAACCAATGCCCCTTCCTTCTCTAGGAGGTCACAAGCCCCAAATTGGACATGTTCAATGCCAACACCAGCATCAGTTCTGGACCACTGCCCATCTTTCCCCTGGAGCAGCTGGTGAACAAGCCTGTGGAGGAGCTCCCTGAAGGTGTGGACCCCAGCAGGAAGGAGGTGGGTCTGGTTCCCCAATCAGGACCAAGAACATATGGCTCTTCTATTTGCTGGACAACTTAATTGCTCCCAGATTGGGTTCTGCAGGGGACTGGGTGATGGGACTGGATGTCCTAGTGTACAAGGCAGACCTGGGTCCACCCTCTTGCCAGCTTACATCCTGGGGGACAGAGATCAGAGCACTCATTTCAGCGATGAAGTATAGGTGTCAGCCAGAGTGTTATGAAAAGGAGCCTGTTTTACTCAAAGATTTCCTTCCGAAAGGCAGACAAGAATTAATTATTGAGGCAAAGCAAGTTATTCTTAGAGAAGGAACACAAGTATGAACCCAGAGACACGAGTCAGCACAGAGTTGGGGAGGGACAGCTGGCTGGCCTTCTGTCCCATATTAAGGACTGTACTGTCCATCCTGCAGTTAAACAGGGGTCATATGGTTGAATCAGTGGCTGTCAGACTTAACAGTTTTGATCATTCTATGCTGGGTGTGGTGGCGCACACCTGTAATCCCAGAGGCTTGGGAGGCTGACACCAGAGAATCACAAGTTCAAAGCTAGCCTCAGCAAAAGCAAGGCACTAAGCAACTAAGTGAGACCCTGTCTTTAAAAAATACAAAATAGGCCTGGGATGTGGCTCAGTGGTTGAATGCCCCCGAGTTCAATCCCTAGTACGAAAACAAACAAAAAGATCACCCTAGGTGCCCAGTGAACATACTAGTTAGGAGATGTGAAGACAGCATTGTCTAAGAGGAGGTGGGAGCCTAGAGGAGATGAAAAAGATGCCCAGAGAAGTCTTTAGGAGGAAATTAGTGGATCAGGAGTGTGAGACAGAAAACCCTGGCAGGTAGCAAGGTTCACATGAGGGGAGAGTACAGCAAGAAGAACTTTTCAAAGTCACATTTCTAATATCATTCCCACTTCATGAGACCCGCAATGGACTGCACATCTAGCTCAAGTGTTTTGAGATGAAAGTGTGCATAGGGGCTGGGGTTGTGGCTCAGTGGTACAGCGCTCGCCTAGCACGTAAAAAACAAAAGTATTGTGTCCACCTACAACTAAAAAAAAAATTAAAAAAAATATTTTAAAAAAAGTTATAAAAAAGTCTGTGTGTGTGTGTGGGGGGTGTGTGCTGGGGACTGAACCCAGGGCTTTGTGCGTGCAAGGCAAGCATTCTACCAACTGAGCTATATCCCCAGCCATAAAAAAGTCTTATAAATGAATCAAGGTATCTATAGAAGACAGATGCCCAGTTTCTCCCAGAACATTAAAACCTATGGAGGGTGTAGATTGTTCCAGAGTGCGTCCATCCTGCTGTCTACCTTGGAGGAGAGGAGTGTGTTCTCTGAATCCTTCCACCTGTGAGGTGGCTGGAAGGCTAAGGTCCAGAGAGAAGTGACATGCCTAACGTTAACTAGCAAGTTGCAAAGCCAAAGCAAACACCAGGACTTCTGAGTGCCACTGTTACTATCATACTCTGGAGGCATAAAGGAAGTATTTCCAGAGGGAAGGGCAGCCAATGTTATGGAACAGAGGGCTGACAGGAGGTTAGAGTGGGCTATTGATGAACTAAGACAGTCCACATGGCAGAGGCAAAAGGGACTCAGGTTTTTTATTTAAAAATCAGTTGTCCAGGGGCTGGGACTGTAGCTCAGTGGCAGAGTGCTTGCCTAGCATATGTGAGGCACTGGGTTTGATCCTTAGCACCACATAAAAGTAAATAAAATAAAGGCATTCTGTTCATCTACAATTACAAAAAATAATAATAATAATAATAATAAATCAGTTGTCCAGCAAGATGTGATGGCACACACCTGTAAACCCAGCGACTTGAGAGGATGAGGTAGGAGGAGCCCAAGTTTAAGGCCACTATGGACAACCTAATGAGACACTGTCTCAAAAAAGAAGAAAAAAAAAGTTGGGGAGGGGTGTTTGTGGTGTGGCTCAGTAGTAGAGTGCTCCTAGGTTCAATTCCCAGGACCAATCAACAGTGTTTTTTTTTTTTTTTTTTAAACCCAGGGGCACTCTACCACTGAGCTCCATCTCTACCCTCTTTTATTTCTGTGAGACAAGGTCTTGCTAAATTGCCCAGGCTGGCCTCAAATTTGCAATCCCCAAGTAGCTGGCATTCTGGGCATGCATTGCTATGCCCAGCTGTTGCTGATTTTTTTTTTTTTTAATCATAGAAGTAATATATGTGTGTATGTATTGGCACCAGGAATTGAAACCAAGGGAGCTTAACCACTGAGCCACATCCCCGGCCCTTTTTAAAATTTATTATTTATTTGGGACTGGGGATTGAACCCAGAGGTGCTTAACCACTGAGCCACATCCCCAGCCCATTTTTGTATTTTATTTAGAGACAGGATTTAAGTTGCTGAGCCTAGCTTTAAACTTGCGATCCTCCGGTCTGAGCCTCTGGGCTGCTGGGATTATAGGCATATGCCACTGTGCCCTGCTATTTTTTTTTTTTTAAAGATAGGGTCTCAATAAGTTACTTAGGGACTTGCTAATTTGCTGAGGCTGGCTTTGAACTCATGATCCTCCTGCTTGAGCCTCTCAAGTTGCTGGGATTATAGGCATGCACCACCCTAGTAGTGTACATTCTTTTTTTTTTTTTTAATATTTTTATTTTTTTTAGGTGTAGATGGACACAACACAATGCCTTTATTTTTATGTGGTGCTGAGGATCGAACCCGGGTCCCGCCTGTGCTAGGCAAGCGCTCTACCGCTGAGCCACAATCCCAGCCCCTAGTGTACATTCTTGTAGAACTGAGAGTTCAATGCCACGTGGGGAGGTAGGAGAGGTTTTCAGACCTCTCTTCCTTCTGCAAACACAGAAGGTAAGCCAGTAACAAGAGAGTGCGGCAGATCTGGCTGCAGGTAGTAGCTGAAGGTAATCTAAGTGTTGACCCTGATGAGTAAACCTTAGGGAGAAGGATATGGGCGTGGGGGGCAATCAGCTGGCAGACCTGAAGAGTTCAAGAGCATGGAAAGACATAAGTACCCTGGGATGGGCAGTCCGTGCTATCTGGCCTTGGGGCGGGGGTGGGGTGGAGTTGGGGGGCGGTGGCGGTCAGAGTCCAGCAATTTTGAAAGAGTTGAGGAGCCAGCCTGGCTGGGCCAGAGAGGGCAGAGTGGAGTCATTTATAGAGACCTGGGACACAGCAGTCACAGTTATGAGGAACCTGAGGTTTGGCAGCTCTTCCCCGCACCCCCCCCACCAACTTTCATATTTATTTACCCTCTCTTCCAAGACAAAGTGCTCCACTGCCCTGCCTGGGGATAGAAAGGTTCCCAGCATCCAGCTCCCAGAAACCTTGAAGAGAGAATGCCTAGGGGTGGGAGGCAAATCTAATGATAGGTTAAAGAACTGGAGAGCCTGATCCACCTGTGCTTGAAATCCATTGCAGGTGTTTACCAAGCAGCTGTTCAATGCAGGGCTCTCTGGAAGTCCCTTATTGGGGTTCAAGGCAACTCCACTTCAGCAGAGTAGCCTGAGATGTTAAAAAGACCCACTATGCTCATCCCTGCACTGTTCAACTCTCCATGCCTAGGGGAGCAGGGATGAAGACTGAGAGATGCTGTTAATATAACTTAAAGTATGCCCAGAGGGCAGTTGGCTGCCTTAAATAATATCACAATGATATCATCTTAAAGTTGGTAACAAAGGACCTTTAGTCAATTCCTGGCTGAAGATACCCAAGGCCTAGTCAGGTAGTGACTCCCAAGGTGACCTCTTAGTCAAGAGTCAAAACGTGAAATTGTGCTATCTAGTCCATAGGATGAGAGGAGCTGGAATGCTGTTTTGCTCTCTAGTTTTCAAAACAGCTAGGTTGAATTTGGCTCAGAATTTGTTCTTTGGCCTTCCTGGCTTCTCCTCCTACAATCCTTTCTCCATTCTACTTTCTGCAGCCACCCTCCCAGAATCTCTAAGCAAAACTCATTCCTACAAAATGATCTGGCTGCTACACTGACCATGGAGTAGGAGACTGATGAGATTTAATGTGTTGCCTTTTAGTCAGGAACAAAACTGAAGGCCAAGAAGGCTGAAGCTATCTGTAATGGTAAAACTCCAGTTAACTGCAAGCACAGTAGTACACTTGCGGATTGAAAGCAAACCTCACAGTATGCCTGAAACCACTCAAGGCAGGAGGAGTCAGGATGGTGCAGTGAAGCATGTACTGATTGAAATCAGGGACACAGTCACCCCTCAGTATCTACAGGGAATTTGTTTCTGGATTCCCCATGATACCAAACTCCAGGGATGCTCAAGTCCTATATAAAATGACATAGTATTTGCATATAACCTGCATACATCCTCCTGTATACTTCAAAGTATAATAATCAATATAAAATATCTAAGACAATGTAAATGTTATATAAACAGTTGTTACACTGTACTGTTAAGGGAACAATGATAAGAAACATCTGTACACATTCAGTATAGACACAATTTTTTTTGGTGATACTGGGGATTGAACCAGTGCCTCGAATATGCTAGGCAAACGCTCTACTGATAACTAGGTCCTCAGCCCTTTTTTAGACAGGGTTTCGCTAAGGTGCTGAGGTTAGTCTGGACCTTCAGATCCTCCTGCCTCAGCCTTCCAGGTAGCTTGGATAGGCATATGCCATCATACTTGGCTAAACACACAATTCTCATCCACTCCAAATGTTCTCAATCTTTGGTTGGTTGAAAACATGCATGCACCAGAGGGCTAAAAATTTGCCTCAGTGTCTTTGTAAGTACATGTGTTAGATGGTTGCTTCCTCTGTCCATGAGGGCCACAATAGGCCCTACATCCTGTACAGCTGATCTGCTAGCTTGGTTCCAAGCAACATAGGGCCAGGAGACCCTTCCTGAGGAGTATGGGTTCTTGTGGTAGCGATAATATCACAAAGCCACACTGGGACAGATGCCCTAAGGCTCATTAGCTTATTTTGTGGGCCAGGTTGGCTTCACTGTTTAATAGGTGAAGGCAGATGAAACAGTTAGCTACTTTTTTTTTTTTTCCCCAAAAAACTTTTTCCTCTGCAATATTTTCATCTTCATAAAAGCAGGTGAAGGGTTGGGGTTGTAGTTCACTGGTAGAGTGCTTGCCTAGCATGTGTGAGGCCTTGGGTTCAATCCTCAGCACCACATAAAGATAAATAAATAAAATAAAGGTATTGTGCCTGTCCACAACAACAAAAAAAATTTTTAAAAAGTGAAAATTGGCTTTTAATAAAATGTCTCCCATTTTATAGATAGGAAAACTAAGAACGACCTGGAAAGAGCTTTAAACAACCTTAAGTCAAATGTCCTAATTCTTATTTCCAGGCTAATGTGAATTTGACCCTGGCAAAAATAAGGAACTCAATTTACTGCATTACCATTCTTTCATGTTACAAGTTCAGGGATCCTCTGAACCCTCTAAATGCCACCTACTCCTCCCCAGGCCCTCATGACATTGCTTGCTTTTGCTCTTCTTTGACTCATTATATGCCGCACCTATATGACTCATCTGGGCAAACCCTGGCAGACTCTGACCTTTGCCTTCTTTGGCCCATCATCTCTCCTAGGAGCACCTGTCCATTGATGACTTCACCAAGGCCCTGGGGATGACACCAGCTGCATTCTCTGCCCTGCCTCGATGGAAGCAACAAAATCTCAAGAAAGAAAAAGGACTATTTTGAGAAGCAGGAGTAGTTGCTGTAAAGCAGCACACTCCCCTGCTTGTGAGGCTTTGTTTGTCATTACTGGTTTTAGTCCTATGCCAATTGAAATTGCCATGTGAGCAGCAGTTTGTGGCAATGGCACTTTTGTTTAGTAACCTATTCATTCAGAAAGATGCCACCTCCCCAAGGAGGCTGTGATCAGACAAAGGTGGTCAGACTGTTTTTATCCCAGGGCATTTTATCACTTTTAATCATCTTTTTCTAGGCCTTTCCAGAGAGGAGCAGCCAAACACTCCATGCAACCAACACGGGTGTATTGTGGCACCGCCCCAGGTGTTTTCCTAGCATGACTCACTTTTATCTACAGCAGGTGGGCTGAGGCACCTTGCAGTTTTCTCTCCTTCCCATCGCAGTGACTTCTTTTCACATACTTTCCTCACTGCCTTCCTCAGGCCATAAATTAAAGGCACTTTCTTCTTTTAAGAAGAGCTGAATGGCCAAGGAGAATGCCCTCTTGGGGGTTTCACAATACTGACTGGCACCCAGTGAGAGCTGAACACACACTGGGTCTAGGAAAGTATGAAACGCAAATACTACTTCAACCCACCTGCTGGTACTCTAATAAGGCAAAGGAAAGGCTTGGCTAAGGCCAGTGCTATAAACTGTTAGCCAGAAGCCTCTGCAAAGCTTCCTAGGTTCCTTGGATGAAAAGCACAGGAATTCAGTGGTGACTATGGCCAGGCATTGGTTTGCTGCATGAAGTCCAAATTGGAAAGCCAACAGAAGGCGATTGCCCACAATTTCAAATTAGTTATAAAAGTGTCTGCAAAAAATGTGCCCCTTTTAGAAATAACAGTCAAACCAACAGAAGGTTAATAAAGGCTTTAATTTCACACACACAAAAAAACTCTATATATAATTTAAAAAGGAAACAAAAACAAAGGAAAAACCGTAAAGGATACAGAGGGAACAGTTCTGCTAAAACACAGATAAAGTGCCGCTCCACACAAAACATCAGAATCAAAAGTCACTCTGAACACAAAGAAAAAAACCCACCTCACAAATAATGTGGCCAAAGCTGCCAGCAAACCTGGGAGTGGCTCAATTAGGCAAAGTGTAGGAACCTCCCTTCTGTTTTCTTCTCCCTAAGCATAAAGAAACACCTATAATAGGCCAGGGAAGTTGGGGAGGGACAGGAGCTCTCAGAAGGAGGGAAACCTGGGGGTGAGAGCTGTGCACACCCATGCGTGCTCTCCCTCTTTGCCTGCTGTTTTAGAAATAGACCAGTTCAGTCAACTGATTTTTTTGTTCTAGCATTTGACCTGATGAACTTGAATCCTGATCCAGATCCTCATTCCCTCTCTGCTGATGCCAGTGGACATAACTATACTTCAAAATCTCTGTACTTTAAGAAAAGTCCAATGTCACTAAAATCAAATGCTTATTCATTACTGGCACACTTTTGATTGAAACTTCAAAATCTCAGACACATAGCACACGTGGAAAGGAAACAACTTACTAATTGTGTTTAAATATAACAAAAGTGACTGTTTGAAGCCTGGTAATCAAAGCATGCCATAAAGGAGTCAATGATTGGGGTAACACACAGCAAAGTAATTGTCACGAAACTCTCAAGGCCTAACAAACTATAGTTTCCCAATAAAATATATGTATTCTTCAGATGTTAATAAGACATACCAAGGGAGAGAAAGATGTTAGAAGGCAGAAATCTTTTAGTTTGGGTACATTTTTGCGAGAGTATTACTTGGTATAAAGAAAAATGAGAAGGAAAAGAACATATCCATTTACTGAGATGCTTTTTATGACTTGCATCTGGTGCTGGGTTGCTGATTTTTCTAAAAATCTCCCTACACATGCAAGCTCCACATCTTGGAAATTGAGCTGTTTCCCTGATTTAAAGCAGAAATCTGTCTCAGGGGTCAAGTAAATCAAATAAAAGGGTTGAGGGGGAGGCTGGATAACTAAGAGCATCCACTGCAGTCACTTCAGAGGACAGAGAAGGAGGAGGAGAACATTTTCATACCCTCTTTTCAGTGTATCACAAATGAGTTTACAAATTACTTTTTTTCTCTTCAGGTGAATTTCATTATACAACTCTCTCTGTAGGTGCATGTGTGTGGTTACATAATAGTAACTGCAGTATGGAAGGATAAATAAATTCATAGATTACATTGCAGAGGTCTGTAAATCTTAAAGCTTCTCTTTCAGGAGAATTTTACACTTGATCAAGAAGAAAAAGAAATGTGTAGTTTAATATTTGCATCTGGAGTTAATTAACTGTTCTGTAAGTATCACTGCACACTTCTTAAAAATGTAAACACATTTACATTTATTTGCTACTAAGCCATTTAAGTTAAGCCTGGAATTAACAAATCATAGCAAGTAAACCAACAGCTTTTGGAATCAAAATATAAATAGAAGACCAACCATGAATTTGCTTCTTATTCTATTTTGCTGAGGCAAAATTTATGAGTGTGTACAAACATATAAATAGATCCCTAACAAAACAAGAGTCTACCTTCTCAAAGGTCTAAATTTATAGTCTAGGTCACTAAAAGGGTAACGGCATCTAGCCACATGCAACTTTCTGGTTTTCCATAATATCAGGGGATAAAAATCAACAAGTTTAAATTTTTGTTTATTTTTCCCCTCAAAATAATTTCAACTAAGAGCAAAAGGTTGTGTCCAGAACTGCTATCAAATTCCAATTCAATGTCATTTAAAGTAATGTAATGTAACCACACATTTGGCATTTCAATAGGAAGGTTAATTAGTTATTGTGAGGACTGCCTGAAACTGAAGTACTCTGTTCCTATCTAATTTGTCCCTTCCTGGCCCCAACATGCTAACTGCCCCATCCCCTGCTTCAGTTAAACTGATAACACTGTGCAAAAAATAATATATTATCTATTTATAATATTAAAATATATACAGCCAGTTCAAAAACAAAAGAAAACAAAAACCAAGAATTACCACAATCCCACCCCCAACATAGTAGAGCTCAAATCTCCATTTGTAGTCAAATGAGTAAGTTAAAGGAGTGAAGGGAGAGGGGAAGGCTGACAAGGCCACAACCCTAGAGAGTGTAAAATCCAAGCCCCAAATTTGCAAGTATGAGCAGTGAGAGAACTCATATACTCTAGTATCCTATTTTCAACAAGTCCTGCCCAAGACATAAAAATCAAACCAAATCAGAGTTCTGTGCCAAGTGCACTTCTAAACCATAAACACATGCAAGCCATGAAAACAATTCAAATCAGGTTGCTGGTAAAGCAACCTAAGCTCATGGCATTACTTCCATTTTTCTCTGTGTCTGAACACAGACATCACTTCAAATCATTCCCAATCATTTTAATAGCTCAAAGCTCTCATATGCAGAGACAGGGAAGAGAACAACCAGATAAGAATTTGGTCACTTCATTTACTTATGAGAAAACAATCTTCAGTCAAAACAAAATGAGGCTCCCGATAGAAATGAAACAAAATCGGAAAAGCTAGTTTTTAAAACAAATATTTTCCTCTGCTCTAAACCCCTGAATATTCTAGGACTACCATTTTAGAACATTCACACCAATAATGAGTGTTGGTAGATGGCAGGAGGCAAAGCATTTATCAGTAGTTAAGCAAAAGTGCTGAGGCCATTTACAATTCAAAGATCAAAACTTTTAGAATTTGTGACTATGTCAGAACACCCAAGTTTTAAGAATAGGGTTGGAATTTGCCAAAGGCAATCTTCCAGAAAAGATATTGCATCTTCTGTGATGACATATTTTCTCCTCCTGAAAAACTTGATGTGGTTTTGTCCCTAAGAACTGAAGGGTAATCTCTTCAGTTTTAATAAAAGCAACAACAACAACAAAAAAATAAGATGGAAAATAGCAAAGAAGTTTCATTTTGCTATCCTTAACTGTGCAATCCTAACGACACCTGGGCTTGCAGAATTACACCCTCAAACTCATTCTTCATTAATAAGCTGTTTAACCAAGCTGGTTATGTTGGCTAAGTGACTAATAGCACTTGATGCTGTCTCCCCACTCACCCTCAGAGCACCTAGAAAGATATATTGTGCACTTTTTTTAATTTGTTAGTTCTTGAGATCACCAAAATCAGTCACATTTTAATTCTCACCCTGTTTTTAAGAGAAAGCCAAACAGTAAATGATTAAATGCTCAAGCTTTGCCCTATAGCCCCTGTTCTTCATTTCACATTTGCAGCAGGGCTTTTAGCTTTAGTGGTCTAGAGTCTTAACAAAGCAGCATATCTCCTGCCCTCTCTGCCTGGGTAGCAGAGATGCTTCTGTTTTTCCTTTTCCCTAAGCATTTCTGCTGGGGAGTCTAGTTGAAGCAATATTATCTTTCCACCTTTTAAAGTTTTGACTATAATTCTTTAGGGTCATTCTGCTCCATGGAAGAATGATACAGAATAAAATAAAATATTCTATTCTCACCATCACAATAATATAGGTGAATATGATGAATAAACTGTATGAAAAAATCTCTCTAGAGAAAACATGATATGTACAATGAATACCAAATGTGGGACCATAACACATTCTAAAGCACCAACAATCTATTCTTGGGAACTGCACATAAACAGCAAAGGCAGAGCAGATTCACAAAATTTAAAAAATGAAAAAGCTCCTTAAGTCAGGTGACAGAAATGTCTCTTGCAAGAACAAACTGTCATTAGTGTAACATGGAGAGCTGGCTTTCCAGTGAACTTAACTCATAAGAAACACATGAAAGGGCACAGACTTGAGTGAAGCTACTCAAGGAACATAAAAGCTAAAAGACAACTGATATGTATATCTTCACACATTTCTCAAGAGAATGGACTCTCTGACACTTTCCTTTCTCTCCAAACTGCTGTGCTATTAATTTTGAGCAGGCATATTATCTGGTGGCTCATCCTCTTTTTCTTTTTCCTTTTTTGGTACTGGGGATTGAACCCAGGGGTACCCTACCACTGAGTTATACACACAGCCCTTTTTATTGAGACAGGGTCTCACTAAGTTGCCCATGCTGGCTTTGGACTTGGCAATCCTCCTGACTCAGCCTCCCAAGTTGCTGGGATTACAGGCGTGTGCCACCGAGTCCGGCTTCATCCTAACCCTTTAAGGCTCCATTCATTCCACGTGCACGTGCGTGTGTGTATGTATATATGTATACATTTATACATACACACCTATTTACAACATGTATTCCTAAGACAAAAGGAAGTGCCTCTCTTGTAGGAGAAAAAGTAGAATCAGCTACAGATGAGAACAAGGTTTCCATAAAATAGTTAGTATGGAGCGTTCTGTGGCTAACTACAATTTTGTCTTTTGGTTTGGCCCTGAGCTGTTTGTTGCTCCCACATCAAGTAGAATTCCAAATTCTCCTCGGGCAGAGAAAAGGTGAGGTGGGTAGCTGTAAGAGAAAATGCAGTGCACACTGCCAACCTAGGAGTCTGCTCCTCTTGAGGCCTGACGAGCAGTCTTCCCCACTTCCATGCTAAGTGCCTGAGAGTTCTTTTCTGTTTCCAGCAGCTCATCAAAGATCTCCCTTAAAATAAAACAAAAAACAAAACAGGGAGTTCAGAATCAAGGAATACACAGGAGAAAAAGTAACAGGAATGGACACTGATGAAGCCTATACAATCCCATTTTGTGTTGCAATTTTATTAAATAAGCAGCCCACTTACTTCATCACCATCTTAACCCTCTGGGTGCTAATTTTGGAGAATAGCAGAAACTGCAATAGTTTTTAGCTTTAATAAAAATGCTATATAGTTCCCATTCATATAAATCAGATTTCTAGCTGCAAAACTGAAAGACCAAAAACATTTGGGTTAGGACAGTTTCTATCACAAAACAGTTTAAAGTTCTGTACCTAGATACTACTGTGTGATGAGTAATTAGTCTGAGTACAGAGAAAATACTTTGCACTTATAAGGAAATATCAAGAGATGAACACTAAGCAAAGATAACAAAAGTTAAAAAAAAAAAAAGTAAAAAAAAAAAAATCAACCAATCAAGTCATGGGAACATTTTATTCTCAAAGGAGGAGTTTGGATAATTTTTTGCCTGTTACTTTGGGTCTAGCAAAGTTTCTTACTTGTGCATGTAAAAGAAGATGTAGCCACTCCGATCCCGATCACTCTGCACAGCAGCCTCTTGGATTTTCGATACCTCTAGGTCATTATAAGTAAACCATGCCTGCTTCTTAATGTCATACACGTCACTAATATAATGACCTGAAACAAATAAAATCTTAAAATCGAGGTTTTCTAAAACATAAAAAATTTTTCTCAGACATAGGAAATTGAGAAACAGTCACCTCTTCTACCTGATCTTCAACAACGTTTTTAAAATCCATTTGAAAAACATACAGAGAATTAAGGGATTTTTTTTTTTTGGGGGGGGGGTACTACGGATTGAACCCAGGGGCACTTCATCACTGAGCAACATCCCCAGTCCTTTTTATTTTTTATTTTGAGACAAGATCTTGCTAAATTGCTTAGGGCCTCACTAAGTTGCTTGAACTTGTGACTCTCCTGCATTGGCCTTCCATGTTGCTGGGATTACAGGTGTGCACTACCATGTCTGGAACAACTTAATAAGTATATTCTACTCAGGGGAACAAGGGAATTTAGGTCATTTCTGAATAGAAAAATTGAAGCAGATACACGCACTTAATCCACAGTGTGTGATCAAAGTGTTTTTCTTTTTTTTTTTTTTTAAAGCATTCAACTTATACCTTATAAAACTAGGCAAAGAGCAACACAGTAAGTGGTAAATGCTGGCTAAAATGTCCATTTACCTGAAGAAGAGGTGCTACCAATGTGACTGACAACACTGATGAGCCGATACGAATGAGGGAGATTTCCTGTCTGGAAAACAGAAGTGGGAGTGACTCTTCATTTGAGTAAAAGCAAAACACTGAATTTGAATTTATTATCAAGCTGACAGAGGTAAGCTTCAGTGCATGGTATAGTCATGCTGGTTATGCTCTTCATACTCTTTGGTCCAAGAACCCACTCTCAACTAAGAGTTTATTCTAATGAAATAATTCAAAAGAAGAAAAGAGTATATATTCACTGTAGCATTATCTATAATAATGAAAAGTAGAGACTAACAATATACCCAATATAGCAGACTGGCTAATGGCATATCAATTCAATACAGTATTATTGAGTTATATAAAAAATTGTGGATCAGCAATATGTTAACTTGATTTTCAACCTCTAAGAATGCACATAATAACTACAACCCTATAAAAAGTTATATTAACAGGAATTGGAATGGGAAAAAAAAGTTGCTATCTTGCTGTAGGGTTATGGGTAAACTTTTACATTTTAAATGTTTCAAAATGTTATTAAATACTGTCAGTAAAAAAAAAAATGAAAAAGTGATAATCATGAACTGTAGACAGCACTGTAAGGTAAAAATTTGTGAAGGAATACTGCTATATGTAAACCAAAAACTATTAAAATGTTCATACATTTTTATTCAGTAATTTACTGCTGAAGATTTATCTTGAATAAAGACATCTAAAATATGGAAAACACTATAATCACAGCTTGTGATCGCATTATTATTATTATTATTTTTTACAATGAAAAATCATAACTACTTAAATGCTCAATGTTAGTTAAAAATAAATAGTACGGAGGCTGGGGATAGCTCAGTTGGTAGAGTGCTTGCCTTGAATGCACAAGGCTCTGGGTTCAATCCCCAGGACCAAAAACAAAACAAACAAACAAAAAATAGTATGTTAATTTGAGGGCATACAGTGTAGCCATTAAAAATAAAATCCTTACAGTCTTTTTTTGGTGTTATTGGGGATTGAATCCAGGGCCTTTTGCACATGAGGCAAACCCTCCACCAGTGAGCTATACTCCTACAATTGGTCTTAAACCAGGATAAATCTTTACTAATACAATAACATTTTTCAAGCACATGCAGAGACAGGGACGACAAAAGAATATGCTAACAGTAATTGTAGTAGGATAGTGGGATTCTATGAGTTAAATTTTGGGAAAAAGACTATTATTTAAGGAAAAAGATCAACAGGCTCTAGCTGACATCACTAATCCAACAGTTTTCACTATTTAACTATAAAGATAATATGGTTACTTGGTGAATTTAAAGATAATTTAATATACATATGCCTTTATGCATACCATAATCATCAGGTTCTTTTATTTTATTTTTTAGTATCGGGGATTGAACCCAGAGGTGCTTAACCACTGAGATATACCCCCCTCCCTTTATATATTTTATTTAGAGACGAGTTCTTGCTAAGTTGCTGAGGCTGGCTTTGAACTTGTGATCATCCTGCCTCAGCCTTTCAAACCACTGGGATCACAGACGTATGCCACCATATCCAGCTCACAATCATGTTCTTATCTAACTAACATGCACATAAGATGGTCAGGATGTATTTGTTTTGTTCTGAATTTTGTATGTAAGTAATGAATAGCAAACTTGAGAAAAAGAAGACCATTTGATGGTGGCTAAAAGGGCACAAATGAAACTGTGGTTGATGTTAAACGTGTGGTATTTGAAAATAAAGAACACTGACAACCTGACCAGTTCTACTCAGGGATAAAACATTACCTCAGCATTTCTTTTTAGTTCCTCAGCTTCAGCTTCTGTGTACTCCATATCAAAAATATCTTCATTTCCAGAATCCTCATCTGAGCCCAACGCATCCAGAAAAGAGTTGTTAAATTCTGAAGCACAGAAAACAAAAAGACTTTTTTGGTGGTACTGGAAATTGACCCTAGGGGTGCTACATCCTCAGCTTTTTAATTTTTAATTTTGACACAGTCTAAGTTGCCCAGGATGGCCTTGAATTGTATTCCTCCCATCTTAGTCTCTAGAGTACCTAGGACTATAGGCATGTGCTACTGTGCCTCTCAAGATAAAAATCGTATAACAGTCCTTGGAATTGAATTGAGATGATTTAGGCTGGTGGCACATACCTGTAATCCCAGCAGGTTGGGAGGCTGAGGCAGGAGGATCATTAAATTCAAAGCCAGCCTCAGCGAGGCCCTAAGCAACCTGGTGAAACCCTCTCTCAAAAATTCAGAAAAAGGGCTGGGGATGTGGCTCAGCAGTTAGATGCCCCTGGGTTTACTACCTGGGACCAGAAAAAAAAAAAATCCAAATAAAAAGATGATCTGGAAGATAAAATGCTTGAGGTACAAACTTTATCATTCTAGGCAAACACAAAACACATTATTATTTTTTTTGGTGCTGGGGATTGAACCCAGGGCCTTGTGCATGTGAGGCAGGCACTCTACCAACTGAGCTATATCCCCAGCCCACATAACATATTATTAAGGTTCAAAGTTACTCAGCCCATTCTGGGGTATAACACTGCAGACACAGATACCTGTAAATAAATGTTTCTTTTTTCTTTTGAATATATTTCTATGATAAAGGGATCTAACCCTCATAAGAAAAGAGTAAAACTGAAAAAGAGTATATATTTTACAAATAATCTAAGTTCACTAGTTCTATATCCTGAATTCAGAGATGCTGCTCTATCACTCACAATGCTTTCTTTCTTTCTTTCTTTAGTTACTTTGAGATGGAGTATTGCTAAGTTGCCAAGGCTGGCCTCAACCCTGTAATCCTTCTGCCTTAGCCTCCCAGTAGATGAGATATAGACCTGCACCACTACACATGGCTTCTTCCTTTTTTTCTTTAATATGCATCTCCACTGGAAGAATCCATCTTCACTAATGATTTTATTTTTAAATTATTTGTTCTAATTATTTATACCTGACAGCAGAATGCATTTCGACTCATTGTACACGAACAGAGCACAACTTTTCATTTCTCTGGTTGTACACGAAGCAGAGTCACACCATTTGTGCAATCATACATGTACATAGGGTAATAATGTCCAGCTCTTTCCACCATCTTTCCCACACTCATGCCCCCTCCACTCCCTTCTGCACAATCCAAAGTTGCTCCATTCCTCCCTTGCCCCCTGCGCCCCACCCCACCTAATTATGGATCAGTATCCACTTTATCAGAGAAAAGATTTGGCCTTTGATTTTTTTGGGAATGTCTTATTTTGCTTAGCATGATATTCTCCAACCCCATCCATTTACCTGCAAGCACCATAATTTCATTCTTCTTTAAGGCTGAGTAATATTCCATTGTGTAAATATACCACAGTTTCTTTTATTTTTATAAAATGTTTTTGGTTGTAGATGGACACAATACCTTTATTTTATTTATTTTTATGTGGTGCTAACGATTGAACCTGGTGCCTCACACATGCTAGGCAAGAGCTCTAGAACTGAGCCACAACCACAGCCCCTCACTAATGATTTTAAATAAAGAATCTCAGGAACATTTGTACATAAATGGGTTATTTCTTGGGGCTGGGGATGTGGCTCAAGCAGTAGCGCGCTTGCCTGGTATGCGTGCGGCCTGGGTTCGATCCTCAGCACCACATACAAACAAAGATGTTGTGTCCGCTGAGAACTAAAAAAATTAAATAAAAAAAAAAGGGGGTGTTATTTCTTTAAAAATGTAACTGACATCACCAAAATCACAGCAGAGGACTGAACACTTAAGAATGAGAAGAACTGGAAAAGAGAACACAGCATCGAAATTCTGGAATCTTTGAAAATATATGGGTGACTGATTCTGTAGACCTAAGAAAGGCAAAGCCATATCCCAGCCAGCAAGAGAATAGCTAAGAACCAATACAATTTACATCACTGAATATTCAAAAGAAAGAAGACATGGAAGTACCATGTACCTCTAAAATTGGAGGCTAAGGAGGTGAGACAGTAAAGATTGAGTGAAAGCTGTTTGAGAAGCAAACTCCTACATCCACTTCCCCCAACTTCATGTTGCTGCACAATGACAAAATTCTAGTCCTTTATTCTCTGGAGAGGTAAAACAGACTCTAGATTGGGGGAATGCCAAGCACAGGTGAGGTCATGAGTGCCATACTGAAAACAGAGGAGTACTGATAGTTTGCATGTTGAATGATGAATACAAAGACTCCCACATACAGTTCTATCACTTCATACTTGGCTCCCACAGTCACCTTGGCTCTGAGCCACATCTTTCACCTTTAGGCAAAGGCAAGAGATTTGAAAAATATTTATATAGCCAGGCATGTAATCCCAGCAACTTGGAAGGCTGAGACTGAGGACTGCAAGTTCAAAGCCAACCTCAACAACTTAGCGAGACCCTGTTTCAAAATAAAACATAAAAAAGGACTGGTTCCTTGGTTAAGTGCCACTGAGTTCAATCTCTGGTATCTTCCTCCAAAAAAGAATTTGATTAGCCTAAGAAAAAGGTTCAAAATACTAATATCATTTCCCTAAAGGTCTCACCCTATAAAACTCAAAGTTAACAAGTCCTATCTATTCATGTGCTTAGAGATTCTGATCAATATTTTAGTCTTCCATTCTTAATCATGAGCTGACAGCCAAGGATTACTGTATATATGAAAAAAATCCTCTAATAAAGAATATAAAGACAATATCCAGGCACAGTGGCACACACCTGTTAATACCAGTGGCTCAGGAGGCTGAGGCCTCAGCAAAAGCAAGGTGCTAAGCAACTCAGTGAGACCCTGTCTCTAAAACTTAGAAGAGATGAGGCAATTAAGAGGTCTAGCCCAGCACTAAATTTTGAATTTTGCCAATAAATATTTGTGTGTGTGTATGTGGGGGGTGGTAAAGAGGTCCAGCCCAGGAAGTCTGGATTACAGGAGTTTCAAGAAGAGAGAAAAGAAAATATAAGGAAAGAAATGAGAGAGAAAAAAAAATTGAAATTGAAAAACACAGATTTATAGATTAAAATGATTACTATATACAACACAATGATGAAATAGGTTCACAAGGCACATTATTGTTAAACTTCATCACAATGGAAAAAAGAGGAGTTGGGGATGTACTTCAGTGGAAGAGTGCTTGCCTAGTGTACATGGGGCCTGGGTTTGAGCACAAGCATGATGAAAAGAGAAAAAAAAAAAAAGAAAGAAAGAAATACAAGGTTTACAAGTTTCCAGAGAAAACAAGGTCACATCAGGATAAAGAAAGATTTATGTCTTTTCATACAGCAACTCTGCTCATGAATGAATGCTTTCAGGATGACTGCAAATGAATTCTATATTCAGCCAAACTATCAAATACTATGGTAGAATAAAACTTGTAAGAACGCCAAAATACTTAAGCTATGTCCTCTTTCTTCTTTTCTTGTTTTTTTTTTTTTTTTTTGGGGGGGGTACTAGGGTTTAAAATTAGGGTCTCATGTATACTAGGTAAGTGCTCTACCACTGAGCTACACTCCCAGCCCCCCATCTCTATTTTATTTTGTGACAGGGTCTTGCTTTTAGTCACCCAGGCTGGCTTTGGACTTATGATTAGCTGAGTCCTTCCTAGTAGGTAGCTGGGATTGTAGGCATGGGCTAAATGCCTTCTTTCTTAAAAAACAAACAAACAAACAAAAACTAGTGGAGGATGTTCTCCATTACACAAGTAGATCAAGCATAAGGAAGAAAGAGGAAATAAGAAATTTGAACAATAAAGCATTAGAGGGAATTCCCAGGAGAATGGTTAGGGAGATCTCAGTATCTGTGCAGGGATGTACAGGGCAACCAGTCCAGGAGGAAGTGATGTGACTTGAGACAGCTGCAACTGTTACCAATGTACTATCTTTTTAACCTGAAGATAGAATGTCTGGGTGAGCCTAGCTGGGATCCTTATTTGTAACTGTCCCAACCAAGTACCAGTGAAATCCTTACCTCACCTTCATATCTTGTTGATTAGATCAGATAAAAACATTTATTTCATACTACTAAAGTGTTCAACTGGAGAAAGACCACAGTGATTTTAGAAATGGAAAACAGGAAGTCAGCCTAGTCTCTCTGACTATCTCTATGTGCTTCTAAGACCTTGTCTACATATTAGTTTTGCCAAATACTTTGACTATGTGAACCTTATGCCACTGAATACTTGCTCAGGACTGCCTACTGATTTCAGAGTGAGCTCTTGAAAATTTGTGAGAAAACTGAAGTCACATTACATTGTCTTAGGAGTCTTTTTTTTAAAATATTTTTTTTTAGTTGTAGATGGACACAATCCCGTAATTTTATTTATTTCTTTTTATGTGGTGCTGAGGATCAAACCCATTGCCTCACACATGCCACATAAGCTCTCTACCACTGAGCCACAACCCCAGCCCAACAAGTTGTTTTTTTTTCCCCATTGAACACAGGGCCCCCTGCAAGCTAGACTCCAGCCCTCTTCTAGGAGTCTTAGCAGTGGAAACATTAGTCTTTCATTAAACAGATTGTTCTTGCTATTTGAATTTTTAAAATAAAAAAAATGTTGTTTAGGAATAAGGTATATTATAGATGGCAAAAATCATTTTTCAAAAAGTAAGCTAAATACAAGTGTTAAAATAGTTATTTCCTGAGAGGGAGGAAAGAAAGAGATAGGTAGGTAACTTCGAAGGCTCTACTTCTGTACCTGGAGAGGCTCAAATCTGTTAACTTTAACGCATTTTATATGTTACTCTGTGTGTAATACATTTTACCATTTAGAAGAATGTAATTAAAATGATCTCCACACCTTGAAGACTTAATTCTGTAGCTCTTTTGAGGTCATCATCTTCTTTCTGTTCCCAAGCCTCCTAAAGGGACAAAAATAAAAACTAATGTATTTAAAGAGGTATTTATTAGATACATTTAATGAGGATAAATTTCTCTGGAAGTATTTTCTAATAATGCTTTCAGTAACCTCATGGATACCTGAAATGTTTTGAGGATGTGAAAAAACATTCTTTACTTTTTCTAACACTGTTCTCTCTTAAGACACAACTTTGGGAGTTAAAAAGGCTTAAATGATATTTCCTCTGTCGGTGCCATCTGGCTTGCCAATTAAAAAAAAAAATTCAGTGTGACATTATGACGTACTTTTCTTTCTTCTTAATGTATAAAATGCCTAGCATATAGTAGATACTTAGCAAACAGCTGTCTTTTCTTTCCCCAGATTTACAGCATCTACCAATTTCCATGGTATAAATACTCCCACTACAGCCAATTTTAAGTTACTCACATGACACTGAATGCAGAGTTGGGAAGAAGGGGACAATTGGCTCATATGAGCTAATGATGATCCACCACTAGCACACCACTATCCCTGTTTGTGACAGCAAAATGAACAATATTTCCACAGATATTATGTATAATTTCTATTTTTATTCTTTTTTTGGTATTGGGGATTGAACTCAGGGGCACTTGACCACTGAGCCACATCCCCAGCCCTATTTTGTTTCTGATTTAGAGACAGGGTCTCACTGAGTTGCTTAGCACCTCACTTTTGCTGAGGCTGGCTTTGAACTTGTGATCCTCCCGCCTCAGCCTCCTGAGTCTCTGGGATTACAGGCATGTGACACTGTACCAGGCCATGTTATTTTTCTGATATATCTGAGGTTCTCAAAGGTTGAGGATGTAACTTAACAGCAGACAGGGCAAAGCCCTGGGTTTCATCCCCAGTATTGCAAAAATCAGTAAATGAATAATGAAAAATGGTATGTCTAATATCTCCTGACAAATGTCTGGGTTTGATCCCTGGTAAAACACACACACACACACACACACACACACACACACAAAAGGGCAGCACGACTAAAAAAAATATATATAATGTATTTGAGTTTATGCTCATAAAATTTTATATATTTCTTAATTTTTCCAGAATAAGTCCATTCTGAAACAAACAGGTAAAAACAGAATTAACAGAATGACACAGATATACCAAACTAGACACTTCATCTTATAATCCTATTCTTATATCTGAGAAAAATAGGCTGTTCTTAACTGGGTCAGTTGACAGGAAAAAAGAAAATAAGGAGTACTTATGTTTTCCTTTATGAAGAACTCTAAGAAATTAGGCCTTTGTGGGGCTGGAGTTACGGCTCAGTGGTAGAGCGCATGCATGTGAGGCACTGAATTTGATCCTTGGAACCACACAAAGATAAATAAATAAAGGTATTGTGTCTATTTACAACTAAAAGTGTGTGTGTATATGTGTATGTATATATGTGTATGTATGTGTGTATACACACACACACACACACACACATACATATGAAAGAAAGAATACACCTTGGCAAGGTCTTTCTATTTTTTTTCCTTCTTCTTTCCACATTTTTGATGTTTTACAATAGAAAGTAATGTTTCTAAGGGGCTGGAGATGTAGTTTAGTGGCAAAGTATTTGCCTAGCATACAAGGGCCCTGGCTTAGATCCCTAGCACCACAAAAACAAAAATAAACAACAAAAATGGAAAAACAGATTACTACAAAAAGCAAAGAACAGATAAATATTCTATTACCAAAGCCTGAAAGTTATATTTCAGATACTATTTCTGAGAATTTTATGTTCAGATAATTCACAGAATGCTGGGTGTGGTGACACATGCTTGTAATCTTGGCTACTTGGGAGGCTGAGGTGGGAGAATTGCAAGTTTGAGGCAATTTAGGGAGACCCTTTCTCAAAAAACAAGACAGAAATAGTTGGGAATGTAGCTCAGTGGTAGAGTGCTTGCCTAGCAAGCAAGTGTAAAGTCCTGGGGAGAGAAAAAGGGGGAAAAATCATTGGAAAAGATTCATATCGTGAGAAAATAACCAGAACAAATGAACTGTCTTAACATATTAATGATAAAATCATGGTAGTATACTTGCTATTTCCCCAGCTTGAAAAATAAGGTTGGAGTGGGAATAATCTCTAACATCCCATTTTGCTTTAAGCATGAAAATGAACTATAGCATGGAACATAACTGATAGTACATTCTGTTGCAATTGGATTTTCAAAATAGGAAAGTCTACTAACACATATGTTTCAAACCCAAAGCAAGCCCCAAATTAGATTTGGATTTTTCTGTGTTTTTTTTTTTTTTTTTTTTTGGGGGGGGCGTTGGGGGGAGCATTTTAAATTTAAGTTTGTTTTATTTAAGTTTAATGTTAATTCCATGATGTGTTTCAGTAGGAACAATACAGATTCTGTAAGACAGATTGTTTTTTTCTGATGGACCAATAACAATGTACATAAATTACCTGGAATAATGCCTGAGACAGTAATTAATTGACGCATGTTAGTTATTTTTATTATTATTATTCCATTTCTTGGGAAATATAGGTGTAGAGAAAGTAGCAACAGAAAATCTCTTACTTGCTCTTGAAGACTCTGAGCTAATGCTTGCTGAAGCTCTTGTTCTTCCCTTTCATGCTCCATATCGTACTGCTGAAGCCAATCAACCTCTCCCTGAGATCCTTCTGGAGTTTTGTTTTCTTTATTCTCATCACAGTCTTTTGTGATCTCAGGAAAACTGGCAGGATCTGAAGAAGCAAAACATAATATTACTCTGGAAAATTCTCTTTAGAAAATAGAAATTTCTAGGGCTGAGGTTGTGGCTCAGTGGTAGAGAGCTTGCCTAGCACGTGTGAGGCTCTGAGTTCAATTCTTAGCACCAATATAAATAAATGAATAAAATAAAGGTCCATCAACAACTTAAAAAATATTAAAAAAAAAAAAAAGAAAGAAAGAAAGAAAATAGAAATTTCTACACTAGAGTGACATCTACTGTTCAGAGAGTAATATATCCTACCAGTCATTTACAACTTGTTTGGACACACAATTCCATCTCACTACACCAGGGTTTCTTTTTTTTCATTTTCTTTCTTTTTTTTTTTTGTACTGGGGATTGAACCTGGGGGTGCTTAACCACTGAGTCACATTCCCAGCCCTTTTTTTATATCTTATTTAGAAACAGGATCTTACTGATTTACTCAAGTCTTGGCTAAATTGCTGAGGCTGTCTTTGAACTCACAATCCTACTGCCTCAGCCTCCCTAGCTGCTCGGATTACAGGTGTGTACTACCACATCAGGGACTCTTAACCTCAGGACTACTGACAATTTGGGTGGATGGGTGTTTTGGGGGAAGGGAAGAGTCTATCTTGTGCACTGCAGAATTTTAGCAGCATCCCTTCTATCTGACTACTAGATGCCAGTAGTAGTCACCCTCTCCAGCTTTGACAACCAAAAATGAAAGACATCTGTCAAATGTTCCCTAGAGGCAAAAGTGCCTAAGAACCACTGATTTATAGCAATGGTTATGAAACTTAACTGATCATCAGAAGCACACTATGGCTAGGGATAGGGAAAAACAAATATCCATATTCATAGGTAACAGTGTCATATGACCAAGTACTAAAAATATTGTTTAGAGCAAGTGAAATAAGAATTAGGCTAAGGGCTGGGGGTGTGGCTCAGTGATGGCACATTTGCCTACTAATGTACAAGACCCTGGGCTTTATCCCTAGTACTGGGGGGTAGGGAGGAGCATTAGGCTAAACCAATTAAACTATTATTGAGATGTTCCCATTTATTACACTGTAGGTCAACTGAATGTGTTTTCACGTTAATAATCAAGCAGGGGATGGGAGAGTTGCTCAGTGGTAGAGCAAATGTACATATAAAGCCCTGGGCTTTAATTGTCAGCGCCAAGAAGAAGAAAATTAAACAAGTCTTTTTTTCTTTACAATTTTTAATAGAGATAAGAGTGGGAAAGAAGAAGAGTCTTAAGATATATATGTCTATTTGTGTGTGTGTGTCTCAAACATTTACAAAATAAAAGTTTCTCATCCTCAGAATTAATGCAATTCTTACTTGGTCAATAAGAATTATCTTTATACATTTTATTAATTTATTTAGTGGCACTTGAGATTAAACCCCAGGAGGCTTTACTACTGACCTACATGCCAACCCTATTTATTTATGGTCCAGGGGATTGAACCCAGGACACTGTATCACAACCTTCAGCCCTAGCCCTTCTTTTATTTTTTGAGGGTCTCACTAAATTGCCAAGGCTGGCCTTAAACTTTTGAACCTTCAGCCTCAGCCTCCCCAGTCACTGGGATTACAAGGTGTCATGGTGCCCAGCTGTACAGTCATTCTATGTGACTATTTATTAGTTAGTATATGCTCTTCACCTACCCCAATACTGCATTTTAATACTTTTCTACTGCACAGATAACTCTGAAGCTTACAGCACCTTGATTTTAGAAATCACAACTAGTTATTTTTAATTGTACTAAATAGCTGAGTAAGTGAACATTTATCATTAAAATGAATGCTGAATATTCACTTGAGGAAAAGAAATTCAGAATTTATGCCCCAAATGTTCCTTTTATCCTTTTTGGCACTAGGGATTGAACCCAGGGGCACTTAACAAAATAAAAGTTTCTCATCCTCAGAATTAATGCAATTCTTACTTGGTCAATAAGAATTATCTTTATACACTGAGCCACATCCCCAGCTCTTTTTATTTTGTAACAGGGTCTTGCTAAATTGCTGAGGGCCTCATTAAGTTGCTGAGGCTGACCGCAAAACTTGTGTTCCTCCTGCCTCAGCTTCTAGAGTTGATAGGATAACAGGTATATGCCACCACGCCTGCTCCAATTGTTTCTGTTTTTTTTTTTCTTTTTGGGTACCAGGGATTGAACTCGGGGGCACTCAACCACTGAGCCACATCCCCAGCTTTATTTTGTATTTTATTTAGAGACAGGGTCTCACTGAGTTGCTTAGCACCTCACTTTTGCTGAGGTTGGCTTTGAACTCACAATCCTCTTGCCTTAGTCTCCCAAGCTGCTGGGATTACAGGCATGCTCCAACTGTTTCTTTTTTTTTTTTTAAAGAGAGAGAGAGAGAGAGAATTTTTTAATATTTATTTTTCAGTTTTCGATGGACACAACATCTTTATTTTATTTTATGTGGTGCTGAGGATCGAACCCAGTGCCCCGCGCATGCCAGGTGAGCGCATTACCGCTTGAGCCACATCCCCAGCCCCTCCAACTGTGTCTTAAAAAATAAATAAGTATAATTAAAAATAAGTATAATTAAAAAATGATTATACTGGAAACCATTTCTTCCTTCCTTTTATTGTTGAAGGAAGAGGCTTTCCAATGGCCTGAAGCTCCAAAGCCTAGATGGTCTGGTCTGTCCCTATGGCCTTTGCTTACTAGATTGGGAATGGGTATTTGACTCAACTAATCAGATCTCTTCTGGAAATTTTAAATTGAGGCACACAAATTATATTTCATTGGAAGAAAGATCTGAGGGTTGAGATTACTATAATAGAGTATAAAAGGAGCATAATTACTTTTATATCCAAACTTGTTTTTTAATTAACCAATAATTTTCAGCAACATACCAATGTACCTCAGACAATCCTGAATTATACGAATGATATATATGAAAAGAGATAAAGTTTCCTTTGAGATGCAAAATTCAATATATATTTGTCTGTAGCACAAGATTATCAGACAGGTACAGAAACTACTACAGGGATAAATATGGCTACTTAGTAATAATTCATCTTTAAGAAGCTTATGCAGGGGTTGGGGTTGTGGCTCAGTGGTAGAGCACTTACCTAACACGTGTGAGGCACTGGGTACAATTCTCAGCACCGCATATAAATAAATAAAATAAAGGTCCATCAACAACTAATAAAAATTAAAAAAATTTAAAAGCATGCTTCAGTGAGTATTCTTTATTAAAAAAAGAAAAAAATTATACAATGTAGGGCTGGGGTTGTGGCTCAGTGTTAGAGTGCTTGCCTAACATATGTGAGGGCACTGGGTTCAATTCTTAGCACCAATATAAATAAATGAATAAAATATATTTGTAAAAAAAAAAAAAAGAAAAAAAGAAACAAAAGACTCAATTCCAGGAAGGTTTAAAAGAAAAGAAAGAAAGAAAGAAACTTATACAATGTATAAAAAGGGATCCATCTGTAAAAACTCAACAGTCTTAAACTGAATATATCACTTGCCTCTTCTTTATTGCAACTAAAATCTGTTCCTTTTCTTATGTTGTATATTTCAGTGAATCAGATCAAACTTGTTTTTTAATTAACCAATAATTTTCAGCAGTATACCAATGTACCTCAGACAATCCTGAATTAAACTGTCCACAGTTTTTTTTTTTTTTAATTCTGTAAAGACAGAAACCTGAGGGTCATTTTTTTACATCTCCCTCATTTACTACTCACCTCAGATAAATCATTATTTCCTATTTCTTGGATCCATCAATTTTTCTTCCTAAACACAAATCTTGGCTTAGAGCATCATTAACTATTTATTTGGATTTTTGCAAGTAACTTCCTAACAGGTCTCACAGGATTACTCTGGTTATTCCTAATTTATGTGCTATCCTATGTATGGCCAGAATAATATTTTTTGAAAACATCAATCTTTATCAAACACTTGTTTGCTTAAAATATGCACTAACTCCCTAATGCTTTTGAAATGAAACTCCAAACTCCTTAACTGCTTGGCTTTCTAGTCTCACTTTCTGCTTCTCCCCTTTATCACTATAGGGAGAAGATCATTCTGAACTTTTTTTTAGGCCCACTAACTTGCCCAGCATTTCTCTTAAGACTTTGCATACAATATTCCCTCTGGCTCATGTCTGGAGATAATGAAACCTTACTCAGCTAGTCTTCTGTCCCTCTTCAGGTGACTCACCACATGGCCAATCTATTGCATCACAAATATTCATTGAGAATCCACTATGTAGCTAGGCATTGTTACAAGCTGGGGATATAAAAAAGCAAGATGGTCCTTGCCTTCAAGAAGTCTAATTGCCAGGGCTCTGAGATGACAATTTGAGGGACACAGAGAAGGCCAGCATGGCAAAAGCAGCAGACTGAAAATGGGTTGAATGAAGAAAGGCCATAAGCAGCAGCTTGGATTTCTATACTAAGTGTACTGAGAAGTCACAATGAGTTTTAAGTATGAGACTGACATATGCTTTAGAAAGATTTTTTTGGTGTTTTTTTTAAAAAAATATTTATTTTTTAGTTTTCGGTGGACACAACATCTTTATTTTATTTTTATGGGTGCTGAGGATTGAACCCAGTGCCCCGCACATGCCAGGTGAGCGCGCTACCGCTTGAGCCACATCCCCAGCCCATGGTGGTTTTGTTTATTAAAAAATCCATAGGGAGATAAGAGTAGAAGAGACATTATTTAGGAATCAGTTACTGGTCCAGGTCAGAGATATAAGGCTAAAGTTCTTGCCATAAAAATGTTATAGATGGTTGGATTCAGAACCTATGATGGAGGACCAGTTGACTGGATTTATTGATGGACTGAATACAAGGTATGAAGTAAAAAAAGGAAACACATTTTTCGGCCCAAAAAACTGGACAAATGGTGTACCATTTGCTGACATGGGAAAGACATAATTGGGCAGGAAAAGTAGAATCAATATTAGATAGTCCAATGGAGATTTGAAATAGGTACTTCAATATAAAAGCTTAAAGCTTAAGACAGAGATCTATGTTAAAGGTAAGAATTTGACCTTTTGTCAGTATGTGAGGCTGTGGGGCTATATGACATTACTTAAGGCAAGGCTTAAGTTGAACCTGAGCATGTGTTCTGGGAATACCTCAACAGTTAGAGCTCTGATGAGGCAAAGAAACTTAAGAACTAAAAATATAAAAAATAAATAAAATGGAAAGTGGCTAGTTTATTAGAAAGAAAATAAATACTTAAGTAGTGAGGTATCATAGAAACTCAGAGGGAAAAAAACTCATAATGTTTTAATGTTAAGGACAGAGTCATGGGAACAAAAGTCTACTTGGAGAGGGTGGTGTTAAGAAAACAGAATGAAAAAACTCAAGAAATTTTGCTGTAATGGGCAAATTTCAGATTTACATTTCAATTTTTTTTTCTTTAAAAAGAGTGAACTGTATTCAGGAGGTTAAATGCTTTTATAAACTTAATTATCATCATCTTCATCTTCCTTCTTTTTCTTGCTTTTTTTTTCAGGTATGGCAATTCCCATTTTGTCATTATTAGGTTTTCCTCTACCTTGGTGTGCAGCAATATCCTTTTTGTATTTTTCTTCAGATGACTAGCCTTCTGTTCATAATGCTGCTGGTCATTTGTAGCAGTGTTGTTCCATATCTCTCCCAATTGCTTTGCAATGTTAAAAATGGAGGGCTGGGGATACAGCTTAGTTGGTAGAGTGCTTACCTTGCATGCACAGAGCCCTGGGTTTAATCCCCAGCACCACAAAAAAAAAAGGGGGGGGGAAAGGTGGGACATTCTCCTTTGAATTTTGGGTGATACTCAGAACAAAATAAGAAAAGAGGCCAAAGGAGGTCTGTAAGTGCACTGGGGTTTAGGAGAGACAAAGATTTTCTTTTTCTTTCTTTCTCTCTTTTTTTTTAAATATGAGGCCTTGCCTGCCTTTGCCATATCTTCAAATTTATTTTTTCTATTTATTTATTTATTTTTTTAAGCAGGCATGCTCTTACCTCTGAGAACTTGTTAGAGGTGTTTGGGTGTTTCTCTTCTTGTATTCCTTATGAGGACTCCTTTGCCCATGTTTAGTTATTTTTCCTCAGTGAGTCATCAGCCAGCATGTATTTGGCTCTCACTTGCTCCATAGTTGTCTATATGGAGCTCAATGTATCAGAAGGGCTACCAAGTGGCCTTTCTAAAAATGGCTGATACTAGGCACAATGAGGATAATGTAAAAGAAAAGGACAACATGGAGCTGGGGTTATGGCTCAGTGGTAGAGCACTTGCCTCACACGTGGGAGGTTCTGGGTTCATTATCAGCACCACAAAACAAACAAACAAACAAATAAATAAATAAATAAAATAAAGGTATTGTGTCCAACTACAACTAAAAAATAAATATTAAAAAAAAAAAAGAGGACTGGGATTGTGGCTCAGAGGGAGAGTGTTCGCCTCGCATTCATGGGGCACTGGGTTCGATTCAGCACCACATAAAAAATTTTTAAGAAGGGGAAGACTTGACAGCAGGAGAACTGGGAAAGCACAAGGGTATAAGATTCCTGCAATGAGTGAAGGAACTGGCTTTAATCAAGAACAGGGATATTCTTCCATACATCAAAATGAAAGCAGAGTTTTTATGTATTTGCATCTATTTTCTTTGAAAAATATACACTTAATTCACAAGCCTACTATGTATAAAATGAGAAACAGAGAATTCAGGAAGAGATCATAGGGCCTGAAATCTTTAGCTGCTTGAGAAGGCATGGGAAAGAGGCAGCAAGATGAGTTGTGAAATGGGAAGAGAAGAGAAAGAGATAGAGTACTTAAATACGGCACATAGGCTGAATAAGAGGAAGACAGTGATAGCAAAGAAGGAAGAGTAATGGACTGGAGGTCTTGTTGTTAAAGCAAGAATATGATACTAGGTAAGCAGAATATGATACTAGGTAAGAAAGAAGGGTTAGAAAAAGATATTTGAAATTAAGATCACAAGGGGACTATAGTTAACAATGATGACAAAGTCTAGAAGAGTGATTCTCAAATTTTGCTGCCCAAGATAATCACTTGGAGGGCTTAACCAAACAGTCTGCCAAGCCCACCCACACAGTTTCTAGGTCTGGGGAGGGGCCAAAAGATGGTTCCAGCCAAGTCCGCAGGTGATACTAATGATGGTCTAGGGTTAGGGTTAGGGTTAGGGTTAGGGTTATACTGTGAGAAACACTCGGTCCAGGCTATGACTTCTGTGAGTTAGAAACTGAGATAAAAGATCTTTGGATTTAAGATCAGGAATTGAGAAAACAGTTTGTTTGAAGAATCATTCATGAAGATGCTGAAGTGCCTAAGATGTCAATGGGAATAAGTGGAAGGTAAAGAACTAGAACTACGGAAAATCTCCGTAAAATTTTTTCCTCCGTAAAAAAAATTTCCTAAAAAGGAAATCTGATGTCATGTACTTCAAAGTACATGGATTTTTGTAGGATGAAAGGACAGCAATGGGTAACTAGGACAAAGAAACAAACAAAAAAACCCCCCAACACTAAACCAAAACAACAACAAAAACAAGAGTTCCTACCTTCAGAGATATGGAAATTCTTACATGAAGTGATATTAATATCTGTGATTCATTTCAAATAATCCAGGGGATAGGACAGAGAAGTGACTTAGATACAGATGAAACAAAATTGGCTTTTTTGGATAATTACTGAAACTGGATGATGGACACAAGGAGTGGAGGAAGGCTCATCATACTCATCTCTCTACTTTTGTCTTTGGCTCAATATATTTTCCAAATATGAAAAAAAAAAAAAAAAAAAAAAAAAAGCAAAAAGAAATCTTTTCAGGTTTCAGTTACAATAAGAAGGTGAAAGGAGAAGTGAACTGCAAAGTAGACCTTCTGCCCATCAAGCCACCCTGGGTGGGGCTGGCTATGTAATTGGTGGGACCAGCAGAAAATGAAAGGAGAATTGATAATAATACAATAATGACCTATATTTCACTGAGGAATGTGGCAATTCAAGAATAGAGTATAGAGAACAAAGACATAAACTGTATTTATTAAACATGACTGTTGTTCCCAAAGTTGCTATAGTGTGAACCACTTATTAGTGATTTTGATAACCTTATGTTTACCTCCACTGGAGTAGATAGATAATCAAGCACTAATATAAACCAATGATATCTGTAGGTAGTCATTATAAAGTTTAACAAGAGAATAGGAATGCATAACAACACTTCCATCAGTTTCTTGTTTCCAATTAAACCAAGGATACATAAATTCTTATTTTCTTTGATTATAAAATAATTTAAAATTAAATGGCCTTTGTGGGAAGCCATTCTTGACTATGCAAATGTAGAAAATAAAAATCTGTGATATTCAACTATTCCTTTAATTTCCAAGATCCTAGGCTTGGATTATTTAGAAGCCATTTGTCACAATAAGGCTTTGAAACACACTTATACTTTAAAATACTTATCTTCATTAAACCTAACTGGCTGGGTTGGGGATGTACGTCAGTGGTACAGAGCTTGCCTAGTATGCATGAGGCCCTGGGTTCAATCCACAGCATCACAAGAAAACAAAACAACAACAAAAACTCTACCTGGATCTGTGACTGTTTTGGGCTTCTCTGTTTCTATAGTGTCCAGATTTTCAGGCATTTCTTGAATATCATCTTCTGCAAAGCCAGTGTCTGGGCTGCTGGTTGGTTTATCATCATCTTCATGACTGAGCGTAGGTGAAGCTTCTCTCTTACTGATCTCTAAGACAGCTGCTAGGAGCTCTTCTTCACTCATTCTGTCAAATCCTGAGTTTTCTAATTCAGACTTATCAGGCTCTATTCTGCATAATTTTGAATCCTGAAAGAGACAGTTACTTTCAGAGGAAACCAGAATGTCTACAAATAAAGCAATCTTAGAGTTTAAAGAGGAAACTTTATTTCTTAAAAAGTTCTTGGATGCTTTGAGTTATTTAAAAATCAATAATCAGTAAAAAATGATAAAAATCAATCAAAATAAATTGCCCAATAATTACTATGTTGTAATTTTTTTTTTAGGTATTTTGCCAATCTATACATGGATTATATTGAAATATTCTTTTCATTACACCTATTATTTCATTTTAAATGTTGGCTGATTTGAGAAAAATATAAACTAAATAAGATTATGTAAATATTAAGAAGTTATCTAATGAATAATTTTCTTCTTTCTATTTAGGAGAATTTCTGACTTTTATTTCTTATTCAAAGTAAGCAACCACAAATCATCTTTAGCCCTCTTCCCCCCCCCCGCCCCCAAGTGATGGGGATTAAATCTACATCCTTGCATATGATAGATAAGCAATCTTCCATTGAGCCACATCCCCAGCCCTACCTCTAGTCATTTTTCCTTCCTCCCTCCCTTCCTTCCTTTCTTTCTTTCACTGGGGATTGAACCTAGGGTCGCTTAACTACTGAAACACATCCCCAGCCCTTGTTTTTTTTTTAATGCTTTGAGACAGGGTCTCACTAAGTCCTTAGGGCCTCACTAAGTTGCAGAAGCTGGCCCTGAACTTCCAATCCTCTTGCTTCAGATTCCCGAGTAGCTGGAATTATAAGCGTGTGCCACAACACTTGGCTCCTACCTCTAGTTTTAAAGTAAGATGGAAAACAACTCAGAACACATAACTACTATAATTTTATTATTTTACCAAAAAGGAAGTTTTATTAAGTGTTAAGGTGGAAAATGATGTAGCCAGGTCTTCACACTCATATTTTAATCAATGTGATCACTCAGTTGCTCTGTTGAAGTACAATGTTTACTATAGCTCCCTAACACACAATTGTTACCAAAATAAAGGAAGTAACTATTTGAGAACCAATATGTAAAAGTAGACATGAAGGTCAATAGGAGGAAGTAGTTTGTAACATTTTAGTTCATGTATGTGTGTATATGTAGTGCTTTTTTTTTTTTTTTTAGAGGGGGGGTTCAGTACTGGGGATTGAACACGGGTGCTCTACCACTGAGCGAGCTACATTTTTATTCTTATTTTTTCTTTAATGAGACAGGATCTTGCTAAGTGCTGAGGCTGCCCTTGAACTATGGTCCTCGTGCTTCAGCCTCTCAAGTCACTCAGATTACAGATGTGCACTGTGCCTTGCAACAATTTCACTTTCTTAAAATCAGATTGGTTTTTGAGCTAGAGAATGTATACACTTTAAAACTAGTCTGGCCAGGCATGGTGGTACCCACCTCTAATCCCAGCAGCTTGGGAGGCTGAGGCACTAAGCAACTCAGTGAGACCCTGTCTCTAAATAAAATACAAAATAGGGCTGGGGATGTGGTCAAGGGTCCCTGAGTTCAATTACTGGTACTCCACCCCCTCCCCACAGAAATTAGTCTGGACAGAGACAGTAAGTTTGAGATCTATTTTGTGTATTTCTTAAGTTTGCTAATGCTACTTATAGAAGGCACTTTTTTCACATTGAGAGCTATACAAATCTTTGTGAGATGTTCTAATGAAAAATTACTTACTTTTTCCAGGTCTTCCTGCTGTGGTTCACTGCCTGACATTTCACAAAGTCTCTGGCTGAGGGCCACACAGCGTTTTAGTTCATCCTCGCTGTCTGAATCAAGGCATAAAGCCAAGGAGTTCTTGGACTTGAAGGTGAATTTCCTGTAATTAAAAAAAAAAAAAAAAAAGTCTGATAAACATCTGTTTTTTAAAATTCTTTTTGATGTATAAATTTAAAAAAAAAAGGGTTTCCATTATGGAAAATTATTTAAAGGAGAAAAAAAGATACCAAAAGAGGTATAAATTTAAGCATTACCTTTGACCCAATCCTAAAGAGCCATGCTTTGAAAACTGGATAATTCTTGTACTATTATATTCACTAAGACAATCACTTTGTGCCTTGTTTCTGTTTTGATCAACTCCTAATGAAGTTTTATTTTTATAGTTAAGTAGTCTACTGAATTCATGCAGGCATAACAATGAAGAAATGTTTTTGACAACAAAGTACATGAGGACTAATGTTTTATCTTTTAAATTCTGACCTATGCACTTTTGAAATAACAGTAACATTCCACTTATCCAATTATCTGTAGGTCAGATTTCTGGCAATCTTTACCTTCCAGAACAGAGAAATTCCAAACTTAAAAAAAAAAAAAAAAAAAAAAATTGCTCTGAGGAAGGTAGTTTGAAAGCCCACACATATACAGGGACCCTTTCTTTTCCATGAAGTGGTTTGTAAAATATTGTAACCAAGTTCATCAAGAAATGAGAGAGAATAACCACAAAAAACCCCCAAAACTATAAAACTATTTAGTGTAAAGGTAAAGGGTCTTATAATAATTAAGAGCCTCTGATGGCAGTATAACATGAAAACACAGTGTAATAACTGACACTCATAATGCTGATTCTAAGTCATTAAGATATATTAAAAATTATCTTCAGTGTATTTAAGAATATAAGAATGTAACATTTTAGAAAATATTTTATTCAAAAAAAGCTAGGGGCTGGGGATGTGGCTCAAGTGGTAGTGCGCTCGCCTGGCATTCGTGCGGCCCGGGTTCGATCCTCAGCACCACATACAAACAAAGATGTGTCCGCCGAAAAACTAAAAAATAAATATTAAAAAAATTCTCTCTCAAAAAATATTAAAAAAAAAAAGCTAAAAATTTTAAAGGTAAATGCTTAAAGCTTCAGTTATATGAAAATTGATTTATGTGTAATACCAATCATTCTTCAATGATACCAGATAAGTAAGGTGTTACTGTATTGTCTTCTAGGTAAGTTAAAAATAAACTAAAGGAAAAAGTGATAAAAGTCAAAAAACTTTCTTTAATGGAGGTTAAGATAAATTCATATGCTATACTAAAGAAATGTAAAATGAACATTTGAAAATGCAATTAATCTAAATGTGAAAACTGTAAATAAACTTACAGAATGATGGCACCAAGAAATAAGAGGCCACAATGGAAACCAGAAGAATTGCATAGCAATGTAGATCAAAGAAAAGAGGCAAGTGGTCAGTGATAAACCCACATGTAGTCTGTCGCTGAGAGCAGCCAGGATATCATTGCACTCTAGCCTGAACACTTGAACATCCTCACACCATGTGTTCAAAAGTGTTTTTCATAGAACATAGAAATAGCCAATTAGCCTAAGGTACAAATAGCCAATCAGCTTCTTAATTTCTCATTTCTGATTTAATGCTCACTAAGGAAACCTGAACTTTTAATTTGTTCATCCAAATAAAACATTTTGCTGAATGAGGATGACACCTGATTACTATTTTACCCAGAGCCAAATGTGATACAGGACATCATGGAGGAACCAATGGTATTCTGATTCGTAACTCAGCCTCTTTTAAGTTTGATCGGCATGACAGGTCTTCAAGGGCCTAAGCATTCTTTGTTGAATCTTTCAAATTTTCATACCAAACAGACCCTGGAGAACAGATGACATGCCAAGGTACAATGATGTCCAACGAAACCATCTGTTTCTTGCAACTATAGTGATTTGGTACATCACTTTTAGTATATAAGGAGTGCATTCCATTAAAAATTACTATATTTACAGAAGGCAGCTTGCCTGTAGCAATGAAAAATATTCATCCTTTAAATGCATCACTTGCTCACTTTCTAAGCAGCCAAGTGGTATGCTCATTTGTATCTTGAGAAACGGGCAAGAGTATTCATATCGGTACCATTTCAGATTTCTAGTCATGTTAGTCATCTGGTTTTAATTGCACTGAAAAATAATTAACAGGAGGAAAAGAAAAGAGCAGTTCCCAAATGTCATTTTATTGTTATATAACACCCCCCAAAGCCCTTAAACAACAAATGTGTCTCTCTTCTAAAAGTACTTTGGGACATCAAATTTTCAGAAAAACAAATTTTAAAGTCAATGCCAACTATGTCAATTGGAATTGTTTAATCAGGAACTGTGGTTCTAGTAAAATCTTAGAGGAGTATAATTTCAATAAAAAGAAAGAAGAAAGCATTTGCTTCCATCCTAGGACAAATTTTTGGCCCTAAACAAAAAACAAAGCATTTGCAGAATAGCTACATTCTAGTGCATGTTTATTCTCCTGTCTCCTTTCAAAATTCTTCCTACTCAGTGTCAAGAACAAGAAGTCCCAGGCTAGCTAGCAACAGGTAAAAGATATTTGTAATCCCGTGCCTATCTTTGAGGAAGTGGGGCCTTAGACCAACAGGGTTTATTTTATCTCTTCAATTCTTAAAATCCTTTACTAATAATTTTTAGAATTTTTAAGATGAAAATATTAAATATTAACAAATGGTAAGTTTTAAAACATTAAGAGAATCATTTAAATTTATTTTAAAGTTAAAAAAAGTCTTTACCCTAAGCTATATGCTAAACCAGATTTAGAAAAATTTTGGAAGTATGGTAATACAGAGCAATTAACATACAAAAAGAGAAACAATGGGGGGCAATCTCAGATATTAGGATAAGCCAAATCCTTAAAAATACAAATTTTGGGTACACAAGAAATGTAACTCACTTTGAAGTTGTAGAAGGGCTGGTGATGCAGGAATTCACCATTTGAGAGGCTTTCAATGGTCTAGAACTATCAGAAAATTAGAAAATATATAATGTACATAATTATATTATTAAAGATATATATTTAACTTATAAAATGAATTATTCTATACTACAATCTCATACATACTCTTGAAAAGCAAACAATTGTAATGCTTTTTTAAAGATTATTAGCAACAGAGGCCAAGAGAATAAATGGAATACCATCTCTAGGCTCCATCTCTCTGATCTAATAATCTAAATAAACAGCTCTGAAATGAAGTCAAACACAATGCATACGAAAGAGGCAGGGAAAATTACCTTGTTTCATTTCTTTACTTTTAAGCAATAAAATAACAATAGCTCTCATTGAGTATTATTAGGAGTCAAGTACAGTACTAAGAACTCAAGGTTTATTACCTCACTTAATGTTCAGAACCACAATATTATTTTGCCTACAGATAAGTGAAGGAAGTTGTCCAAAGCCTGATTTTAGGCCAGTGATCATAAATATCAACATTTATGGCATGATACACTACTACTGCCAGAAAGAATAATAGCTCTACCAGCAGAGGGCAGTTTGCACCAAGTAAATACATCCACTCCAAATTAAAGCCAAAAGAGAAGAAAAACCAAAATTACTAAGACAATCTGGGCACCTGCTTTTATTAGTAGACTCTTGGGGACTTTAGTGTAAACTTGTATTAACTTATGAATCCAAAGGGAAATATATTTTATATAACTGCATCAATTCATATTAACAAATGTTCATTCACTTTCTGAAATGTCTATACCCTAGTCAAGAAACAGCCTTTTCAGTTACAAACGGACCTTAGAAAACCACTTTATCTTCTTGGATCTCCTATGCAAAATTAAGTGTTTGGATAAAATTTCAAAAATCCTTCTCATCTCTAAGTTCTAGACCTTTATGATTCTACCACCTAGAAAAGAACTACAGTATAAGGCTTCAAAGTAAAAAGGTATTCAGAAAAGAACATGACATTCTGAGAAGTCCTAAGGTTTTCCTGGCATTGCTTTAATGAAGCAAAACCTAAAGGTGATTTCTTTTCTCACTGAGAAATTTCTAGGAACCACTGACGTTCTTTACATTGGTGACAATTTACATTTATGAAGGCATCATCTATTTTGGGGGCTCCAGTTTAACACTGAGTACATGGTTTCTCAAATTTGCATGTCCCAAAGAGTAAGATAAAGCATTTATTAAAAATACTGAATCCCAAGCCTAATCTCAGAGTTACTGAAACAGAATATCCAGGAAAAGAACTGAGAAATTAGTATTTTAGTGTTCAGGGACACTTATGACCAGCCAAATTTGATTTAAATTCCCCTATGTATCAAATGGTCTTCAAGTGGTTTAGAATAGAAACATTCCCTAAAAAAGTACCCATTATGAAAGGTAACTAATAAACTTGGAATAATTTTGTTTAGGCATTTCCTTCAATTACTTCAATCAGGCAATTAAATGCTAAAATTCCAAAATAAAGCAAAATTAAAATCTCCTCCTTAGTCTGATTTTATGTAGGAGTCATGTGTTCAGTCATTCTTTTGATTAGATACTAAAGTACGTTTCAAAAGAGAAAGTAAAGACGTTGTCCCTGAAGGACTTACATTGCCATATGTGCACTCCAACCAAGAGTAAAAGGTGGTTTTGTATTTTCCGTGCAATGAGATGACAAGGTCAGGTATCTTGGAATGATGACTTGCTGCCCAATCTTGTTGTTAAGTGAGAGAGCCACATTGAAGCTGTATCGTTTCAAATGAAGAATGAGGACCCTAAAAAAACAGGAGATGATGACTCTATTGACTCATATATAATACAGGTAGTATTTATAGCTTAAAAGAGATCACTCTAACCACATTGGACAAACTAAGAATGCATTTGCAGCTGGGAATTAGCTTAGTGGTAAGGCGCTTGCCTTGTGTGCTTATTATTCTCAGCACATTTGGCCCAACTAAATACTTCAAAGAACATTCAGTAAATACCTGCCATGTGCCAGAGTCTGGGCTAGGTACAAATGAAAACAAAACCTGGACATGGTAGATTAAGGAGGTTTGAGTAAAATACATATAATTCTCCTAGAAAAAAAATAGCAATAAATAAAACGTTGCTATTGATGTTGGGTTAAATCCCTGCTTATTTCACTAATTTTAAGTGGAATCAGTGTTGTATAGCCACGTGGTAAAATAATATCTATTAAACTGAAATGTTACATAGCCCTTACATTTGATAGTACATTAATTATTTCAAGATGACTTTTTATAATAAGTCTCTAATTTCAGAATAATTTTCTCTGAGGAAGCTAAGAGGGAAACAAAATTTTTTCGACCCACCAAAAATTGTACAAAACATCTGCATGCCATATCTAGTCTGTGAGTCTGAAAAGGCTTTTAGCTCTTTAGAAACATTTAGTTCTTTTTGGTTATCATTGCTGCAACCTTTTCCATCTCTCATACATAATGTAATATCTGCCTGATGGATTAGATACATTTCATAGCCCACAAGAACTTTAGAAATTGAATTTCAAAAATCTTATGGGAAAAAAAAAACTTCAGTCCAAGACAAAAAAAAAGTCTGATTTATGGAAAATTGTGTCCTTTCTATTGTTTATAACTCTTCTTCACAGAAGCCATAAATTCAAAAAATTGTAGACTTAAGTTATTGTGTCTTTAAAAAACCATGCTAGGGGGCTGGGGATGTGGTTCAAGCGGTAGCGCGCTCGCCTGGCATGCGTGCAGCCCGGGTTCGATCCTCAGCACCACATACAAACAAAGATGTTGTGTCCGCCGAAAACTAAAAAATAAATATTAAAAATTTCTCTCTTTCTCTCTCTTTAAAAAAAAAAAAAAAAACATGCTAAGCTGGGGTTGTGGCTCAGTGGTAGAGTGCTTGCCCGGCATGTGTGAGGGTACTGGGTTTAATCCTCAGTACCATATAAAAGTAAGTAAATAAAATAAAGGTATTGTGTCCACCTACAACTAAAAAATATTTTTAAAAACCATGCTAAATTCATGATCTTCAAATTTACAATGTGAAAGAACACAAGGATATGACTGATGTGAAGAAACCCAAATTAATGTAAAAAAATCAAATATTTTAACTATAATTTCAATAATCCTCACCAAAACAAAAGGCAATATAAAACAGGAAGATGATAGTCAAAATCATCTGCAAAGATGAGACAGACTGAATAAAAATAGAACAAGTCTAATCATTAGAGAATCTTCTATTTCATGTACATTTGGAATTAACCTTTAATACAGGTGTCCTAGTAGGGGAAAAAAAAAAAAAAACAATGAAAAAAATTCTCAATGTTTTCTTTTCCATTTGAAAGACCAAACAGTTTGAGAATGGGAAACTGGGGCTGGGATTATGGCTCAGTGGTAGAGTGCTCACCTAGTGCGTGTGAGGCCCTGGGTTCGATCCTCAGCACCACATAAAAATAAATAAAGGTATTGTGTCCAACTACAAATAAAAAAAATAGATATTTAAAAAAAAAAAAAAGAGAATGGGAAACTTATGAGGTCAAATAAGTCTTTTAATTGTCTGCTGCTTTCCTGTTAGTGACAGCTGGTAACAATCAATCTTTTGCCTTAAGATTTCTTTCTCCCTCCCTCTTGCTTTAAATACCCCAAATATGAAAAAACAAAGTCTCTTGGATAAAAAATATTGACTATGATCAAAACAATAATACTGCTATGATTTATAAAAGCAATTTCTTTGAAACAACTTATTATTTAGAAAGAAATAGATCAGGAATGTAAAAGAACTAGTCTCTAGGGTCTGAGTTCCAGAAACCCCACACAGAAAATTGAAGCTAATAAAACAAAGTACAGCACTCTGGAGGCAAAGAGCCGCATAAATACTTAATGTTAATAATAACCTTGTTTATGATTGATTCTATTTTTGGAAAGAACTAAAAGCTGTCCTGCAACCACACTAATTTTTTGTAACTAGCTTTGCTTTATGTTTCTTTATATAGTGCTAATACACTGTAAGTTAATTTCATTCCCAAATCAGAAAATCTATTTTATGATTAGAACTTACTAACTTATTATTATTTAAAAAAATTTTTTTTGATAGTGAGGATTGGACTCAGGGGTGCTTTGCCACTGAGCTACATCCCCATTTTAATTTTTAAAAATTTTGTGGTGCTGGGGATTGAACACAGGGCCTTGTGCATGTGTAGCAAGCACTCTACCAACTGAGCTACATCCCCAACCCATTTAACTTTTTGAGACAGGGCCTTACTAAATTGCTGAGGTTGGCCTTGAACATGTGGTCTCCTGTCTTGGCTTCCCAAATCACTGGGATTTAGATTTCCAAATTACTTGGATTAAAGGCATCAGCCACCATGCCCAACATAATTTGTAAGATGCTCTGAGAAAGTAATGCACAAATTGCACAAAATTACTCTTTCCATTTTATTTTCACACACACATGTGTGTATGTGTCTGCAAGCAGATTTTTACTGACTGTATGGAATAAGAAAGGGAGCCAGTTGTGGTGGGACACGCCTATAAACCCAGTGCCTTGGGAGGCTGCAACGAGTGGAGCACAAGTTCAAAGCCAGCCTCACCAATTAAGCGAGGCCCTAAGCAACTTAGTGAGACCCTGTCAAAAAACAAATGAGTAAAAAGGGCTGGGGGATGTGGTTCAGTGGTTGAGCACCCCTGGATTCAATCCCTGATAGCAAAAAAAAAAAAAAGGGAAACTATAGCACAACAAAGAATAACAAATTACTGGTTGAAGAGCTCTAATCTGAAAATTCAAAATAAAAATGCGCCAAAATGTGAAATTTTCATAGCACTGAAATAATGCCACAGTGGAAAATTCCACATCTGCCCTCATTTGACAAGATGCAATCAAAATGTAGGTATTCTAAAAATGTTGTTTAAATTACCTTCATGTATATAATGTGTAAGAAATGTTAGTGAACATCACACTTAGACTTGGGACCTGCCCCCAAGGATCTTATTACATACATGCAAATATTCCAAAATCCGAAACACTTCTGGTCCCAAAATTTTGAATAAGGGATACTCAAGCTGTAACTAAATGTTACATATTATTAATTTTTTTAAACTTTAGATATACATGACATATTTTGACATACACACATGGAGTATAACGTATTCTAATTAGGATCCCATTCTTGTGATTGAATATGATGTGGAGTTACAGTGGTTGTACATTCATACATAAACATAGGAAAGTTATGTACAATTCATTCTACAGTCTTTCCTATTCCTACCCACCCATTCCCCTTTGTCTAATCCAATGAACTTCCATTCTTCCCTCCCCTCCCCTTGTTGTGTGGTAGCATCTGCATATCAGATAGGACATCTGACCTTTGTTTTTTTGGGATTGGATTATTTCACTTAGCAATATATTCTCCAGTTCCAAACATTTACTAGCAAATAACATAATTTCATTCTTCTTCTTCTTTTTTTAAACATATTTTTTAAGTCATAGTTGGACACAATAGCTTTGTTTTGTTTATTTGTTTTTATGTGGTGCTGAGGATTAAATCCAGTGCCTCGAACATGCCAGGCAAGCACTCTACCAATGAGCCATAATCCCAGCCCAATTTCATTCTTCTTAATGGCTAATTAATATTCCATTCTCTGTGTGTGTGTGTGTGTGTATCTATCTCACATTTTCTTTATCCATTCATCTGTTGAAGGGTACCTAGGTTGGTTCCATACATTACCTACTGTGAATGGAGATGCTATGAACATCTATGTGGCTGCATCACCTGAATATGCTATTTTAAGTCCTTTGGGTATATGCCCAAGAGTGGGATAACTGGGTCAAATGGTGGTTCTATTCCAAGTTTTCTTAGGAATCTCCATACTGCTTTCCAGAGTAGTTGCACCAATTTGCAAACCCACCAGCAATGTATGAGTGAAACTTTCCCCCAACATCCTCACCACCAACATTTATTGTTACCTGTATTCTTGCTAATTGCCCAATTGTTACATATTATTACTGAATTAAAAACCTATTAGCTAGTCTCCATCATCACTTCTAAGTCTCACCAGCTGCATCCTCTTGCCATCTTCTTGGAACTCTCAAGACCCTTTCTTCTTAACCATTCGAAACCACCCTCCTTTCTTATGCAAGGGTATTCTCGTTTTCTAACCTTCACATCTTAGCTTGCTGACCTCTCACCAATTCATTCCTACACTTCACTTCTATTTGTAAGTACTTGGATGTGGCTTAGTGGCAGAGCGCTTGCCTTGCACATGTTAGGCACTGGGTTTGATCCTTGGCACTAAATAAAAATAAATAAATAAATAAACAAAATAAAGATATGTGTCCATGTATAACCAAAAAATACATATTTTTAAATATTTATTTTTCAGTTTTCGGTGGATACAACATCTTTATTTTATTTTTATGTGGTGCTGAGGATTGAACCCAGCGCCCCGCGCATGCCAGGCGCATTACCTACCGCTTGAGCCACATCCCCAGCACTAAAAAATATTTTTTAAACATTATGTATTTTTATAAAGCACTTTTTGGGGTGGTGGGTATTGGGGATTGAACTTAGGGGCACTCAACCACTGAGCCACATCCCCAGCCCTATTTTGTATTTGATTTAGAGACATGATCTCACTGAGTTGCTTAGCATCTTGCTTTTGCTGAGGCTGGCTTTGAACTCACAATCCTCCTGCCTCAGCCTCTGGAGCCGCTGGGATTACAGGTGTGCGCCACCGCGCCCAGCTAAAGCACTTACTTTTAAAAGGGTAATTAAAGGGCTTACCTAGGAAGCCTGTTAAACTTATGCCTGACAAGAGCACACTTCCCACCACACTTTTCACAGGAATACTCAAGTTCTTCTGCCTACAAAAAGATGAGACAAAAATAAAGAAGGATGAAATTGAATCCCATTAGCTCATTCAATGCAAATCATGTTCTTACATGTCTTACTAGTTCAGATGAAGGACAACTCTGAACCAATTTAAATTTTAAGTCTGAGCCATAAGACGTACCAAATTAAGACTTAATCTTTAAAATATAGTCATCTTATAATATCATGTCCTCTTTCAGAATTCCTAATTCCGTCTTTACCAAGGAAACATCTCAGTTTATGATAGTAAATTGACTCTTAAGTCAAAAGTTTGATTCTCAAACTTTTCCTCATGGATACACATGAGTCGCTTCCAAGAGTATATCCAGATTTTAACATATGGCTATAGCAGAGTTAAGATCATCTTCAGATTTGGTGGAGTTCATGGTCTGTAAGGTGTAATTCTACCCCTTATAATGGAACGCAATCTTCTGGTGACAGCCCACTAAGAACTGCTCTAAATGGAACGAAGTTTGGGGTGGATATCATTACCTAGAGAAAACTGAAACAAGAAATCCTTAAAAAAATGGGGATAAGATACACAGGAAAGTCTTAAGTCTATGATTACAACAGGAACAGTACAGAAAGATTAAACAACAAAAAAGCAGAGCATTGGGGCTGGGGTTGTGGCTCAGCGGTAAAGCTCTGGCCTAATGTGTGAGGCTCTGGGTTTGATCCTCAGCACCACATATAATTAATAAATAAAATAAAATAAAGGTATTGTGTCCAACTATAACTAAAAAATAAATATTAAAAAAAAAGAGAATTTATCTTTGGGAGGAGATGAACATTCATGTTAAAAGAATAGTTTTCTTTTTTAAATCTTACAAAGACAACCCTGCCAATTTGCTGCAACAAAATAAGGACCATATTATATAGATAAAGAGATCTTGGCAAAGTTCTCTAGTTATAATGTCTCTATGTAATAGGTCTGATCAAGCCCCAGAACTTTTCTATCTGTGACAGTGTACCAGTGTATAGTTTACCTACAGTTTTGGATAAACATAATTTTTTTCTTCCTATTCTCATCAGGGTACACATACAAACTAAGGAAATGAAATGAAAAGCAAAAACACTTTTTTTCATTACTCAACTTTTATACAGTATCTTCATATTTAATTCATGTTATCAAATTGTAGCATTTCACTTCAAATGCTTTAATGTTTACAAATAATGAACTGCTTCTAAGGTTGTTTAAAACATTGCTACTGACTTAAATATATAATCTACTTAATCAACCAATTTTCTTCTTCAATGAACTATAGATTTATCTTTATAAAACAAATGTTACATATTCTTCATTTGTTTTTCCTGAAGATAATTTGATAGAAACTCTTGCCTTGAAGAAACCAACTTTAAAAACAATTACCTATGATATATAAAATTTACTTATGTGAAAATACAAAAGATTTTACTTACTCTAAAGAAAAGATCAAGAGAATCTTGAATCGAACGAGGAGGGAGTGGCTTTTTCCTACGAGGGAGGTCGATGGAGAGGTCATTAAACTGTTCTCTTTTGGGAATAGTCTCTCCACATCTGTTAACAATAAAAGGGGACAAATACGTGTATTTAGAGCAATATAAAGATACAAATATACTTGAAACACTCTTCACCCCTGCAGAATAAAGCTGACGCACTAAGAGCAGGCATAAGTAACAGACAACACTTAGACCTTTTTATGCTTATTTTAACACTTATTAAATTAATACAGAAAACAATCTTAGTTGTAATATTTAAGTACTTTCTTAAAATACTAAACTTTAAACTTTTATGTTTTCAAAAACCCACAAACTTTTTTCTTTTTTGGGGTATTGAGGATTCAATGCAAGGGCACTCAACCACTGAGCCACATCCCCAGCCCTATTTTGTATTTGATTCAGAGACAGGATCTCACTGAATTGCTCAGTACCCTGCCGTTGCTGAGGCTGGCTTTGAACTTGCAACCCTCCTGTCTCAGCTTTCCAAGCCACTAGGATTACAAGTGTGCACCGCTGTGCCTGGCGGGATATATTTTTATAAATTAAAAAAAAAAAAGAGCTCAGAGATCAAAACACCCTATTTAATTTACTCGAAATTAAACTGATTCTTTTTAGTTTAGCTAACTATTTTTCACTGGTTCTCTTTATCAGCATTTTGATTTTCAGCTCAGTTCCCTATTGCCACAATTGAAGACTGGGGCATAAGAACAGTTTTCATTCAATAAAAATTTGCTGAATGCTTTCCTGACAATAAAAGCTCCCCTCCCCCACCAAAGAAACAATTTATTTAGAATAAAACAAAAGTAGCTCAACTGTGAGCAAGCAGTATAATTGAGCAACAGCTACTTTAAAACTTAGGCAAAAAAGAAAGGGGGAGGGGTGCGGTTTCTTAATTTTCTAGAACTCCTGTGTACACAGCATAAGGCAAAGAGGTCAAGTTTTTCTACTTAAAACACCAGCTTTGGCATCATACTTGCAGATACACATAATGGCACTTGACAGGTAGAGTTCTAAGGGGAAACCTGATTTTGTAAAATTCCATATCCTTTGAGTTTGAGTCGTAAAACTCCTGTCAACCAGGAGCTATCACTCCCACGGTGATGCTACTCTATTTCGTTAAAGGAATTTTGCAGGGGCTGGGATGTGGCTCAAGCGGTAGCATGCTCACCTGGCATGCGTGCGGCCCAGGTTCGATCCTCAGCACCACATACAAACAAAGATGTTGTGTCCGCCGAAAACTAATAAATAAGTATTAAAAAATTAAAAAAAAAAAAAAAGGAATTTTGCAAAACCTTAAAATTAAGGTTATTAATCTTAACTTTGAGTTAATACATATTATCTGTGTGGAGCCCTTTTAATCTGGGTCTAGAGGGCAGAAACAGAGGAAGATTGAGTGAGATGTGCTCTTGCTGGTTGGGAAGCAAACCGCAATGTTGTAAGCTGTCTGTGGGGGCCACATGCCAAAGACCTGGAAACAGCTAGATGCTTATCTCCCACCTCCTACCAGTTGCCACACTGTGTGCCACTGCCTAGCCTGGAATTCTCTTCAATTCTTACCCCACCAAACATTGACTTAGAAAGGTTCTGTATACTCTGTGGGTTTATGCTTTCTTCCTGATGTGGAAAGGAAGATAAGAATTCATAGCATTTGGTACATCAAAAGAAAGTTTTATTATTTGCCATAAAGAATTAAGAGAAAGAAGTCTTCTCAGAAGTTACTTACGCTTTACAAATGATGGAGTGCTGAACCTCAAACTCCAAATTAGTAATAACTGGACAAGTGTATACTCTGGTAGCTGAAATATCTGATGAATTTTCTTCTCCAGGAATAGACTCAGTCTTCCAAGTTTTATTCAATTTTTCCATATCCTCTTTCAGCTGGTCTAAGCACTGACTTAAAAATTCATGAGCATCCTAAGAAGATAATAATAACATTGTAAGAAGATAATAACATCTGTCATCAAATCAAAACTTTTTTTTTTTTTATTAATAATAAAAACAGTTTGTTATCCTGGCACAGTGGCGCACGGCTGTAATCCCAGCAGTTCGGGAGGCTAAGATAAGAGAATCACGAGTTCAAAGCCAGCCTCAGTAACTTAGCAAAGCACCCTGTCTATAAAAGGACTGGCGATGTGGCCCAGTGGTATAGTGCCCGGGGTTCAATCTTCAGTACCAGAAATAAAATAAAATGTCAGTTCAAGATTAAAAACAAAACAAAACAAAAAAAACCACGAGGCTTGTGGCTCAATGGTAGAGCATGCATGAGGCACTGGGTTCAATCCCCGGCACCACATCAAAATAAATAAAATAAAGGTATTTTGTGTCCATCTACAAATTAAAAAAAAAAAAAAAAGCCAGTTTGCTACCAATGTGATTCATATAAGCACCTGAAAGAGAAATATGTGAACAAGGTCAGATTTATTCTAATAAGGATTTTAGGGCACATATTGTGTGAAGAAAAACAAATGAAAAGGGCTTGGGTGTAGATCAGTGGTAGAACACTTGTCTGGCATGCATAAGGCCCTCGGTTTGATCTTAGCACTGCAAACCTCACCTCACCCTAACCCTAACCCAAAACTACAAGTAAAAATAAAAATAATAGATTTTATATTCTTTACTATTCAGTTGCATTAGAATGAATGAATGAATGAATGAATGAATGACTCTCCACTTTGCTAAAATAAGGTTATTTTTCACTGGCACACCACACCTATATATTAAAATACGATAAAACAAGAAGAATCATACAGAACCTTATAACTTCTTAGGTTTTTCAATCCATGATGATCACACTACCCAAATCACATTTTAAAACAAAAATCAGGTTAAATACTAAAATAATTACAATTTCCCATATCTCTGAAATATTTAAAAACCATTTGCTAACTTACATTCTGCATGTAACCAGAGAATCTCTCTGCTGTAGCTGAAATGGCATTTTTAACTTTCTTGAGTAAGTCCTTTTTGGTCTCTGAATTGCAGATATCTTTTTTAACAAGCAAGTGTGCAAAGCGTCTGGTAAAATAAAAGAGACAAGGTTAACATGTCTTACAAAACATTAGATGGTATAATAGCATATAAAATTTTAAGCATTAAAATTCCATTATTCTATAATCAATAAGGTAAGAGGTTACTAAAGAATGTATGTAACAATTACCTGATAAGGGCATTGAGTGGAATTTTCTTCCAGGGGATACCTTGTTTAAGCAAGTCATTTGCAAATGATTGAAGTGAAAACAGAGACTGTAAAATAGCATTCATATAGCATGTATTTCCCAAATTGGAGAATCTGAAAGAAAAAAAAAATAGTATTTAAGGTACATTCAGTATAGCGTGGGCAGTTCCTAAAGTCTGTGTAGTGCAATAGTACCAAGGGGTTCTCCAGTTAGTCATGCATCAGAATCACTAAAGGGCTTATTAAAAACTACACATTATTGGATGGCACCCCAGAGACTCTAATTCAGTAGGTCTTGACAGAAAGGGTGCAAAAATATGCATTTCTAACAAGTTACTAGATGATGCTGACACTACCAATATGGAGAAAACCACTTTGAGAACCACTGCATTATAATATCATGATAATTTAGTTTCATCTAATTGAAAATTAGATACTTGCCATTAGGCTAAATTATTACCTTTCTCTCACCTCAATTTATACCTTTTTTTTTTTGTATTTAAGGGTATCAGCCCTTTATATATAATATTTATAGCAAGTATTTATTCTCAATTTATCATCTGCCTTTGTTTTTGGCCATGAAAAAAATCTAATTTTTATATAGTCAAATTAATCAGTCTTTTACTGAATCTTGATCCTGAATCAAATCTACAAAGCCTTTCCCCTACATTAAGATAACATAAAAATTTGCCAAAAATTTCTCCAAGTACTTGAAGAGTTTAATTTTTTATGCTTAGAACTGTTTCATTTGGAATTTATTCACCAGAAAGATGTAACTGTGCCAGGAGTGGTGGCGCATGCCTGTAATCCTAGCAGCTCAGGAGGCTGAGGAAGGAGGATCAAGAGTTCAAAGCCAGCCTCAGCAAAAGAGAGGCACTAAGCAACTCAGTGAGACCCTGTCTCTAAATCAAATACAAAATAGGGCTGGTGATGTAGCTCAGGAGTCAAGTGCCCCTGAGTTCAATCCCCAGTACCTAAAAAAAAGATGTATCTGTATATTTTTCAAAATGACTGCATATTTATTCTAATGTTTTAATAAAGTCCATTGTTCCTATAATCAGGACTATCTATTCTATTCGATAGCCCATCTACTTACTCATTAGTACAAAGTTGTTTTAATTATAATGAATTGATACTATCTTAAAATATCTGGTAGGACTATTCTTCCTATTTCTATTCAGCATTTTCCTACTATTTTTCTGTATTTATTTTTCCATATGAATTTTTTTCACAGAAACATATCAATTACTACAGCTTCATAAAAAAGCTGACCGCATTTTTACTGGGATCACATTAAATTTACTGTAGAGATAACTATGTACCTTGATATGCTAAGATGTCCTAACCATGAATAATTGATATTTTCTATGGATTTCAATTTACTGTTGTGTCTTTTGGGAGTACTTTGTAATTTTCCCCAATTTGAAAAATTCTTAAGTTTATTCCCAAGTATTTTTCTTTTTTGGTGCTACTGTAAATTGGATTTTCTCTTTCTACATCTTCACACTGGTTATTTGTATTGGCATGTCTGCTAATTTTCAGTCCTGCTTATCTGGCTAAATACTTTAATTGTTTAAGCTACTTTAACATGGACTCACTATGGTTTCTAGGTATTTCATTTACAATTATTATGCTTCTACTTTTTTCCATATCTAATTACATTGACTAATACCTCCAACACAACATTAAACAGAAGTAAAAATAGTAAGTATCCTTGTTATGGGTTAGCATCCACAATTCAAGGCTGGGGGTATAGTTCAGTTGGTAGAGTTGCCTTGCATCCAAAGGACTTGCATTAGGACTCCTTGCAGTGATATTTATACTTTTTTTTGTGCTTCTTGAATAGGTTTGGTTATACCTGTTTCATGAAAAGTAAGCACCGGAATCTTTTCCTCGATTTCTAAGCTCTGAAATAATTTGTGTAGCACTAGGATTCTGTGATTTCTAAACATGTCACAGAAATTTCCTGTGAATCACTTCAACCTGGTGCTTTTTATGTGAGGAAGCTCCTTGATAAGTTTCATTTCTTTCCATATAAACTGTTTTAAGTTTTCTATCTTGAAGGATCAATTTGGTAAAATACATTTCATTTAAGTTTTAAAATCCTTTTATTTTTAATTTTTAGATATACACGACAATAGGGTGTATTTTGACATATTATACATAAATGAGGGTGTAACTCATTACGATGCTGATTCCATTCTTGTGGTTGAACATGATGTGGAGTTACACTGGTCATGTACTCACATATGAACATAATAGGAAAGTTATGTCCGATTCATTCTACTGTCTTTTCTATTCCCACCCCACCCCCTTCCCTTCACTCCTCTTTTGTTTAATCCAACGAACTTCTATTACTTCCCCTCCCAACCCTCCCTTGTTATGGGTTAGCATCCAAATATCAGAGAGAACATTCAACCTTTGATTTTTGGGGGACTGGCTTATTTCATTTAGCAGGATATTCTCCAGTTCCATCCATTTACTTGAAATTCTTTTTTTAAAATATTTTTTTTTTAGCTTAGATAGACACAATATCTTTATTTTTGTTTGTTTTTATGTGGTGCTGAGGATCAAACCCAATGCCTCACACAGGCGAGGCAAGCCCTCTACCACTGAGCTATAACCCAGGACCACTTGAAATTCTTTTTGCGAAGTACAAAATAGTCTCAAATGATTCTTTAAATTTCTTCTTTATCAACAATTATTTCCCCCTGTCATTTCTTATCTTGCTTCCCTTCTTCCTATATTGTCTAAAAATCCAGTGACTTATCTATTTCATCATTTTTTAAAGTAACTAGCACAGATGCGCCTTAAGAACGGCTTATTATATCCCATATAAAACCATTATAAGTTGTAAATATTTATAAGTTGAAAATGCACTAAATACATGTAACCTACCAAAAATCACAGCTGAGCAACAAACAGCTATACAGTGTCAGCTGTTTACCCTCAGACTGCACGCCTGACTGGGAGCTGTGGTTTGTTGCCATTGCTGTTGCCCAGTATCACAGGAGTGAGTATAGTGTTACATATTGCTAGCCTGGGAAAAGATCAAAATTTAAAATTTGAAGTATAGTTTCTTCCAAATATGTATCACTTTTGTACCATTTTAAAGTAAAAAAATACTAAATAGAACCAATGTAAGTTGGGGACTATGGACTCTGATTTGTTAATATGACTCACTGCTTTTCAGTTCACCATTTCATGCAACTCTCTTCATTTTTATTACTTCCTTCTTTGTGTTTTGTTTTGGTTTGTTATTTTTTCAGTTGGAACTCAGAATTGATTTATTTTCAATCTTTTATTTGCATTGATATATACAGATGGTCTTTGGTTTAAGACTGTATACTTATGTATTCCCACCACGAATTTTTCTCTGATGATTACACTTTATTTCCAATTTTATTCATTTTCAGAATATCTGCAATTTGTTTGTTTGACCCAAGAGTCTCTTAATATGATTTTTTGAGTTTCTAGGTAGAAGGTACCTTTTTGATATTTAGTTTTGTGCTTGATTTTTTTTTTCTTTTTTGGTACTGGGGATTGACCATAGGAGTGCTTAACCACTGAGCTGCATCCCTAGCCCTTTTTAAAATTTTATTTAGAGACCGGGTTTTGCTGACTTGCTTAGGGCCTTGCTGAGTTGCTGAGGTTGGCTTTGAACTCAAGATCCTTCTGCCTCAGCCTCTCAAGCTGCTGTGATTACAGGTGTGCACTACCATACCCAGCTTCTAAGAATGTTCTTAAACAACTACCAACATTGAAATCTAAATTTAGTATGTGGGTAGTTAATATTTAATTTTCCCTTTCTGAGAATGATTTCTTCAGGTTTCATAAGTCTTCCCCTCGTATATGTTTTTTTCATGTAAATACTTCAGTCTCTTGTCTCTTTCAATATTTACAAGCTTAGACAGCAGAAACAGGAACACTACACAGGAATTTTGCTTGCATATCTACTTAGAAGGTAATTTAAAGATCTACTGTCTCCTGGTAATGCCAAAGCATGTATCATGTGTGCTCCTCTTTGCACTCCTCATTGATTTCATGGCTTTCTTTGAAACAAACAAACAAACAAAAACAGATTTTGTAAGGAACTCTAAAATTAGGTAGCCTCCTTTATCCTGAAGACCTGGAAGTTTTCTACTCATATTTTTTTAAAAAAGGAATCCCTCGTCCTGAACACTGTTTTTGGTACCGGAAATTGAACCCAGGGGCACCCTACCACTAAGCTACATCTTCAGCCCTTTTTATTTTGAGATAGGGTTGGTTTTGCTAAGTTGAAGATACCCGTCAATGCTCAACTTAGCAAAGCCTTAAGCAAATTATAAAGACACTGTATTTAATAAAAAATTTTAAAGGGCTGGGGACGTAGTTTAGTGATAAAGCACCCCGAGGTTCAATCCCCAATAAAAAATAAATGAATAAATAAAACAGCTTTCCTTAGTCTTAACAATTTCAACAATTTATCCTATAAAAGTTTCATGAAGTACTATAAAACATATGTGTGTATGTGTGTGTATACACACACATACACACATATAAACGTTCATTCTATCTTGGATTATATTTGGAAAACAGAGAAACTTAAAATGCATACTAACATAGTTTAAAGTTCTGTATTAATACATAAGGATTATTATGCAGTGAAAAATTAGAGAACAAACAATATAGCACAATGCTTAAGAATCCAACTGGAGTCCAGCTGCCTGGATTTAACACTGCTGTCCTATTGACTACATCACTTTAAACAAGTTAATTAACTTTCTTAAACCTTAGCTACTTAATGTATAAAAGCAGAATTTTAATATATCTATCTGACATAGCTGTTGAAAGGGTTTAAAGAAAAAAGGACTAAACCCTTAGCACACAAAATCTGGCACATAATAAACACTTTAGGTGTGACAGCTACTATCATTATTTCAGTTATATTATGATCTCATTTTTTATGTCTAACAAAAATATAATCATAAAGGTGCTGAAGAGAATACATTAAAATCGACATTGAAAGTGTATCAGTACTAAGAGGCAGTGTATGAGCTTGGAGAATCTTTGTTTTTGCCTTTAAAAAGAAAATTATATATACTTCAAAAAATCATCTGGAGATCAGATAATGGACTCAACATTTCTTATGGATGTGTGAAATCTTTCATAAGTGATCTAATTTGTAAATATTTTAGAGCTATAATTAATGTGACTCCTTTCATTATTTTTTTTATAACAGCACAATTCAATTGAATTATTTTATAAAACAGAAAGTGAAAAATTACCCACCCCTGCAGTTGTTGCTGTTGGTGAGAGGAAAGGGGCATTCTTGGTTTGTTCCAGCCAGTGTAATCCTGGTTACACCTCAGTTTTTTAACAGAAAGAGGAGTTGGCTGAGGAAGAAATCCCAAACTTCTTTTGGCAGAGGGAGTCTGGCTTGAAACAGTCCTATTTAAAAAAAAAAAGTAAATAAGGAAGAAGCAAAATAAAAATTTGAAAGTTACTACCATACTCCAGTAGATTCAAAGAAGTCACTATCTAGGGGAAGAAATCTTAAACTTAGGGTAATAATGGTAAAATGGTAATTAAAGTCACCTGGAGGGGAAACTCATAAATATGAATTAGAGAGAGAGAGCTAAAGAGGTTTATAATACTATATATATTTAACCCATAAGCAAAATAATCCAAGTTAATGGCTTGAGGAAAACTATATAATTACACTAAAACTATATAATTATACTTTATTATTCACTTTTATCCATTTTAGAGATATCACACATTAGTTTACCTAGTCTTGGACAGATTTAGGGAGTCAACTTCTTCCATAATTACAAATAGCAACACTGAAACAGACAAATTAAGGGTCCTTCTATAAGAACAACTTCCCGATAGCATCCTGTATTTCCTCATACTGAGAGTAAAGGCTGAAGAGTTGCCTCTCCTGGTTCTGAAGGATGACATGGAAGCTAAGAATAGGAACTGCCCTCTGCTGTAGCCTGTCTAGCACAGGATAATTAAATCCGCACATGCCTTTTGTCCCACTTTGCTGCCTCTTATAAAAGCTTTCCTGGCTCTTGAATTTTCCAAAGACGGAAATTTAAAACAAAAAAGTTTCTATCTTCCTTCAAAGCTGACTTTGAATAAAATCTATTTTCCTGCCAATCTGACTCTGGGTTTGTGGAGCAACAAATGGTAAAGCCCAGTTTCTTGCCCCTGTAAGGTATAGTTCTGCCTGGTACCAACACAACAAACATTTCCTACTCAATTTCCTTAAGAAAAACTTCTAGTTTATATGTTTATAAGTGGAAATATTCAAGGTATTTTTAATTGTCTTAGATACAGTGTTTTCCAAAAAGCCAAAAGCAATTTATATTTCTACCAAAATGAACTGTTATTTTCTCACTTCTCCATTGCTTATTATTAGTTTTAATTTTAAACAGAATAGTGATACTTGAACTTGATGTTATTTATTTTGCACTTCCCTGACTACCACTAACAATGAACATATTTTTATATTTTTTTTCTTTGAAATGCTTTTCTATATACTTTGTTTTACACTGGGTTCTTAATGATTTGTAGTTCTTTACATATTCTGTACAATAATCCTTTGTCTATCATATATCTAAGTTTAAAAGTTTTTGGTAGTGAAATTCATTTTTTCTTTCATGGCTTTGATTTGTGTGTGTTTTAAAAGAAATCATCCTGTGCCATAAGCTCACAGAAATATTTATCAGTATTTTCTCTAAAAGTTTTAAATTTGGTTTTCCTCTCTCTTTAAGTCTTTAATTCACATTTACCTGTCATGCTGTGAGAAAAGAATACAAATTACTTTATTTTCCTTTCATGGTACTGGGGACTAATAAGAGTCTCTCAGGTGGTAGGCAAGTACTCTACCACTGAGCCACATCCCCAGCCCTTTCCATTTTAAAAAATCTTGACACAGGGATTTTGCTCAATTGCAGAAGCTGACCTCGAACTTGCCATAATCCTGCCTCAGCTTCATAACTAGCTGGGATTTCAGGTGAGCATCAACACACCTAGCTTCATGATTTACCTTCCTATAAGGAAAACCAGTTGCTCCAAATTACTTATTGTCTGGCTAGGCCATGCATTAGGCACTATTTTTTGTTGTTGTTGTTTTTGTTTTGGTGCGGGGGAACCCAGGATTGAACTCAGGGGCATTTGACCCACTAAGCCACATCTCCAGCCCCATTTTGTATTTTATTTAGAGACAGAGTCTCACTGAATTGCTTAGCATCTTGCTTTTGCTGAGGATGGCTTTGAACTCTCAATCCTCCTGTCTCAGCCTCCCAAACCGCTCGGATTACAGGCATGTGCCACCGCATCCGGCTGCTTATTTTTGTTTCTATACTTAATGTCTTTTTCTTTTTTTTTCAATTAAGTTATTATTTTTTATATACTTTTTTTTTAGTTATAGTTGGACACAATATCTTTATTTTATTTTATGTGGTAATGAGAATCAAACCCAGGATCTCCCACATGCCAGGCGAGTGCTCTACAGCTGAGCCACAATCCCAGGCCCTTAATGTCTTTTTTTCTTCCAGTATCTTTACAATGATTTCCTTTATCACAGGTTTTAAGCACTAATTATACTGTACTTGATATAGCTTTCAGCATGCTTTATGAGGTTTCTTCCACCTGTGGTTTTATATTATTCAGTAAACTTTAAAATCTTTTAGATTATTTTCTTGAAATACTTGTTTTCTCACTTTTTCTCTCCTCCTTGGGGACTCTAATTTAAGAGATATATTTGGGGGGCTGTGGTTATGGCCAAGTGGTAGAGCGCTTTCCTAGCATGCAGAAGGCACTGGGTTCGATCCTCAGCACCACATAAGTATAAAATAAAGATATTGTGTCCACCTAAAGCTAAAAAATAATTTGGCCACCTGAAGCTGCTCCTCAGCTCACTGTAGCTCTGTTAATATTTTAGTCTTTTTTTCCTTCTTTGTTTCACAGTAGATAGTTTCTATTATTGTTGTTTAAATTCATTAATCTTTTCTTTTGCACTATCTAATCTGCTGTTAATCTGGTGTATTTTTCAAATTGCATTGTAGGTTTTTTGTTTTTTTTTAAGAGAGAGAGAATCTTTTTCGTAGATGGACACAACACAATGCCTTTATTTTTATGTGGTGCTGAGAATCGACCCTGGGTCGTGCCCGTTATAGGCGAGCACTCTACCGCTGAGCCACAATCCCAGCCCCATTATAGGGTTTTTGTTTTTGTTTTTTAAATATTTATTCAAATTTGTTATACATGACAGCAGAATACATTTCAATTCATAGTACATACAGAGCACAATTTTTCATGTCTCTGGTTGTACAAAGTAGAGTCACACCATTCAAGTGCATTATAGTTTTGATATCTAAAATTTTAAGGTTTAAAAAAGATATCTTCTGCCAGCCACAGTGTTGCATGCCCATAATTCTAGCAGCTCAGAGGCTGAGGCCAGAGGATTGTGAGTTCAAAGGGAGCCTCAGCAACTTAGCAAGGCCCTAAGCAACTCAGCAAGACCCTGTCTCTAAATAAAATATAAAAAAAGGGGGCTGGGGTTGTGGCTCAGTGGTACATTGCTTGCCTAGCACATGTGAGGCACTGGGTTCAATTCTCAGCACCACATAAAAATAAATAAAATAAAGTTATTGTGTCCATTAAAATTATATATATATGTGTGTGTGTGTGTGTATATATATATATATATATATATATATAAATAAAAGGGCTGGTGATGTAGTTCTGTGGTTAAACACTCCTGAGTTGAAACCTCAGTACAAAAAAAAAAAAAAGGTATCTTCTGTCTATTTGATGTTTGTTCTTCTATTTTCAACATACAGAATATAAATATCTGTTTACTAATTCTATCATCTATGTCATTTCTGAGTCAGTATTATTGAATCTCCTCCTTAGAGTATATATTTTCCTGCTTGTTTGAATGTCTACTAATGTTTTCTTGGATGGCAGGTAGATGTGAATTTTACATTTTTAGGTGATGGATATTTCATATTTCTACAAACATTCTTTAACTCTGTTCTGGGATATGGTTAACTTTCTGGGAACAGTCTTTCAGGGTCCTGCTTTTAAGGTTTAGTTTGTGGGACCAGAACAGAAATTGGTCTAGTGATAGTTTTCCTCACTAACAAGTCAAGACCTTTCTTAGTTTTCAAACTGCTGCTACTAGGAACAGAAATTATGCCTAGCTTATTGTGAACATCAAGTATTATTTCCTTACATCTTAGGCGAGTACTCTACCACTAAGCCACAATCCCAGCCCCTCTCATCTTTTTTTTTTTATACCTTTATTTATTTATTGTTTATGTGGTGCTGAAGATTGAACCCAGGGCCTTGCATGTGCTGGGCGAATGCTCTACCACTGAGCCACAACCCCAGCCCCCTTCCTTACATCTTTTTTGAGTGGTTCTTTCCCTGACCTTGGATATTCTCAGCCCCAAACAAGGTACAAACATTATTCAACTAAATACTCAAGGAAGATCCTCTACAGATCTCTGCAATTCTTTCTTTGTGAAGCTCTGTCCCCTCTGGTACTCTGCTGTGTAAATTCTAATCAGCTGGCCTCCCTGGACTCCCAGGTTCATTTCCTCAATGTAGGAAGAGCACAGGGCTCTGCCTGTTTCCCTCACCCAGTGCTATGAGTTGGGAACCTCTAGGAAGTAAGCTGGGGCAGTCATAAGATTCATTTCATTTGTTTTGCATCTCTCAGGGGATCACGGTCCATTCTTTGATAACCAATGTCTCAAGTTCTTAGCTGTTTCAGGAGAGAAGATAAAAGCAGTCCCTAGTACTTCACCTTGGAGAGAAGAAACAATCTTTAACTTTTTTTTTTTATATTTATTTTTTAGTTGTAGTTGGACACAATACCTTTATTTTGTTTACTTATTTTTATGTGGTGTTAAGGATCAAACCCAGGGCCTCGCACATGTTAGGCGAGTGCTCTACCACTGAGTCACAACCCCAGCCCACAATCTTTTTTTAATGTGTCTATTTAACTTAACTGCAGCTGCTTCATAAATAAGGAACTTTAAATGTTTTAATATCTCTGTACCCTTCCTCCCTCTTGTATTTCTTCTCATTGTCCAATATTTTATTCATTCTTTACTTTTAATCCTACCAATTCCCATTTCACAAAAACTATCAAAATGTATTTATATACATAGAATAACCTCAAAAAGATATTGTTAACAGTGGTTGCTTCTGGAAAGAAATAATGAAAACTAGGAGATAGGAAAGAAATATTTTTTTACTGTATATACCCTATGTCTTTTGAACTTTATACCACATGCACTTATTAGCCAAACATGATAAAAATAGTTAGCTTTTTAAAATATGCTTTTTAAACTTCCTGGCTCACTTATTTTTTCTACTCCTTTGTTTAGTTTCCTTGTTTTTGCATATCTAAAAACAACATTCTTTTGTCTATGTTCTTCAATTGTAATTGAACTTGGTATAGAATTTTTATGCTATAAATCTGTTACCATCTGTCTTCTATTCCTATGGTTGCTTATGTCAATCTGACTTTCTCTTCTATAAAGGTCATTATTTTCTTTTAAGTTTTTATTTAGCCACCATCTTCTATAATGATTTTTTAAAAGAATATTTGTTATTTGGCATTTGTGGAGGTTTTTCAATGTGAGGACTTTCATTATTTTTATCCATTATTTCTCTGACTATTTCTTGCCTTTATTCTCCTTCATCTTTTTTTCCTGTAATACTCAGAAGATATGGAGGATAGACCAAGAAGCCCAACTTAATTATCTTATTAATTTTATTTATACAGATCACTTCCTCACTCTACTGCATTCCATGATCTTCTTTTTACCAAATGCTTGGTAACTGCCTCTGCCTTGTCTTCTACTGAACACAGGACTTTATGTTTTGGATTCTTAATTCTTGCCCCTATATAGGTAACACTGAAGCAGATGCCATTTGTTGTAAGTCCCATTTTTGAATCTTTTTGTTTCCTATTCAGAGAGCATCAGTAAGCAGCAAATTAAAAGTCCAACAACAGGTAGTTATACAGAAACGTTTTGCTCTCATTTATTAGCTCAGAGAGTTGTTCTAGATACCCAGCTTCATATCTTCTAAGTGGAGTCACAATTCCCAGCCTCATTTTGGTTTTGAAGCCCAGTTCTCAATACTTGACTTGTGCCTTATGACTTCAGTTTTTGCTCATTATTGGTTTTCACACCAATCTGGAAATTTTCACATGATATTTGAGGGTAGCTTTGCACTAACATGATTTTTCTCCCAAATGTTCCTATCTGGAACGAATATGCTCATTCTTTTATTTTAATAAATTTGTGTATTTAATAAACCATTTGCAAACCAAATTTAGGCATTTTTTAAAAAATCATTTGCTTCAAAATTCTTCTAATGAGACGAAATAACTCAAGATTTTAAGTATAAATAACTTATTACTACTGTAGTCATAAAGCACTTGAGAGGTACCACACAAGGTTGAATATACATAAATATATAGTATCTAGTTGTTTACTTCATCTTAATCATTTTTACAAATAAGATGTCTTTATCACTTTCAATTAACCTCCAATAAAAAGACAAAATATGACAGGTCATCATACAGAATATACATTACACACCATATATATTATACATGCATATATATTATATACCTTCACTTTTTACATTTTAAACCATCACCCCTCTGTACCACATTCTACAATCATGCCTTCTCAACAAGTGCTTAGCAGTTGTCTTATATGTATCCAATAAACCTAAAAAATATATATAGAATCAACAATTAAATTTCAGACTAGCTTTTTCCAATAAAAGATACTCATGTGAAATTTTTGTTTAAAAAAAAACTTAATTTTTAGAAAGCAGCTTAACAAATACACTGGAAACAAAGGCATCATTAAAAAGGCCTCAGGAGAAATCTTATTAGGCTCATTACTTGGGAGGATGGAAAATACAGTGGTCTAGAATCTGATAATGTCACCAATCACAATCTGTGGCCTCAGTGTAAGTTTTCTGAGATCTAAGATTATTCACTTGTTGAAAAAATTTTTGAAAAGAGATCAAGTTAGAGCTGAGCATAGTGGCACATCCCTATATTTTCAGCAACTTGGGAGGCTGAGACAGGAAGATCACAAATTTAAGGAAACTTGGAGCCACTGATTTAGCAAGACCCTATCTCAAAATGAAAAATAAAAATAAAAAGGGCTGGGACTGGAGAGTAGCTCAGTGTTAGAGTGCCCCTGTGCTAAATCCCCAGTACCACAAAAAAAAAAAAAAAAAAGAGGGAGACAAAGCAAAAGAGTAGAGTGAGAGATATCAAACTAACATAGTTCTAAAGTAATTTCTAACTGAACTGTCAAAATTCTATGTATCTCATTTAATTTTGATATGCTTAAATTTGGTAATTCACTTAGAAACATAATGCATAGCCCATTCCATCATTCAAAATTCTGAAAAAGAAAGCTCTTCAAATTTTCCATAAGGCACACAATTAATGCATACCTGTCTAGGTTAGAGGCACCAGAAGAGTACTCCTTAGACCCAACTCTGCTACCATAAAATGATGATGACTGCAAAGGCAAAAGCCCTATAAAACAAACAAACAAAGGAAAAATTTAACATTTAAATCAACCATTCAAATTCATTTAATAATAAATTATACACTGGGCTTGTTTACATTAAACTGTTTTTTCCCTTTGTTTTCATCAAATTAAAACACGTATATTTAGAGATTAAGTACTATGGGAAAAGAATAGTAAAGCAAGGTTCCCTTGCCCAAAAGCTCTATAAACTTTTGATTCTAGTTTCTAACCATTTTTCGAAACTTAGTTTTTCTTCTTCTATACAGTGCTAGAAGTCTGTGCTTTCTACTATTTCTTTTTTAAAATTTTATTCTAATTTGTTATGACAGCAGAATGCATTTCAATTCATATTACACATATAGCACAATTTTTCATATCTCTGGTTGTACACAACATAGAGTCACACCACTTGTGTCTTCATGCATGTACTTAGAGTAATGACATCCATCTCATTCCACTGCCTTTCTACTATTTCTTTATGTATTCATTTTAAACAGTATCAGTTGACTCTTCATTATAGAAAATTAGAAGATTTTCATTCACATGACCACAAACTGAGGTCCACAAAGATGTGTACTGAGGATACTTTTTGTCTCCTCTCTCCAACCAATTATTAGTTGTGTTAACTTTAGTTCTTTTACTGATTAACCCTGTGACTCTACTGCACGTATATGTATGTATGTGTGTGTGTGTGTGTGTGTATATATATATATATATTTGTAGTTGTAGACGGACAGCATGCCCTTATTTTATTTGTTTATTTTTATGTGGTGCTGAGGATGGAAACCAGTGCCCTACACGTTTTAGGCAAGCACTCTGCCACTGAGCCCCAGCCATACACTTCTATATTTTCCTTAACTTCAACATTATTAAAGTTAAGGAAAATATATTTTTCTGCTTTCTAACTATTGGCTGATTATAAAAGCTGAAAACCAACAAGTTGAGTTTATATCATTTAAGTATTAAATATTTCAGAGTTAAGACTCATATTAGATATTTCTTTCTGTAGGAATCAATATAACAATCCCAAACCACTAATAGGAGAACACTTCAGAGACCTAAGTAAATTCTTAATTATCAATTTATCAAAACTACAACATATTTTAGCTTGCTTCAATTTAAGCTGACATGATATTCCAATCACTACCAGATATCTGAGTCTCTAAGAATTTCCTATAATCAGACACCTAGGTCAATGTGGGAAACATCTGACAAAAACTCATAAACATCCTTTCCGTTTTTATAAAAACATTATAAGGCAATTTTAAACAACGGCTTTAGACAACACTTTCAATATCTTCTAAATAAGATTATCTTATAAGTAGCAACATTGATTAATTTTTATTTCAACCAATTTAACTTCTCTGATTCAATCTATGGTCCTAGTAGCTGTGACAACAAAAGAGCTTAATTTTAGACAGTCAAAAAGAGAAAGAAGGTAAAGCTTGGATCCTATATATATATATATATATATATATAGAGAGAGAGAGAGAGAGAGAGAGAGAGAGAATACAAGTTTCCTTATATTTCTAACACTATAAAAATATCTTAGCAGGTTTTGAATGTGGCTCAGTGGTAGAACACTTGCTTAGTATGTGTGAGGCCCTGGGTTCAATCCCCAGCACTGCAAAAAATAAAGAAATAAAATTAAAAATACACACACACACACAAACACATTCTTTGGCTAAATACTGGATATGAATTAGAGCCGAATAACTACTTAATGAATTTTGCATTATTCCTGAATAATGTAGACATATGTCCCAGTTTAAGTATTTATTTCTAATCTAATACAGTATCAAATAAATCTTATATAAAAGACCTAAACTTACCTGATGTCCGATTTTCTTCTGTCTGTTTCAAACTCAGTTGCTTTTCTCTACTACTGATTAAATACTTTCTGGAGGGATCTGTCATAGCCTTGTTGTTCCTATAGTTAATAATTTTAAATCAATGTAATATAAATATATAAAGATATTAATAATTTTAACAGCTGTCATTAAAAAATTTACATTTCAAGTGCCAAAGTCATTGATATGCCTAAAAGTTAGGCAATGAGGTTGTTAAATCTTCAAGTGCTCAGTGAATTAGCTAAGAATTATGAAAATAACCTTTTATTACCAAGAGCTAGCTTAATGTATAAAAAGTTAAACAAAAACCAAAATGTTTGCCAGGTGTGGTAGCACACATGCCTGTAATCCCAGTGGCTTGGGAGGCTGAGGCAAAAGGATCACAAGTTCAAAGCCAGCCTCAGCAAAAGTAAGGCACTAAGCAACTCAGTGAGACCCTATCTCTAAATAAAATTCAAAACAGGGCTGGGGATGTGGCTCAGTGGCTGAGTGCCCCTGAATTCAATTCTTGGTACCACTCCCCCCCCACAAAAAAACCCCCAAATGTTCTTTCATTGTGTATGATCTATAATACTATTTACTAAATGTCATTATCAGTTCAACTTATAATAATCAAAGTATTTTAAGTTAATAAATATAAAGTTAAACCTTCTCAAACAAGCCCATTTCCCCCTCCATTATTCCCAGATACCTGAACTCATAAGTAGACAGTGTCCATTCAAATGAAAAGTTCATGCTTTGGATAAAAGTGCTAACTTAGGGAAATCATCATGAATTAAGTCAATGGCTAACAATGTTAAGTGTTCCACTCAAAACCCCTCTGGCCCTATTTTTATGATATCTCTTCTACACCCTCATATCATCCTAGATCAATGTTTCAGAGCCAGTAACTAGGCTTGCCCTCAAGGTATGAGATACTTTCTCTAGGACCAGGATGAAGTCTAACCTCTGTGTGATTTTGGTCCAAGACCACACCCATGCTTCATTTCTTACCCTTCACTACCTTGGTTTTCTTGCTCCCTTCCTGTATTCCCCTGTGAATATTTCCTTAATAACTCACTGGTATACTAACCTCCATTTCAAAGTCTAATTTTGGGGAATCTGATCTACAACAGTTGGTACAATTAATGGGCCTAGGAAGCATACTTTAAGGATAAGGCTCTGGAATTGGGGCACTTATTTGACAATGGCAACAGAAATTCCACTGTTGGTAGTAATACTTATGGTATCCAATAGTATTATAATTCCTAAGAATTTCATTTGTGCTCCATCGGGACAGGATAAATAAAAGTGGACACGGCTAATGCAATCTCCACAACATTTAAAAATTTGGCAGAATGATTGTAAAACAGACTGTACTGGGGTAACAGAAATGTTCTAAAACCAGATTACAGTGATAGAATATCAGTGAATAAATTTACTAAAAATCATTGAATTGTATATGTAAAACAGGTGAATTTTAAGATGTGTAAACTGCACCTCGATAAAGTTGTTTTATTCCCCTCTGTATCCATGCCTCTCATTCAGAAGTACAGTCTAATCTTTCATCCTTTAATGGGGTTAGCTTGATTTCCTTTCCACAAAGAATGTGATAGAGGTAACAATGTGTGAGTTCAGATCCTAAGTATAAAGGTGTCTTGTAAATTTCTCCTCTCCTGAAACCCCATCACTGTTATATGAGTAACTCCGCATGCCAGCTTGCTAGATGGCAAAAGATACATGGCCCAATCACCAAAACCAATAGCCAGCCAACAGCCAACCATATGAAGTTTGATTGCACCAGTCAAACCCTAACCAGTCCACCTAATGACTATAGATGCATGGGAAAGTCAGAAAATCCAAGCAATAGAGGCCAAGCCATGCCCAAGTAAGCAGAACTAAGGTGAACATAAATTAATAAGCAATAATAGTTACTATTTTAAGCTACTAAATTACGAAGTGGTTTATTATATAGTAGTAGAGAACTGTTACAAGTGATATGGAGTAAATAATAACCATAAAGACTATGGAACTGGTTGGTTGTTACTAGGAGTATTGATATGCTCAAGAGAGAAGATTACAGGCTCTGTGGAGCCAAATACCAACTTCAGGACAAAGACATTGTGCAGAGTCACTTATCTACAGAAGATGCAGCCTGGAACCTTAATTCTAGAGCAAAACTATGCTGTCTGCAGCAGAAAGTTAACACATCATCAATAAAATATGGCATAATTTTTTTTTGTGTGTGTGTGTGGGGGTGTTGAATGGTATGCTGAGAACAGAACCCGGGAAGGTTCTACCACTGAGCTATGTACCTAGCTCCTTTAAAATTTTATTTTGAGATAGAGTGTTGCTAAGTTGCCCAGGCTAGTCTTGAATTTGATCCTCCTGCCTCAGCTACCCGAGTCACTGGGATTACAGGTGTGCACCACTGTGCTCAGTGTGGCATACTACTCTTGGCAAATTACTATGCCCTGGAAGAGTCTAAGCATTTGCCTATTGGTCATCAAAGGACTATGTACCCAGAGGTAACTCTCATGATCTGGGTGCTACCATATCCATGAAGTCATAAGATCAGAGAAGCACAGCATTGATCCATCAAAAAAAGGAAGCAGGTCTATTTGGATTAAGCCCAAGTAATCAGGAACTGAAAACAAGAACCGGCCTAGGACATTCCCAAGATCAGCTGAAAGGAAAGAAATAAATATGGATGGATCATCTCAGGACACTGTTCCAAAATGAAAATGAATTATAGCCCCATTAAATTACTTCTCTGAAAGACAATGATAAGGGTTAATCCTTTACTGGGCAGAGTTTTCAGAAATGCATCTCCTTATCCACTTCATGTGAGAAAAAAGTGGGACATGGACTCCTGGGTGGTGGCAAGGAGTTTAGATAGATGGTCAAAGGCAAGGAAGATCCAGAAATTATTTTTGGAAGTATATGGACAGGTTTATGAAAGTATGTACAAAGGTAAAGATCTGTTTTACCAGAGAACTCCACTAAAGAGAAAGTATCAATCAGCAGGCTAACTTATTAAGTGAAGTCAGCTAATCTCTGACCTAACTCATTCCAATACTTCCATAAAGGGCCCATGAATAAAACAGCCATGATGGCCCAGATAAAAGCTACAGAATAGGTTTCCCTTCACAAGGAGTCTACTCTGCAGGAAAAAAGATAAGACAAGGGCAGATGACCACAGAATCAACTCATCTTATCACATCTGTTATTGTCCCAAAGCTGCTAGCCTGGTAGGCATTGCAATTTTTTTCTATAATTTCTATAATTTTTTTCTCTAAGTATTCATATATATGCATATACATGTATAAATGTAAATACATACATAATTTGAAATCTAAGTCAAATCTGAGACAGTTTTAGGTGGCATACTATAATAGCTTTTAAAAGTGCAGCTTAGAGATGATCTTATTAGGAATGTGATGCCCTTCAAGATAAATATAGATTGAGTTGAATATCCTTTATCCAAAATGCTTGGGACCAGAACTGTTTAATGTTTTGAAATACTTGCATACATATAATAGCTTGGGGATAGGACCCAAATTTAAACACAAAATTATTTTGTTTCATATATAACTCATACACATTACCCTAAAGGTAATTTTATAAATTATTTTTAGTGCAACTTGTGTTTAAAGTACTGTGAGGAGGTCAGATGTGGTTTTTCCATTTGAGGTGTCATGTTAGACTCAAAGAGTTTCAGATTTTGGAATTTTGGACTAGGGATGTTCAATCTACACCTTAAATCAACAAATCATTACATTTATAGAGAATACCTAGATCTCTGAACCAAGGGGTAGAAGTAGGAGTAGTCCCACTCACCATTATTTTCAAAATTCACTTGGTGAATTTGTTTCCTAGTCCCCCACCCCCTGATTTAAATTGCTATAGACTCTGACTTTCAGATATTTTACCAGGAGGCACAGTAAGAAAATAATTAAAACTAAAGTTACCTAGTCATTTTGGGCCCCTCATCCTGGCAGAGCAACAGACAAGGAAAGAGGTTACCACCCTAGTAGTGAGGAACCCAGCCTAATTCCATCTTAATATTGGGAGCCATCTCGTCACAAAGTCATGAAAAGTTAATTTCTGTTTTACTACAAATTACTGAAATTTCTAAACTTGTTTGGAATTCCTGCCCGTGCCTTGAACTCACCCATGCCTGGCTTTCCCTGACCAGATAACAACTCTCTCTAAAACCTTATGGTGCCTCATAAATCCTCGCTCCCCCTGACAAGATAACAACTCTCTCTGAAACCTCATAAATTCTGATGTTGGATCTAAATTTACTCCCTACCTTGAAATACCACATAGATCATTAACCTACTATCTGCCTTTGTATTATTATGCTCATCAAAATCCTGTTAGCTGTGAGTTCTCAAGATACTCCCCTTTGCAACTTTCTGTGCTATAAAACCTTGTTCCTAGAGAGGTGGGGGGCTGGTCTCTAGCCCACGTTAGGAGAGACAGCCGCTGATCAACTCTCTTTGTGTACACAAATACAAGATTGCTTTAATTTGATTTAAAATTGGACTCGGTGGTCTTTTCTCTGCGTTGGGGTTCAACAGTAGAGGTAAATGACTGATGATTAAGAGGAAAGGTTGCTGCTACATAATAAGGACAGAAAGTAATCTGTTCGGAATAAAGGGAATTCACTAGGGTACCACTTGGTGCTCTCATGCTTGCTGGTAGTATGGTTCCCACATAATTGCAATGGGCAATTACATCAACAATGGCCTGAAAAGCACATGGTGACCAGAGGCTCAGATCAGGTGACTGTAGTTTCAGGTTCCCGTTCTATTACCTATCCAGACTTTCATATCTATTACAGCATCAGAACCAATTATTATTAGAAGTTTCTTTGACTTTTTTCTAGCTCCTTTCTTGTGACCCCATGATCTGAAATATGAGTTAAACAGTAACTGATTTTTATTAAAGTATTGAGATATTAAGTACTGACTATGTACTAAGTATTCTCATCTTGAAGGAGAAAAAAAAAATCCTCATGTGTTAAGAAAGAGGACTATGAGTTGGTGACATCCCTGCTGCAGATCTATTCCCTTTTGTCCAACCCAGAAAACATCCCTGAAAGATGAACGCTCCTTGCCTACAACCTATGAAGGGCTCACAATCTTTTAACCCCAGGCTAACTACTTATGCAAGTAAGGTAAAATAATTATAATAATAATAGAAGGAAGGAAAGATAGGTTCAGACTCAAATAGCAAGAAACATTATTTGGAGTTCTTTGGCTATAGTCTTCCTGTGAGTATTCCAAATTTTAGGCAGGAAAGAACAAGTACAATGAAACAAAGGCAACAGCAATGGATGAATTCCCTCCATTGAACCTACAACCCATTGTCACCAAAACACTTTAAATCCTGCTCTTCAATCTATAGAATGTCCCACAAACTGAACATTCCTCTAATCTTATCCTAGTCGTTATAAGAAATACTCATCTGGGCCAGGAGTGGTGGCGCAGGCTTTTAATCCCAGTGGCTCAGGAGGCTGAGGCAGGAGGATCATGAGTTCAAAGCCAGCGCCAGCCTCAGCAACTTAGGAAGGCCCTAAGCAACTGAGCAAGAATCTGTCTCTAAATAAAATACAAAAAATGGCTGGGGATGTGCCTCAGTGGATAAGTGCCCTGAGTTCAATCCACATACCAAAAAAAAAAAAAAAAAAAAAAAAAACCCTCATCTAGTATTAAAATGGTTCTTAAAGCAACTTACGATGATGAATCATTTTCCTTAGGGTAATCTTCATTCAGCTCTGATCCAGATAACATTCTTTTCCTCTTTTCAGTGCTATAGAGAACAAAGAATAAAAGATTATTTTTAAAAGGTAATTATCTCATACCATTAAAAATTATACACCAATATATTTAAGGACAGAAAACATGACTACTAATTCTCTATACCATATTTAAATGAATATACTGTATATCTGCATGCTTAATACATACATTTCACTGACATAAACTACATAAGACAAATACCTATAATTATCTACAAAAATGTAGTGTATACTTTAAAAATTTTTTTCTCAAATTTCTAAAAGGCCTAAAAGATATTTATAAGCAGATAATCAAATGATTAAGTAACGAAAATTTTTCCTACCGGTTTTCTAATAACCCTGATCTAAGAGGTGTTGATGTTGATGTCAAAGAAGGAATTGTCCGGGTTATTCCATTTCCTGCTACTGTCTTAATGGATCCTCTACCAGGAGTACCAAGAACTTTTCGAAATGGAACATCATCTTTATTTTCCAAACTTCCTCTTTTTGAAGAGGCCTGTATGAATGAAGTTTGAGCCAGTTAATCTTCAAATTAATTGCAATAAGACCTATGATTCTTGATGGGAGCTTCAAAAAAATATAACTGCAGACCTATCTTAGTAGAGTTTAGCCTAATTGGTCTGGGATGAAACTCATTCATCAATATATAAATTATATATATTCATCAATATATATAAATATGTATGTATACATACACACACACACACACACACACACTTCACTACTGGGGATCAAACCTAGGCCCCTGCACCTGCTAGGAAAGTGCTCTACCATTTAGCTATACCTCCAATCCCTAAGACATATACATTTTTAAAAGCATTCCAGGTGATTCTAATGCATATTCATGTGTGAGAAACTGAGCTTGATACCTGTTTTCCTATAATATTCTTGTAAACTTAAAAATTCCACAGCATACCTGAAGGAGGCAAGATCCACACTCTGAAGTATTAATTAAAAAAAAAAAGATACACAAAGACATAGTTCTAGTGGTCAGCATGAATATTAATCTTTGGATAAAAATATACAATCATGATTATGATAAGTAAAGATGGAGTGACAGGAGCTAGAAGTGTAGTTCAGTGGTAGAGCCCAAGTTTAGCATCATGAGGCCTTGGATTTGGTCCCTAGCACCACTATTAAAAAAAAAAAAGCAACAATGACATTTGATTACCACAACTTGAACATCAAATTCTGTGTGCTAACACACTGTCATGTGCCTCTTAAGGAGGTTTGAGTTTGGAGGAATAAAACATATATAATGATGAGAAGGAAGATGAGAAAGAGTCCACTGACAGAAGATGAATCAAAGAATCTACCTTGTAGACAAAGCAAGAACATTCAGAGAGAGTACAGTAATGTAAACACATTAGCTGGGAAATAATGCTTTAGGTGAACATTCTGCCACTTAAGTTATGTATTTCTCTATGGAAGACATGTCCAATGATAATCTTCTTATATAATTACAATCTTAAGATAGAAAATAAACCTCTAAGGTCACCTGGATAAATGGGCTAAAAAGTTAAAATTTATTTTCAGAGGGTGATAAATTTTCAAAGTTCAGGGCTGAGGATATAGCTCCTTTGCTTAGCATGCACCAGGTCCTGGATTTGATCCCCCAGCACAAAAGGAAAAAAAAAAATTCAAAAAGTAATACTAAAAGCCACAGACTGAGAAGTCTCGATATCACCTCATCCCCACATCCCCAGTTCTTCCACTTGCTACTCTCACACCCTTATATTCTTCCCTAGTTTCTCCAGGCAAACAGAATCAATACTTCATTTTTCTCTCATATGGTAGCATAAATATGTATACCCCTGCATCTCTTTGAAAATATCCACCACCATCTCAAATAAATATTTTACATCAAATTCTATTATACATACATAAAAATAAAACCAAAATAAACTTTTCAGAAATCAATATTTATTTTTTTTTATGCAGTGCTGAGGATTGAACCCAGTGCCTCACACATACTAGGCAAGTGCTCTACCACTGAGGCACAACCCCAGCCCCCAATATTTATTCTTAACATAAATAAATCTTCTATTCAACTTCCTTTGTAATTACAACCCACAAAATTGATTTTAAAATCCCACTAATAGGGGCTGGAGTTATGGTTCAGTAGTAGAGTGCTTGCCTAGAACATGTGAAGCACTGGGTTCAATTCTCAGTACCACATAAAAATAAAGTTCTTGTGTCCATCTACAACTAAAAAAAAGTTTTAAAAAATCCCTCTAATGGAATTTTTGTGGAAGTATAAATATATCTGCTATGTACATTAATACTTAAACACATTTAAGAAATATTACAAAAATTTAAATCCCTACTTAAAAGTCTATGAATCTGGGGTTGGGGTTGTGCCTCAGTGGTAGAGCGCCTAGCATGTGTGAGGCCCTGGGTTCGATTCTCAGCACCACAAAGAAATAAATAAAAATAAAGGTTCATTGACAACTAAAAAAATTTTTTTAATGTAAGAATCTAAAAATAATTATGCTCAGTGGGGAAAAATACAGACTCTCCCCACAAAAGTCCTCCCAAAATACAAACTGATTCCACCTACAGAAAACTACAGCAAATACAACCTTATCTATAGTGATAGAAAGCAAAACAGTGGTTGTTTCCATACAGGGACCAGAGAGAGGGGGAGGAAGGAGGATTACAAAGAGGGATGAAGAAACTTACTGGGATTATGGTTCTGTTCATTGCATTAATTATGGCAATGATTTTAAGGTTTAATACCTAAGTCAAAACATACCAAATTATACTTTAAATATGTACAATTTGCTACATGACAATTATACCTCAATAAAAAGTCCCCCAAAAATCTCATCTATGACAATCCTAACAAAACTTTTTTCTTATTTATTGCTTAGTCCAGAAGAGGACTAGTAATCACTTTTCTGCCAAGCCAATAGGACCCTAAATTAACTTATAAAAGAGGTTTAAAGTTTCTGACTTTAGGGCTGGGGGTGTGGCTCAAGCGGTAGCGCGCTCGCTTGACATGCGCAAGGCGCTGGGTTCGATCCTCAGCACCACATACAAATAAAATAAAGATGTTGTGTCCACCGAAAACTAAAAAATAAATAAGTTAAAAAAAAAAAAAAAAGTTTCTGACTTTATGCCTGGCTTACCTTTGCAACACAAAAGAGACATAAGTACTGCCAAGTTGCATTAGTATGATTTACTGGTACACAGTACATCTCATTGCTGGCAGAATAACATGTATAAAAGAAAAACTATTTAAAAAGTAAACAGAAGTTCTCAACAAAACAGAATTATTTCATACAGTATACAGGCAAAGTCCCTAATGTAGAACAGACCCAAAGTGCATCACAGAAATAGTAGCAAACATTTCTACGGTTGTTAGTATGCGGTATAATATACAATTAATTAAATAATTTTACATAAATTATATCCCAGCAATCCTTGAAATATCACTGTTGTTGCAATTTTACAAGTAGATGCTGAAGCTCAGGATACTTAAACTTCCAATGACCCCTAACTAATAAGTGACACATCAAGTCTTGATCTCATACCTAATTCCAAAGCCATGCTTTTTATTTATTTATTTTTAAGTTGTAGATGGACACAATACTGAGCTACAACCCCAGCCCCCAAAAACTATGCTTTTAAAACCTATACTTCAACCTTAGATTGTCACAAAACTAATTGGAAGAAATCAAGGTGGCCTAAATGATGAATTTCAGCTCTGTGGAAAATATCCTGTGATAATGCCAGAAATGTTAGCCATTATAATCTAAATTCCACTTCTTTCAACCTCTTAGTATATCTGTACATAACTATCATCTTTTTAAATAAGCTAGAAAGATACAAATGAACATACCTGATTGTCTGAATAAGAAAGCTGCCTGTTGGTTTCTTTCTGTGAGGTCCTGCTTCCCAGAATGGCTCCAAAACTACCAGAACCCTGAGAAGGTTTCATGGCTGGTGAACAAAATCCAAAATACTTAGTTTAATAAAAAGATTTAGCATTATTATTATTACATAATATTGAAGAAATGGAAGAAACAGAGTGTAAAAGATAGAACAACTAATTCTTTCTGATAAAAATATACACCTGAGATATAAAGTACTTAAAATTGTGTGCTAAATCAAGCACAATGGTACATACCTATAATCCCAGCTACTTGGGAAGCTTAGGCAGAAGGAGAGCAGCCTAAGCAACTTAGTAAGACTCTGTTTCAAAATTATAATTTAAAAAAAAAAATTTTTTTTTTGAAGGGCTGGGGATGTAGCTCAGTAGTAGAGCATCCCTGGACTCCTGGGTTTAATTGCCAGTACTGCCCATGCCCCCCAAAAAGAACAAAACTCCCCAGTAAAGAAACAGATAACACAAAAATGTGAGATCATGTAATAGGAGATAAATTTTACAAACCAAAAAGAAAATACTAGCCATGTGCAGTGGCACATGCCTGTAAGCCCAGGTACTCAAGAGGCTGAGAAATGAAGATGTCAAGTTTGAGCCTGGACAATTTTTTTTTTTTTTTTTGGTATCAGAGATTGAACACAAGGATGCTTAACTACTGAGTCACATTCACAGCCCTTATTTTATTTAGAGACAAGGTCCCACTGAGTTGCTTAGCACCTTGCTTTTGATGAAGATGGTTGTGAATTCTCAATCCTCCTGCCTCAGCCTCCCGAGTTGCTGAGATTACAGGAAAAAAAAAAAAGAAAATGCTAGAAATTCTCCTATGATACTGGTAATTAACAGTCTGAAAGAGTTAAAGGTCACTGTTTATTTAGAGCATGAACACTGACTCCAGATGCCAAGGAAACATGTCAGAAATAATGACACACCTCCAAAAACACACTCTAAGGCACTGTCTACAAGTTTATTAATTAAAATGTATACATTAATTGAAACTTCACATGGAATCCCACAAAGATGTACAAAATAGTTTATATTTTTTATTTAAAAGTTTGCAAATTTCCCATTGATGATTATTTTGGAAGGTTTATTCAAAATTGCAAACAATATTTAACATCCTTCCACATTTCCTCTTCTACTAATAGAATAATTTCTGAAACATTTATTTTTTAGTTGTAGGTAGACACAAAACCTTTATTTTATTTTTATGTGGTACTGAGGCTTAAACCCAGTGCCTCCCATATGCTAGGTGAGTATGCTACCTCTGAGCCACAACCTCAGCCCAATAGAATAATTTTAGTAGAAGAAACTCCTTAGAATAACAGTTGCTGGGTTAATGGGTCATTTTAAACCAAACTGACATTAGTACACAGTCTTCCAAAAAATATATCTAAGTTCCTATCAAATACATGAACATCTCCATGCTTCCCCTCACACCAATGTCATTGTGACAGTAAGAATTTGATTCAATTACTGAAGTTGAAAATTATTTTACAATTAACGGCCATCTATTTTTCTTCCTGAATATTTTGTAGTTTTTGTCCATTTCTCTATTGAGTTGTCTTTTTTCTTACTAATTTGAAAAATAGGTTTTTGTATATTAATGGTATTAATATATTATTCTGGCTAATAATTTTCTTCCTTTGTCTTTTTCTTCCCCTTGATACAGACATTGTCTAAGTTTTTTTTTTTCATTGTCTAAGTTTTTATACAGTCCAGAGTTTTTTGTTTTTGTGTGTATTCATGTGATGCAGGGGATCCAACCCAGGGCCTCAGACATGCTAGCCAAGCATTCTACCATTAAGCTACATCCCCAGCCCAATTCATTTTTATGTAGTACTCAGGAAGGTCTTTTCCAACCAGAGAGTATATTGTAATCCAGTCCCCACACACCTTTTTTATTCCAGTATATGGTCTCCTTAAATTGCTGGGGCTAGCCTTGATTGTGTATATGTGTTAGGGATGAAACTGGGGACTGATTCCAGGGGTACTCTACCACTAAGTTACATCTCTATACCTTTTTGTGTCAAGAGTCTTGGTAAATTGCCAAGGCTGACCTCGAACTTGAGATCCTCCTGCCTCAGTCTTCCAGACTGCTGGGATTACAGGCTGTATCACCATGCCTAGCTAACTCCACCTTTTAATAATACTTAATCATTTTAGCTTTTCACATTCAAATTTTCAATCAATCTGAATCTATTTAGATGAAAGAAGTGAGATAAAAAATTTTGTTTTACCATCTTAAACGATTAGTTATCAGCTTTGTTTTATAAACAGAGTTCACCAACTGTTAGTATTTTTTCTCATTGATTTGAATGCTACACTTAATATTAAATGCTTTATATTTCTCAAAGTATTTTTATATTCATTGTCTTATTCTAGTCCCTGCAAAGTATATAAAATCCCCTTTGGAAAGCTAAGGTAACTAAATCTAAAAGATTAAAATGAGTTGTACAAGATCAAAGAACGAGTATCAAGCCTACAGCCAGCAATTTTAATAATAGGAATGACTTGCTTCACACAGTCATGTTTTACATAAATGAGCCCTCATTCTTTAAAATGCCCAGATACTAAGATAACACAACTTTCATTTTAGAGACTGAAACTAAGTTAAGTGACCTGTCTAAAACCACAAATGAAATAACAATCAGAGGTAGGACTGAACCCAAAATTGTTTTAGGTCTGAAGCAGAGTCTTCTATTATGTTATTTAAGCTTGGGTACCTGTCTACTATGCTTTCCACTGCAATGCATTTAAAGACATGCTTTTCTTACATCAATTTTATGACAGCAATTCAGTCAATATCATTGATATGATGGAATAAAAGAAAAACAAAAATGCAGACAAAATTTCTGACATAGTTGAAGAATTTTATTATTTATTTATTTAGTACCTAGGATTAAACCCAGGGATGTCTTTTTTACTTTTTGAGACAGGATCTCACCAACTTGCTTAATACCTTGCCAAGTTGCTGAGGCTGGCTTTGAACTTTGGACTCTATGCCTCAGCCTCCTGAGATGCTGGGATTACAGGCATATGCCACTGCACCTGGCCTAAGAATTTTAAATAGTACTGTCCTCAATTTCTTGATTCTAAAATTCAACTGTTTAGGGGCTGGGGGGATACACAGAGAACTTGCCTAGCTTATATGAGGCCTGAGTTTGATCCCCAGCACCAAAAATAAATAAAATCCAACTGCTTAGTAAGTTCACTTAGCTTAGATTTGGTGGCATGAATGAGTAAGTACTAAATGGCAAACAATCACAATGTTTTTATTTTATAAAAATGCTGTGCCAGCACTAGGGCTGTAGCTAAGTGGTAAACACTTACCTAGCATGTGTGAGGCACTGGGTTTGATTCTCAGTACCCTATATAAAAAATAAATAAATAAAATAAAGGTCCACTGACAACTTAAAAAAAAAAAATCAGTGTACCCAAATAGCATTATCAACTAAATATAAAAAGTAATGCTGTTACATTTTAATTTTCTAATGCTTATGAGTTTTGTTGGGATTTTTTGGTGACAGGAATTCAACCTAGTACCTTGTACCTGCTAAATATGTGCTCAACTAAGCTACACTCACAACCCTTCTAATGTTTTTAATGTTACACTTAAATTGAGAAATACTCTAGTAAAATTTTGACAACTATAAAATATTAGAAAAGTATTCATGATAGAGCCTGAAACAAAGATGCCTATAAATACATTTAGGACCTGAGTATATTATGTGATTTTCTATAGAACTCAGTTCTCACAGGAAGAATAAAACTTAGGAATAAGATTCACACAGATTCAGATAGGCAAGTCTATTAAGATTAATGCAATAAGGTAACTTTTCCAATTATAATTTAAATCCTCCTCCTTTCCTAGTTACATATTTTTATAGAATCTGTAGGGCTTTTTACATATAAGATGAAATCATCTGTAAACAGAGATAATTTTATTTCTTCCTTTCCAATTTGGAATCTTTTTATTAAGTAATTGCTCTGAGACTTCCAATGCTATACTGATTAGAAGTGGCAAGAGCAGGCATCCTTGCCTTGTTTTTCTTTTTTTGAAGTACTGGGATTAAATTCAGGGGTGCTCTACCACCATGCTATTTCTCCAACCCTTTTTCTTTCTTTTTTTTTTTTTTTTTTTGATGCTGGGGATCGAACTGAGGGCCTTGTGCATGCAAGGCAAACACTTTTATCAACTGAGCTGCATCCCCAGCCCCTCTTTTTTCTTTTTGAGACAACGTCTTGATAAAGAAGTTGTCCACTCTGGCCTCAAACTTGCAATCCTCCTGCCTCAGCCTCCTCAGTAGCTGAGATTATAGGTGTGCAACATCACACCCAGGCTTTGTCTTTTTTTTTTTTTTTTTTTTTTTTTTTTTAATAATATTTATTTATTTATTTTAGTTTTCGGCGGACACAACATCTTTGTTTGTATGTGGTGCTGAGGATCGAACCCAGGCCGCACGCATGCCAGGCGAGCGCGCTACCGCTTGAGCCACATCCCCAGCCCCCAGGCTTTGTCTTATTATTGATCTTAGGGGAAAAGCTTCCAGTTTTTTCACTGTTGAGTATGATAGCTACGGGTTTTTGACATATGGTCTTTATCATTGAAGTTGTTCCCTTCTAAGTCTGTTGAGTGTTTTTATCATGAATGGATGTTGAGTTTTGTCAAATTCTTTTTGTGTACCAATTGAGATGATCCAACAGTTTTTGTCCTTTATTCTGTTAATGTGATATATAAACTGACTTTCTTTTTTTTTTTTTTTTTTTAATACTTACCACAGGGCCAGACATAGAATAGGGGCACATGAACTGGCAGGTGTTATTATCACTGATTCTTTTTATTTATTTATTTTTTTTTTTTAGTATTTGGCAGACACAACATCTTTGTTTGTATGTGGTGCTGAGGATCGAACCCGGGCCGCACGCATGCCAGGCGAGCGTGCTACCACTTGAGCCACATCCCCAGCCCCTATAAACTGACTTTCATATCTGAACATTGCATCCTAGGAATAAATTCTTTATGGTCATGGTGTACAATTAATTCTTTTAATGTTCTTTTTTTAAAATATTTTTTTAGGCGATGGGGTGGTGACAACTAAAAAATATTTTTTTAGATGTTGATGAACCTTTATTTTATTCCTTTATTTATATGTGGTGCTGAGAATCGAACCCAGTGCCTCACACATACTAGGCAAGTGCTCTACCACTAAGCCACCACCCCAGCCCTTTTTTAATGTTCTACTGAATTCAATTTACCAATATTTTGTTGAATACTTTATCAGTATTCATCATGTCAGACCATGGGATGATTAATGCTTACCTGTATGAAGTCTGTTTTGATGAACTGCATCTAGAAACAACCTCATTTCCTCTGCTTCCTTACTTGGTACTTTGTCAATAGACAAGAAGCTATTATCTTGTAGAGTTAACATTAGGCGGCTTTGTTTTGCTCCACTGGGCCGAAGCACCACATTTTTAATGTTATGACTTAGCTGACAAAAACAAAAGAAGTATTATCTTAACATCAAAAATATAAATTATGTACAATAAGTTATATAATGAATACTAAACTCTATACTTTCCAAGCAGTGTTTCTCACTCTTCTCCATACTGATTCAATCTGTTTTTAACCAAAGAGTTCCCATTTCTTGATACATTTAAATCAAAGATTAAGCTTTTAGAAGATACAAACATACTTCTAAACTTGACTTTAGAAAATAATCCTAGCTCTCTTGCTCTTATGGCAGAAAATTCCTATTTTAAGATATAGTTCTAAAGTTACGTGAGCTAACCAGTGAGCTAACCATTTTTGGAGCCTAGACAGTTATACTATCACCAAGACAGAAAACCAAATTGGATTAGTCTCTTTTTCTTTTTTTCTTAGAACAAACACTTTGCAAGATTATTTGGTAAATCATTTAGGTAGTTGCAATGTAAAAGGATACATTAATCCAAGCCACCATCCTCACACTCTAAAAACACATCAAAAATAAACTTTCAACAATACTAATATTTTTAAAAAACAGTTTAAAGCAATACTTTCATTTTTCTTGAATGAAACTTTGACAACACTAAATTAATAAATCTTAAAGTTTCTTTATTACCTAAATTATCCCTGCCAGCCTTATCCTCTAATATTCTTCCTTAGCAGAATATACAAAGGTTTCTTTTTTTTTTTTAGAGAGAGAATATTTTTTAATATTTATTGGTTTTTAGTTTTCAGCGGACACAACATCTTTATTTGTATGTGGTGCTGAGGATCGAACCCAGTGCCGCATGCATGCCAGGCAAGTGCACTACCACTTGAGCCACATCCCCAGCCTACACAAAGGTTTCTAAAGCTGCCTTTTGCTGAAGACATACCCTTTAAACAGTATAAAAAAGAAATAACATTCATTAATTTTAATTAGGGAGAAATATTCTTTGTCACTTTTTAGATAAAAATGAAAAACTATTTTACCGATTTTCTCTAGTAAAACATAAAAATAGGTAACATAAAGACATTACATCAGTCTATTTACCATTTTTTTAAAAAATCTTTAAAATTTTTTTTAAAAATGTAAGTAGGCAAGTTTGCTCATTAACAAGAGAATAATTCTGAAACTGGTCACTTCAACAACTGAAAATCCCATGTAGCCCCCACAATTGCAGCCCTAACTCCTTTTTTGTGGTGCTGGGGATTGAACCCAGGGCCTTGTGCATACAAGACAAATACTCTACCAACTGAGCTAAATCCCTCATTTTTTTGGTACTCAGGGGCACTCAACACTGAGCCAGGGTCTCACTGAGTTGCTTAGCACCTCACCATTGCTGAGGCTGGCTTTGAACTCACAATCCTCCTGCTTCAGCCTCCCAAGCCTCTGGGATTATAGGTGTGCGCTACTGCAACCAGCTAAGAGTTCCCCACTCTTTATCCCAAGTCCAGACCTCTCCGTTAGAACTCCAGGCTTGTTTACCTTCTGAATGCCTGAAATCTCAAATAATTCATCTCTCTCAATCTTCAAACCACAACTTTTTCTTTTTACCCCTCACAGAATGCACAAAAGGGACTGCCATTCTCTCAGATAGGGAATCTCCCCAGACTCTTTCTCTCTCACCTCCTAAATCTAATGACCTGAGTCTTTTGACAATCCTTTCTTCTTCCTGCTTCTTTCACTACCTTTTCCTTTCTTTAGGACTTTTCATTCTTAACCTCCCATGAAATCTCCTACATGTCCTTAATTTCTCAATATCTTGTCTATCCCCAAAGGACATTAATTTGAGATGCTAGGCTCCTTAGAACTTGAGATACCTTGGGATAAAGAAGAATCAGCAAAATCTGCCACTCACTCCCCACTGCCCACTTATTTTAAATTAATTTCCTATTTCCCTGAATGTTGACTCATATTTGTGTTTGTCCATGTAGAGAAATTACTTCTGCCTTACCTCTACTACGTTTAGAAAACTCCTATTTATCCTCTAAATTCCCAGAGTACAAACCACTCACTTCTTTTGTTATCTCAGTATCACTGAAATACTTTTACAGCTGAAAATGCATTTGGTTATGTTTAACTGAGGGGAATGGTGTTTCATTCAGTTCTGTATTCTTAGCCCTTACCACAGATTCCACAACTGTAACCTATAGATGGTTAGAAAATGACTGTTGAATGTAAACTGACCCAGAACTGAGATGAGGCTGGAATGCAAATATAGTCATTGTGCGCCTATCTATGTTTGCTTAACTATTCAAATACTCAGTGTCAACCTTGGCTGAGGACTGAAAAAAATGATTCTATTTCAAAACAACTTTCTTTTGTTGAGATGAACAATCAGTAGATATTTCAATTACCAGTCACCACCTCCAACTTATCTGATATATAAAATCATAAACAATTCATTTTCATAGTTAAAAGCAAAGACAAACGAAAATTTTTATTTAAGCATAGTTATATACTCCTCTTCAACAGAGTATTTTAGTTTAGAACAAATATTATACTTTTGTATAACCTGATTAACCAATACAAGATTTTTTAAAAAGATTTTTATTTATTTATATATGACAGCAGAATGCTTACAATTTTTATTACACATATAAAGCACAATTTTTCATATCTCTGGTTGTATACACAGTATATTCACACCAATTCGTGTCTTCATACCTGTACTTTGATAATAATGATTATCACATTCCACCATCATTAATTACCCCATGCCCCCTCCTTTCCCCTCCAACCCTTCTGCCCTACCTAGAGTTCGTCTATTCCTCCCATACTCCTGCTTCCTATCCCACTATGAATCAGCCTCCTTAAATCAAACATTCGGCATTTGGTTTTTTGGGATTGGCTAACTTCATTTAGCATTATCTTTTCTAACTCCATCCATTTACCTGCAAATGCCATGATTTTATTCTCTTTTATTGCTGAGTAATATTCCACTGTGTATACATATGCCACATTTTTTTATCCATTCATCTATTAAAGGCCCAATAAAGGATTTTTTTGTTTATTTTTAATTATTTATAAATACAATTTTTTAAATTTATTGCTTCATAAAATAAATAAAGGATCGAACCCAGGGCCACACACAAGCTAGGTGAGCGTGCTACCGCTGAGCCACAACCCAGCCCCCAATAAAGGATTTTTAAGGACAGAAAAATGTGAGACATTATGTTTTGTTTTGTTTTTGTAGTGCAGGGGATTGAACCCAGGATTGCTCTAACCCAGATCTTTTTTTTTTTTTTTTTAATTTTATTTTTTATTCCAGGACAGTCTCTCTAAATTGCCTAGGTTGGCCTTAAAACTTAAGGTCCTCCTGCTTCAGCCTCCTGAATAGCTAGAATTACAGATGTGTATGACACCCAGCAGACATTATGTTCTTAAATTCAACATATAAGTAACTCATATTTGCAAAAGAGAAGCAGTAGAAAAGTGGAAACAAAACTAACAATTTTCTGTAGTGATAAAATAAAGAGGATCCTTCAAAATCTTACAAGAAAATATTTATCTAAACAATCTTGAACAATTATCCTTAAATAGTCCATACTATGACTTTTGGCAGAAATATTTAGGAAATACACACTGGCTTTAAAAGACACTAGTAAATCCTCTTAAAAGTTAATACTAACCTAATGATGAATTCATCATCTATGTTAAAACCAAAAAGGAAGGCTGGGGTTGTGGCTCAGTGGTAGAGTGCTTGCCTCATATGTGTGAGGTACAGGGTTTAATTCTCAGCACAACATACAAATAAAAAAATAAAATAAAGGTCCATCAACAACTAAAAAAATAAATAAAAAGAAAAAAGGATTAACTAAGCTTGTCCTAATGTGTTTTTTTAAATAACTTAAAAATACAGTTATTTAAAAAGATATAATCCTTCTAAGTTCCTGCACACTGGTTTTCTTTTCAATACTGGGTGACTATTTCTTGCTCTCTTATACACAGCCAATACTGGTGCTAAATACTTTATAAATCATGTACACAAAAGTATTGGTGTCTTGGAAATGAGAAACAAGAGAGACTACTCTGTTACTTATTATGTCTTTAGCAATTTACTGATGGACCTGATCCAAGAACCATTAAAAACAAAATTTAGTTAATACCTGAAATATCCTTGGAATTCCTCCACTATTGTAGTGAACTACTAGGCTGATTTTGTTCTCTTTTTCCACAATTTCAAAGGATCCTTCTTTCCACTTTGTAATTCCAGTCTGCATACTTCGAATTCTGATAGGACCATGTATCTTCAGGGGAGACATATTTTCTTTAAAAATAAATTGCTTCTAGCCAAATTAAAAAGCAAAAATATACCTTCACCTGACAGGTTCTAAAGAAGGAAAATAAAATAGAGAGTTAAAAGTTTTTTTTAAAATTAGAGTTTAAAAGAGAATACTTAACGAACCATCTTGTATTTCTCCACTTCAATAAACACTTTTATAAAGCAATCTCCAAGACCCTTATCAATTGTAGAACATAGGTAACAAAGAACAAAAGCAGGTACTAACATTCAATGATGGCATCTAACCACATTTAATTTCTTCTGTACATGTTTCCTTCTTTGCCAAGAGTCCAATACCTATGCCTATTAGTTCTTAAATTCTACATTTTGCAGAATGCATAAATAGTTGTTGCCAGTAATGACACATCAATTTAGGAACAAGAGAAGATGTCTTTCTCAATGTGATTGCCCTCACCATTATTAAATGGTGTTGAATTCTTTTCTTCTTTTATGAATGTTTATAGGTCTTAACTTCATGTACAGAAGATATTAAAGGAATAAAAATGTTTGAGAATCATCAAATTAGTCTAACTTCCAGAATTACATTATTTGAGAAAAACATTTAATCTTTAGGAAGAACAAAAACTGCTCTCTTCCTAAGAGCCACCTACCATTTATATTTAACATTACCATTCTTAGAAGGAATCTTTAGCAATTTTAACTTTGACAAATACATTCCTGAATGAACTTTTAATACTTAAAAAAAATGACTTACAGCAATGATAGGATGTCTCAGACCCTTCTAGCTTTGCCAAAAGCCAGCAAGTAAATAAATAACAGTAATAGCAGAAAGTGTTATATACATAAATATTCAAACATTTAAAATTGCTAAGCCGAATTTATACCATTTCAAACATTTAAAAACACACTGCCCCTAAAATGATTCTTGCTTATAATCTAATAAATTCAAAAACCTTTAAACAATGCCTTTGCCTACATAGCTCATCTAGAAAATTTAGAAAAGGAATTACACAAGGAAAAACATGAGGTCTAGAAATCAGGAGCCAGGTCTGTTAATTACTAACTTGTAACATACCTTCTCTATTTACAAAACAGGAATAGAAAATATTGTAATATTTCAGAATGAAACAGCATATATTAGGCACTCAGCTGACAGTACCATTAATATTAATGGAGTCAGTGTTCACTAACTGAATTTATTTCTTGTCTACAATTCCTCTTTCTCCAAAAACCTCTATAAATAAGATGTTAATGAAAGTCACCCACTCAACAGCCAAGTAATGACTTAGGTAAAACATGAACAATTACTACCCAATCCAGCCAATTATAGCATGTAGCAGTAGTGAACTTAGCACTGTCTTATCATCTTCTTTTTCAAGAAAATGAAGACTCTCAACTTTTATATAAAAGTTTTAAATTTTAAATTGTGAATAATGAATTCAAACTTAATTTGAAAACTATGAATCAAACAAAATCCACCTGTAGGCAGGACACAGCATAGGGGGGCCCCTGTTCAAGGCCTTTAGTTACTGTTGAGCAAAAAACTGGGGCTAAAAGAGATGTGGAAAAAATTTTGAAGAGTTAAAAAGTGTTATTCATTTTAAGTTCTCTATTATAATTCACCCATCTCATCAGAGTTTTCTGAGTGCCTACTATGGACAGATTTAGATATTGGTAAAAGTGGCTGAATGTATGAATTCCTTAAAGTAATTGAGCTCATTAACATACACAGACCTCTCTATTAATATGATGCTTTGCTCAAACTAGTAACTGAAGAAATCTGAATAAAAATTGTATTTATAATTTTTTTTGAAATTAATTATTTGTGGCTTCGTTATTAGGGTATGTCCTTAAAATCATTTGCACTCTACTTCTCAATACTGCAAAGAATATGTGGTTGCTCTTCTACAATAGATTCCATGCCAGAAACATGACAGTTCTTTGACTTCTTTCTTAATGATTATTGGTATTAGTTTGGAAATGGTAGGTAGTTCTGTAAATTCTACCTCCATATACTTTTCATACAGTTTTATAATGAACTATAGATCAAATCATATCACATTTTTAAAATATCATTAAATGGCTTTCCTCTGTCCTTATAATAAAGTCTAAACTCATTAACATGATATAAAGGTCCCATGATCTAGACCCTGATTACCTCTCTATTCCCAATATCAATAAACTTCCCCAAAATCCCATCATCTGAACTGCTTGCAATTTTCCCCTAATGCCATATATACACTTGTACACTCTGTGGTGGATGTCTAGAAAATTTTTTATTCTGTTCCCCATCTTTGGCCCTCTTAAAATTTCTTTTCTTGGCTCTAAAATCAAGGTTCAACTCTTTAAAGTAAGTTTTCCTAACTCTTCACTTGTTCTCTTCCCCATATCCACAATGGAACTGTTTAAATCCTTCTGTCTTCCTGTTGTGTTAGCTTAGTTACCTCTAGCAGAATAGTTATCACATTGTATTATAAACTGTTTATTTCTTTGTCTGTCTATCTAGACTCTGCAGCTTGAAGACAGGGAAGATGTTTTTTAATTTCTCTGTCCCCACTAAGACGATGTCTGATACACAGGAGACAGAAACGCACTGTTCAAGAATAATGAACAAAATAACACTAATTTTATTCAATTTGCTATTAAAATATACAATAGCAGATAGCAGAATCATAAATCTCTTTTATATGGCCAATGTAGGATTATATCTAAGCTCTTCGTAAGAGTACTGCTATGTGCTGTATTATATGTAACTCATTTTTTGAAGATTACATCTAAAGCTTTTTCTATGTGCATCTAAACTTCCCCACTGAGTGCAAAGCTGTCCTAACATCTTGTTAATAACTCAATGGAAGACTGATCATTTATTAATATGAATTAATATGCAGTAACAGAAAACAATACCTAAGAACCTAGTAAGCTTTCCCAAATTGGAACTAGTGTTATTCATTGCTCAATGATGAAACTCCATATTAACAGTTTTATCTTTTGTCAATTTCCCTCAGCTTTCCTTATGTCTCATTATTTATTGGTCAGGCTGCCAAAATAAGCCCATTATTAAAGTTTGCCTTATTAAAAATGACATTATTTAATAAAATTTAGATGAAGAGTTCAAAGTTCACTAAAATAAATGAGAACTAAAAATGTTACTGGTTACTTCTGTTTCTAGCTAATTGTCTATTCCTCTCAAACATTTTGATGCAGAGTTTTGATTAACTGCATAAAATTTTACTTTAGATACTAAACATTTTCTTTCTTTTCTCTTGGTGCAAGGGATGAAATCCAGGGGCATTTTATCACTGAACTACATTCTCAGCCCTTTTATTTTTTTTTTTGGAGACAGAGTCATGCTAAATTGCTGAGGCTGGCCTCAAACTTGTAATCCTCCTGCCTGAGCCTCTTGAGTTGCTGGGATTATAAGTGTGCTTCAGTGCACTCTAGACAACGAACATTTTCTTAACCATTTCTGCTAGAAACCTTTCCTTCTTCTAAGGAAAAAAACTAAACCATGCAGGACATAAAATTAATAGAACCTGGGCTGGGGTTGGGCTCAGTGGCAGAGCGCTTGCCTCGTACAGGTGAGGTACTGGGTTCAATCCTCAGCACCACATAAAAATCAATACATGAAATAAAATATTATGCTCATGTATAACTAAAAATATTTTAAAAAATGAATAGAACTAATATAATAAACCTTTTTCTTAACGCCTCAATTTAGTCTGCTACCTGCTTTTGCACTAAATGAATTAACAATAACTACTTTTGTACATTCATCACGTGATCAGGGCTTGCCCTTCTTGGTCACAGGAAAAAAACTAAGTTTCTTTTTCAGTACTAAGCATGATTTAGTAACAGTTAAACTTTCTATGAACCTAAGATAAAGTTTCCTTGAACTCTATAATGCTAATTCTCTAATCAAAGCAATATTAGAAAGAAGATAATTAAAATGAATTATTCTCTAAGTATGTTCTAAGAGTATCCCCTTTCCCTAAACTTTTTTGCAATTAAAATTATGGTCCAAGTTGCAGCACTTCATCATAGCTCAATCAATAATATTGCAAAAATGTTTCTATAACCAGTTTATTTATTTAAATGCTACATTTAAGGTGCTGTTTTGAAAACATTGTTCAGAGGGTATTCTGTGGTCAAGAAAACATGCTAAAACATAAAATTATTACTAAAAAATAAACACAGAAATCTTGTCAGTTCTCGCTGATTTGCATATACTCTTGGAAACATATCAAAAACAAAAACATGACTTACTTTTCAGTGACTTTTACTAAAAAGCCCTATGTAATAACAATTCACCTTTATTCTGATCCTTGTGCCAAAGGCAATGCACTCTTCTTGGGAAACTACTCATATTCTGCAGCTATGCCAGTTCTCCAGGAGCCATCAACTCAGCTAAAGAAAATATAAGTGTGCCTTTTTAAAAATGATTCAATATACAAAATTAAAACTTAAGAAAGAAGAAATTGATCATTTATACAACAGTTAACCCCTCAATGATTTACAAACCACAAATCACTTACTGAAAATATTTAAAATGATGCACAACACATACAGGCATGCACATCAACAATTTTAGGAACTTATCTGCTGTGGTAAATAAGGGACTACAGAGGAGCCTGCACCTTGATCACCTTGTGTTCTGATTTATTTATTCCTGCTACATTTTGAAACTAAGAAGCCTGAGCAAAAGTATAGCCCTTGTTGTCTTTATAAACACTGCTACAATGACATCTTAGTCTTAAAACATCACTTTCATGATGTGTTTAAATACAAATAAAGTGAGTAAAATTGTTTCCAAAATTTAAAAAATAAAACACCTATTTTTCAATTTTAGACCTTTTTTTAAAGCCTGAACTTGCCCTGAAATTCTACCCAAACATCCTTCACTGCCTAATTAAATGCAACAATATCAACTTTTAAAACCTGATCATTTAGTACTCAGAGTAAACTACAAAGTGGTAGGAATATATATGTGTGTGTGTAAATATATATATATACATGTATGTGTGTGTGTGTGTGTGAGAGAGAGAGAGAGAGAGAGAAAGAGAGAGAAGATGCAGTCCACGGCCTCATTGAAAGGTTCATACTTTTCTCCTTCTACCATCATACAGGCAAGAAATCTTAACATCAGGTTTAATATTAAAACCCAATCTTTTCATAGTTACTACCCTAATTCAGAAAGTCATCATTTTGCCATCAATGCATTAAATATGCATTATGCAACATTTACTAAGCACAGTGCTTAGTACCATACATGCATTACTTCATTTAATTTTCACAATAACACTAAAGGACAAGGATCATTACTAAGTTATCTAATTTACCAATGAGAAAACTGGCTTAGAGAGATTAAGTAATTTATGAATACAGAATCAATAAGACACAAAGTGTTTCTGACAAGAACCCACGGCTTTAACCACTTCCACAGTTCATCCTCATCAGTGAATTGAAATCATTTTACAAGTCCCCATTCTCTCAGGATTTTTCTGCCAACAAATCCTTTATACTACAATTTCTTTTCTGAAAAAAATACTTTTTTAAAAAAAATTTTTCAAAGTATGTACTAGTCTCCTTAACTGTCTCCCTAAGGTGGTGGGTACAGGGGCCGGGCAGGGGTGGGGGTAATGACACATAGACACAGAACTTTTATATTCTAACAAAATAACAAACATTTAGTAAGTGCTAAATATTTGTGACTGATGGTACTAATTTCACCTCAAACTTTTTCCCTAGCTTGTCACTACTTAGAAAATAAATTCAACTGCCTGACATTTGCATATTGTCTATTTTTTATTCCCTATTTTTCAACATAAATTCTATTTTAAAAAATTATTTTAATATTTCATTTCTCATTCACTAGGAATTGACTTCAGTATGAATTTTTCTTACTTATAAAAACCTCAACTTCACTGGTCTCATAGTTTAACCTGTTGTTAAAATATATACACCACTATTCTGATACCCAAGGGCTTTCTTTCCTAATAAAAAGGTCATAAAACAAATGTGCAATGGAGATAAAATTAGTGTTAAAGTTGAGAGTAAAGAAGGATGTTTGTCTAGACAAAGTTTATCTTCAATTCGAGCAGTTTAAAATCTGAATAATTTTATGAGACACAAAAATCTCATAAAAAGTTTATGTTCTCTAAGAAACTACAACTTAAGCTGAAAATTGAAGAATGAGTTGACTGGGGATCGTGGTACTGGAATAATTCAAGTAAACAGAACAATATACACAAAGGCCCTGAAGTGGAACATAATTTACCCAAAGTTGGATGTCAGGCATGGTTGTACATGCCTATAAACCCAGTTACTTAGGTTGTTGAGGCAGGAGGATCATAAGTTTGAGGCCAGCATGGGCAACTTCGAGAGACCCTGTTTCAAAATAAACCTTAAAAGGAAGGATGTTGGTCAGTGATAGAGCAACCCTGGGTTCAATTCCTAGCTAGTACCAGTGAGGGGGTGGAGTTGGAAAAAAAAGTTTTCAAAACTGAAACCCTGCCCCTTTTTTGGATGCATCCTTTAATTTGTCTGCAGAATGGAAAAAGGTGTTTCTTGTGATAAGAATATCATTAGGTTAATACTTCTAAGACACAACTTTTTTAACTTCCTGATTTACATTAAATACTACTAGTTATTCAAAATCACATTAAATACTATTGATTATTCAAAATCAGAAACAAAAACAGAGGATCATAACATACATTTGAACACAAGAGATTTGTGTGAGCAAACAGATCCTTAAAACCATCATATGTCTATCTATCACTGAACCTACCAAGGCCTATCAGAAAGTAGACGTGATGATTCTTATAGCAAGTTCTAGTTTACTTATTCATTTAACAAATTCTTTTTTTTTTTAATTTCTTACATACATAATCATTTAACAAACTCTTGAGGAATAAAAATAAAATCATCACTCTCATATGCCAATGAGAGAGGCTTCCAATAAACATACAAATAAATCTATAATTACAAGTTCTGAAAAATGATATAAAGTAAAATACAGGGCATGATGAAACTTATGATTTAAGACCTGAAGATTCAGAAGGGGGGAAGAAAAAAAAAAATCAAGATTTTTTTTCTCTGTTTTTATTCTCTAAGAAACTACAACTGAAGATAAAAATTGAAGAATGAGTTGATTGGAGATGGTGGCACTGGAACAATTCAGGTAAACAGATCAATATACACAAAGGCACTATATTGGAACATAATTTGGTATACTAGGCTACTAGAGGTGACAGAAAGAAGGATGGTGTAAGATGAAGCAAACAAGAATCAGGTTATGCAGATGCAGATCACAGGAAGGATTTTGAAATTTTATCCTAAATGTAATAAGCATTTAGCAACAGGAAAATACAATAAAGGGTTTCAAGAAAAGAAATGATATATTATTGTTGCGTGGAGAAGTGATGTGGTTTGTTTAGGAAGGAGAGTAGAAAGAAACAAGAATGAGGAAAAAAAATTGGGCAATCAGATAGGAAAGTACTGAAATTGTTCAGCTTACAACAATTACAAGAATAATTAATTCTTACCAATTTATGTGTGTCATGTGCTCACCATGGTTATTTCATTTAATCATCATAACAATCAAATAAAGTACAAACTTATTATTCCTATTTTATAGATGAGAATGCTGGGAGCCAGATAAATATAAAGCCCAGGTAGGAAGAACTGTAGCTTGAATTAGAAAAATGATAGTGAGATGTACAAAAATAGATTCAAGAAGTAGAAGTAGAATAGACAGAACTTGGAGAGGGTATGTGTGCATGGCAGGAAAAATAACTCATTTTCTAGTGAAGACATGTATACACGATTTAATGAAACGGGACACTGGAGGAGAAACAATCTGGGTATGTATGAAGAGAATGATCAACACTTTGGTTTTAGACATGTTACAATTTAAAATTCCTAAGAAAAAAGTTGAGATGTCAAGCAGACAGTTGGCTATTTGGATATGAAGTAGAAAACAAAATAGGCTGGAAATAAAACTTCATAACACATCAGTACATAGGTGGAATTTAAAACTGAGGAAAGAATGGAAGAGCAAAAGAAGAACTAGGACTAAACCCAAACATCCCTAAGACTATGAATTACTTTTACATCACTGAGTTTCTCAGTCCAGCTTCAATTTTACTTTTCAGCAGACACTATGCATGACTTCTTTCATCTCTTGCAAGATTCATCCCCTCTATCCAGTTATTAGACATCAAGAATATCTAAATGCTCCATCTTAAGTGCCTTTCTTTTCTACCACTACAATCACTTTAAGCACCTCATCCAAAACTATCTACATGGCAGACACATACACATATATATTCATACACAGGTTATATCTACATATCCAGCCTCGACTACCCCTGATCTCTAACCCACGATATACAATGCCTATTTAACGTTCTCTCTTTGATATCTCTCCTAGTTGAAGACTTGTCATGCACTGCCACCCATAAAGAGGCATTTACACAGAGCTGAAATTTGGAGAGCAATACCACAAAACTGCTACAGGACATCACTCCAAAATACAGCATTTTGCAATCAATTATCATTTCCTTTCTTGGACATCACTTAAAATGGGTAAACCTGACAGCTTGATGTGATGGCTACATATGGGATGCAAGCAAATGCACGACAAAAATACCCTCCATGCCTTTTAATGGAGACGATTAAGAAATGATGAACAATGGTCAAGACAGAGAATAAGTATCATGTCCAAGACCTGATGAATATAAGACAACGAAGTCACCTAATCAGACAGCAGGCCTTGCTAGGGGGCAAGCGGCGGACGAAGACAGCCCCAGAGAAAAGGAACCAGGTTCGAGATGCAAAAGGAGCAAGTGACAGTACAGATCAGGTCAAAGGAGAGAGAAAATCTAGGGGAAACACCCAAATAGGGTACCTGTGAAACCCAGAGAGTGCAGAGGAGCTGCGGGCCGGCTGACCAGCGGCGGGGCGAACTCCACAAGAGTGAACGCTGAGTGGGCGGACCGCACGGGGGAGGGGGGGTAGAGAAAAGGGCTCAATTGAGAAGCTGCCCTGGGCTCCTTACCTGAGCCTGAGGGTCCGAAGCCCCGGAACAGGCCTGCCGGAAGCACAGAATCCGCGTGGAGGGGGAGGAGCCAGGGGTACAGAAGGAAGGGTCACTGAGCCCAGAAAAGCTAGGCGGCTCACTCCCCCTACACAGCGAAAGCGGCTGATGGCGGGAACTGTGACCACACGCAAACACGCACGCACGCACGCACACTCGACGCGACCAGACCAGGCGCGTGCGCGACGGCTGCAAACTCCGCCCCGCTTACGTATTCGCCCCGCCCCAGCATCTAGCGACGCCCAACCCAGGCAGCCCCGCCCCTGCTGTGACTGTAGTACGCATGCGCACTTATCACTTTTTCCTTCCCAATTTCGACCTCCCATCATTTCCCTCCTACTCAACCCTGTTGGGCATGCGCAACGCTTGTCCTCCCAAGCCTGTTGGTCTTTTCCCGCCCTTCCCTGGCCTTTGCAGGAGGGACAGAGTATGCACTCCGCTAGGGATACCTGCTTGATTCCGAGAAGTGCGGGAACTAATAGGTCACATAAGTCCTTTTGGTCTTAAATTTTCAAGGGGCAAAGGACATACTCTGGGACTGTTAACTAGGCCGAAGGCCCGGAGGCGGGAAGAGGTTTTGTGGGTGGGGTCAAGGGTGAGAGGTCAGAAGGCAACGAAGGGGGCGGAGCGAGTGGAGGCGGATGGCGTCTCATCTTCCTTGGCGGCGGAGGCGCTGAAGCTGGGACGCGGGTCGGGCGCGTCCAACGAAAGAAGGAGAGCAGCGGCTGCTCCCAACATGCACAGCCTGGCGACAGCAGCGGTGAGTGGCTGGGCCCACACCTTCCTCAGCCCCGCCGTTCGGCCTCCCCTAGTTCCCTGCGTCGGGCCCGAGTGTAGCCGCTTCTGTCCCCGCCCGCGAGTCCCCGGCCCCCTCAACACCTCTCCGGGACGGTGTTGGAGCCTGCCCCCACTTTTCTCGCCGGACGCCTCTCGCGGCCTCCCGCGCGGTACTTCGTGTTCTTTTTTTTAGTCGGCGGGGCCTGGTCCTACGCCGGCAGCGCCCTCTGTGCAGCCCCGGCCGGCCATTCATTGATTCATTGCGCTGGCCGACAGTTTCAGGGCACCAGTCGTGTGCTGGGCGCTGGCAAGGATGAGGGAAATTCCATGATCAGACTGACTCGTCTGCTGCGCTTCAGACTCACCGCCTAGGCACATCGCAGCGGGAAGGAAATGGCCTCTGGTTCTAATCAGTCGTTTTGCATAGAGGCCCGTAGAAATGCATAATTATTGCATCTGACTTGTGGTTCTCTGCATTGAAAACCTTTCTCGCAAAACTCGTTCGACCAAAGTGATCTTTAAACAAGAAATACGGATAGTGTAATTCACCTGTCTGAAACAACTCTGGGCTTCCTATTTCACTTAGGTAAATCTGGACTTCTCCGCATGGCCTGAAAGGCCCCATGTAATGTGGTCCTTACACACATTTACCGCTTTGTTTAATGCACCTTCTGGTCTCTATGCCTGGAATTTCCTTTCTACCTCTCCAAGCTTACAAACACATAAAGCATATGAATCTAACTGGTTCCTTTTCTCGCGTGTCTCCACCTAAATGTGCTGCAGTGATAGAAAGTACTCGTGACTTTTCTGTCAGAGCAGTCTTTACAGCACTCATCCCAATGTGTAATTATTGGATTTGTTGACTTGTTTGAAGTCTGTCTCCGTTGTCTGTCTCCCTGTTGAGTGCAGATAAGGACTAAGGGCAGGGACAGGGATAGTGTGAATCCTGATAACTTCTTTTCCTCAATGCCAGGACAATTCCTGGTACAAAGTAAAGACTCAGTTTGCCGATTGAAAGACTGCGGGTGAGGAAACTGACCACTGGGAGTTCATAACCATAAAGGGGAAAAGGGATCGTTTGATTTGCGCACACTCCTCTGAAGGCCATTTCCACTTTGATTTCACCAAGGGCAAGTGATTTAAGGAGAGTCATATACTAAAGTTGCATTATGAGGAAAAACGACAAACACAAAATAGAACACAAAAACTGCCTTAATTTTAAAGATAAAATGAAAAATTCAGCTGATTATAACTAAGCTATAGAAAACATTGTTCTTGAAATTTGATCTCTGTTGTCTTGGCATTTCCAGAACCAGTGATATCTGGGCCTCCTCTCACTGTGTTTCTAGGTGTTTGTAACTATTCAAAGTGGAGAAGTATCTTTTGTAGCTCTCAATTAAGTAAGTCTAATTTCTTTACCTCTTTTGTTATTTGAAATTGTACCTATAATTTGAGAAGAAGGAAGTTGGGAAGTGTGGTTCCTGCTTGTAAGGAAGAGGCTGAATAAAGGAAATCCTTCCAAGGTTGGCTGTCAAAATCTGACTGTGTCCTCTGCACGATTTGTACCTTTGATATCAATACCTTTGATTCTGGCCTCTATGTGTGGAATGCCCTTCCTACCTCTCCCCACTTAGAGACACATTCAGCATGTGAATCTAACTGATTCCTTTTCCCTCTTCCCTATACCTCCCCAGACTCTATTTTCAGTTTGTTTTATTTTCAGTTGCACCCTAATGCATCTTTTTTTTTTTTTAAGAACTGGGGCACTCAACCACTGAGCCACATCCCTAGCCCTATCTTGTATTTTTATTTAGAGACGGTCTCACTGAGTTGCTTAACACCTCACTTTTGCCAAGGCTGGCTTTGAACTCTGGATCCTCTTCTCTCAGCCTCTGGAGGCTCTGGGATTACTGGAGTGCACCACCCCGCCCGGCTTAATGCATCTTTTGAACAGCCATTAAAACTGTAGTACATTACTTAAATATTCAGTACGTGTTTCTTAATTATTTTACAATTCTTCACGTTAGCTTAAATATTTGAATTTTTCTTGCATTTGCACTTGTTATGCTGTTTGCACCACTCATACAAGGATATTTAATTAGTGATGAAACTGAAACAAAAAGTTGAGCCACCTCCTTCTCAATCCCTCATTTCTTTCCTTTGTATTCTTCTGTTCTGAGTAAAAGACCAGTAATGATGTATCATTCACTAGAAATTAAGAAGAGTTAATACATGCAACCGCACCTACAGTAGGCTAAACTAAACAGCAGGAAAATCATCCCTGTAGGAAGGGAGACAGAAAGTACTATCAAAGAAGAATGTAATCACATGTGAATGTAGGATGTTCTTCATTAGTGGGAGAATAAGTGATTTAGAGATACTTGAAAAAATATCTTAAATTTTATCTTCAGTAGTATTTTACTGTACTAAAAATTTATAGTTTAGTTAGTTCTTGTCATTATGACATCAATTTCATTGCTGTCGCCAGAAACTGTAACATCCTTTTAAAATCCAAGTGGAAATGGCCTTCAGAGGAGTGTGCTCAAGTCAATTTTCTCTCTACTAAATGGGAACAGAAGTACTACACAGAATTAGTCTAAAAATTAATAAGAATAACAAATTGCTCTCCGCTTGGCTAGGTTCGCTTACTGGTTAAATGACTCTTGATTCTTTTCTTGATAAAGTAACGTACTACTGTGTTGCTTCAGATTAATAGAACTACTGATCTTCTTGTGCCATAGGTCTTCTGTAACAGAGGTCTTTAGTTATGCTAGTAAAATAGACAAATGTAAACCTTTATGTGATGCATTAGATATGCATTTTAAAAATTCTTTTCACTGATTTCTGTTGGCAGTTTTAGCATCTGTCAACTTTTGTGTTTCTCTCGTTGTCCAACTAACCAGCAGCATCATTAGTTGTTTTATATCTTTGTGTTGAAGCTGTGATTGACTTCCAGATGCCCTCCTCATTGACAAGTAGAACTATGCACTCTACAGTATCTAATTCATTGTTTTCTCCCAAGTCTCCTACTGAAGCTCTAAGCAAGTTGCTGAACTTTTCTTAACTTTATTCACTTCCATTTTTTAAAGTTATCTTGGGGGAAAAAAAAAACAAAAACATTTAGTTAATGAGGATAAGATTTTTAGGTTTCAGTTTGGTGTAGTTTGGTTTGTGATGCTGGGGATGGAACCCAGAGCCTCATGCATGCAAGTAAGCATTCTATCACTGAACTACATCCCTAACCCTAGAAAGTATATTATATAATAGTATCATTATTATGTTGACGTGCAAAACCACATGTTGAGTCACAGACTTAAGATAATAATTTTCATTTCAAACTAATCCTATATTTTATTTACTGTGACATTTTCTTTTTTTTTTTTTTTTTTTTTTTTTTTTTATTAGTGACAGGGTCTTGCTGAGTTGCTAAGTGCCTCACTAAGTTGCTGAACTGGCTTTGAACTCGTGATTCTCCTGCCTCAGCCTCCTGAGCCACTGGGATTATAGGCATATACCACCTCGTCTGACTTGGACCTTTATTTATTTATGTTTCTGAGAATTGAACTGTTTGCTAGGCAAGCATTCTACCAGTGAGCTACAACCTCAGCCTTAATGTCCGTTTTCATTGGTAGGAAAATAAAGAACTATGGCCCTTAAAACATAAAGTGATATTGATAATTTGGCTATTTTCTGTTTAAGAAAGTCATCAACATCAATTTTTTAATTTACTCAAAGGGGATGTTATCAATAAATATGAGTGTGTTTTCTTTAAAATAACTTCTAAATATCTTTCTACTTTTCATATTAAATGTTAGGATATTTCATAGATAGAAGACTAACTGTCCGTATCATCGTGTTTGTGATACTTGTAATTAACCATTGATGTCCCACTTTCGTAAATGTCTTGCCTGTGCTGAGTGTTGGGTGCAGAGCAGGCTGAACTGTGTTGTCTGCAGGGCAGGCTGAACAGATGTTGGCTGCAAGATAGCCCACGCACTCAAACCCCCCTCTATCTGGTCCTTTATCACCTGTTTGCCTCAAGTCTGAACATTCAACCCTGCTGAAGGCTGAACACTTAACCCCCCCTTGGGCCAACAAGGCAGCTTGCGGACCCAGAGGCCCTATTAGATTTAGGCTATAAAAACTCCCTCCTGCCAGGCCCCCTCTCTCTTGCTATCTCTCTTGCTTTCTCTGTCTCTCTCCTGTGTGCGCTTCCCCTCTCTCTCTCTCTCTCTCTCTTTCCTTCTTTCCTTTTTCTTTGTTGCACTGCTGCAATAAAGATCTTTTGGTTGCTCTGAGTGTTGTGGTCACTTTCCTTTCACTGAGCTTTGTGGAAAGAAAAATAAAAGTGTTACTCAAAATACATTTTCTACATA